TTTATCCGATCAGTCTCAAAAGTTGCCCTGCACAGCTAAGGACCAAGGGGAACCTACATATAAAATTTGAGAAAGATTCCTCTGATACTTCCCGAGAAATAGCGATAACAAACTTTCACTATCAAAATCCAAGATGGCTGCCTGTCGGCCATGTTACTTATCCGATCAGTCTCAAAAGTTGCCCTGCACAGCTAAGGACCAAGGGGAACCTGCATATAAAATTTGAGAAAGATCCCTCTGGTACTTCTTGAGAAATACCGATAACAAGAATTGTTTACGGACGGACGACGGACAATGGACGGACGACAGACTACGGACGCAAGGTGATTTGAATAGCCCACCATCAGATGATGGTGGGCTAAAAACATCTACTTGCATGTACTTTTTCAGATGCTAACATAATGTTAAGTGATTATTAAATTCATTTCAAATTATAGTAGCAATGTACATTTCATTGTAAGAACAATGTTTTTTAAATTTATAGACCAATACAAAGTTTGTGAGTGTAACGTTACATACCAGTGACCTTATATGTACGACATCTCCAGGACTGGGCATGGGTCTGCCAAATGCTGCAGCCATTAACTCCTGGGCGTGGTATAATGAGTGTTGTCGTCTCTGCTCAATCTCATCCAACAGCTACGAAAACAACATAAAATCTCAATAAAAATACCCTACATTGACACGAAACAAAGCTAAACATTAATTGCATAATTACTGAATTCAAACCTATTGGTCTGGAGTTCAAACCCAAATTTCATGTTCTAATCGCCAGTAGAACCACTCAAAACAACGTATTATCCCCTAAATATTCATGTACATGATTCATATCAAGGATTTAATCTTCATAATTTCATTAGTGAATGTAAAGCTAATTTCACTAAATATATTGAATATATGTTATTTTGTCTATCGTGTAGATGGTTGTCATCTCTGAAGAATTCATGGCATGTTGGAACAGGAGCAAGTAACTCAGAAATTCACATTTTATTTATAATTGACAATGAATATACCTGGTACATGTGTAGAAATATCACTTTTCAAATCAACCCTAATATTTGTGAACTGTGATATTTAAAACTTCTAAAATAAATTTATTATAAAGCCATTGTGTATATTTTGTTCAATTTTTCAATCTTTTTGTATGAAACTATGTGTCCTGCTTGCTTTTAGCTTGTAGATAATCACTTTTATCCATGCAACTCCAATAAAAAACACTTTTTTTAACATGTTTTATATATTTTGTGACAAATAAAATATGTGTAGGGTTAATTATAAGCAATGCTTCTATTCATTGTTTTATTGTTGTTATTGTTCCGAACAATGCCACATACCCAACAAGAGGCCCAGAGGACCTGTATCACTCACCTGGATATCTAAGCAATCATGGCAAAATATTCTCCAAATGAGATCCAAGGGCAAGGGAATATGCCAGACCCCAAGGCCAGTCCTTGTAGCATATTTGTGTTAGATTTTTCATGACCAGCAATTTAATGTATGCTGTATGGTTATGGGGTGGGGATCTCAATTGTTTCCAAGCTGCGACTCAGAAACTATGTCCCTAGGGTTGTAGCCAGACCTCAGGATCAATTCTAATATCATGTCTGCATTCGTCTCTTTTTGCCCAGCATTTGTATTTATAGTTTTGGAGTGGGGATCTCAACCGTTTCAAAGTTATGACCCAAGGGTTAAGTTTACAAGGGTTGGGCAGACCCTTAGGTCAATTCTAATAGCATGACTGCATTCGTCTCTTTATGCCCAACAATTGTATATAGAGTTTTGGGGTGGGGATCTTAACCATTTCGAAGTTATGACCCAGGGGTTAAGGCAATCCTGGAAGCATATGTGCATTCACCTCTTTATACTCAGCTATTGTATATATGGTTATAGGGTGGGGATCTCAACTGTTTCCAAACTTTGACTAAGAAACTAGGTCCCTAGGGGCTTGGTCAGACCCCAGGGTCTATTCTAATATCATGACTACATTTATCTCTTTATGCCCAGCATTTGTATATATTGTTTTAGGGTATGTATCTCAACTGTTTCAAAGTTATGACTGTGGGACTATGTCTCATAGGGCCATCCTGGAAGCAAATGTGCATTCTTCTCTTTTTACTCAGCAATTGTATACATATTTATACTGAGGGGATCTCAACCATTTCTTAATAAACTGTTTTTGGCCCCACCCCTTAGCTCGGGGGGTCAGCCCCACCATTTGTATAATTTTGAATCACCACTACCTAGGGATGCTTTCAGTCAAATATGGTTGATATCCATCTCTTAGTTCCAGAGAAGAAGTTGCTTAAAGCAATATAGCCAATTGACCCTTTTTGGCCCCTGACCCTCAGCCCCCTGGGGGATCAGCTCCACCATTTGTACAATTTTAAATCTCTGCCTACCATGAATGCTTTTGATCAAATATGATTGATATCCAGTGCATAGTTCTACAGAAGAAATCTTTTGTAGAAATATAGCCAAATTGCCCCCTTTTGGCCCACGCCCCTCAGTCCCATGAGGGATCAGCCCCACCATTTGTACAATTTTGACAAATAACCCTTTTTAGCCCTGCCTCTTAGCCCCCTGGGGGGTTAACCACACCATTTGTACTATTTCAAATTCCTGCCTCCCATGAATGCTTTTGATCAAATATGATTGATATCCAGTGCATAGTTCAGTTCTACAGCCAAAATGCCCCATTTGGCCCGCCCCTCAGCCCCCTAGGGGGTCAGCCTCACTATTTGTACAATTTTGAATCTCCACTACCTAGGGATGCTTCCAGTCAAATATGGTTGGTATCCATCTCTTTGTTCCAGAGGAGAAGTCGCTTAAAGCAATATAGCCAAATTGACCCCTTTTGGCCCCGCCCATCAGCCCCCTGGGGGGTCAGCCCAACCATTTGTACAATTTTGAATCCCCACCACCTAAGGATGCTTGCAGTCATATTCACTTTAATTCAAATCAGCGGTTAAGAAGAAGAAGTCGTTTCAAGAAATTGTTGCATACGGACGACGAACGCCACATTATGGCATAAGCTCACAAAAATGGAAAAAGAAAAATTGACTAAAATTCAACTTTTGGGGTATTTTCCCCCCAAAAATCCCCAGTCTATCTGTCTGCTTAGATTTTCATAAAATCACCTTTACATAGTTTCATAACCATTATGTGAATGTTTCAGCGAATTCTACTGGTTAATTGCAAAAGGGTGGAGCTTCCTTAAAGGCACCATAATAATAACAAAATGTTAAATATACCTCATTGTACATGCTGAAGGCGTCAATCGGACTGATGATGCAGATCACCTCAGATAGACCAGCTGGTGTCTCTAACGGCTGTAACAGAGAAATACTTTAATATACAATAATAATAGGAGATAAGTGTTGTCACTCTCATTTCCACTGCTTACATGATTAATGACACATTATGTGGGTTTTTTCCTTCACATCTATATTACATTATACATTTATTGTCCTTGTGGTAGGGAGACACCATTCTTTTTCTCTCCAAGATTCTCGAAGCCTGACTGAAACACAATAAAATGAGGGGAAACAAAAAATTCTGTTTCCTTACCACAGGACAAAAAACAAGAACTAGAGGAGTGTTGATCAGGGAAGCTTGAGTGCATGAGGGCGACACAATGTTTTAGTTTCCCGTCATGTGATCAACATAATCCAATCAGATATGCTGTTACATAGAGAAGCTATAATAATATCAGTTTTAAACTAGACACACCAAAAGTGTGGCAGTTGCTTCATCTGCTAATGTGACCAGCAGATGGTTTGACTTCAGAGTTTGTCTTTTTTTTAAATACCTACCACAAGTCTCCGACAGTAGCCATACAAACGTCCACCCTCCACATTGGTTAGCACAAAGGAGTAAGACTCACTGTAACAGAAAATAGGGTACCTTATATACATGTGAAGGACGTATTAAACCTTTTAAAGGCATTCGAAAAAAAACTTGAGTACAGATTATCTGAAATGACCTTTATTTGATTCTACTGACCTTGGCGCTGCTGGAGAGGCTGACTTCACATCAAACTCAGCTGCATCAGGGAAACAGAACTCCGGAACAGAAACATTACTATCAGCCTGGAACATACAACAATCCTGTTAAACAGAACTCCGGGACAGATACATTACTATCAGCCTAGACCATACGACAATCCTGTTAAACAGAACTCAGGGAAAGATACATTACTATCAGCCTGGAACATACGACAATCCTGTTAAACAGCACTCAGGGACATATACATTACTATCAGCCTGGAACATACAACAACCCTGTTAAACAGAACTCAGGGACAGATACATTCCTATCAGCCTGGGACATACGACAATCCTGTTAAACAGAACATAGGGACAGATGCATTACTATCAGTCTGGAACATACGACAATCCTGTTAAACAGAACTCAGGGACGGATACATTACTATCAGCCTGGAACATACGACAATCCTGTTAAACAGAACTCAGGGAAAGATACATTACTATCAGCCTGGAACATACGACAATCCTGTTAAACAGCACTCAGGGACATATACATTACTATCAGGCTAGAACATACAACAATCCTGTTAAACAAAACTCAGGGACAGATACATTCCTATCAGCCTGGGACATACGACAATCCTGTTATACAGAACTCAGGGACATATACTATCAGTCTGGAACATACAACAATCCTGTTAAGCAGAACTCAGGGACAGATACATTACTACCAGCCTGGAACATACGACAATCCTGTTAAACAAAACTCAGGGACAGAGACATTACTATCAGCCTAGAACATACGACCATCCTGTTAAACAGAACTCAGGGACAGTTACATTACTATCAGCCTGGAACATACGACAATCCTGTTAAACAGCACTCAGGGACATATACATTACTATCAGTCTGGAACATACGACAATCCTGTTAAACAAAACTCATGGACAGATACATTACTATCAGCCTGGGACATATGACAATCCTGTTAAACAGAACTCAGGGACAGCTACATTACTATCAGCCTAGAACATACAACAATCCTGTTAAACAAAACTCAGGGACAGAGACATTACTATCAGCCTAGAACATACGACAAACAGAACTCAGGGACAGATACATTACTATAAGCCTGGAACATACGACAATCCTGTTAAACAAAACTCATGGACAGATACATTACTATCAGCCTGGGACATACGACAATCCTGTTATACAGAACTCAGGGACATATACTATCAGTCTGGAACATACAACAATTCTGTTAAACAGAACTCAGGGACAGATACATCACTATCAGCCTAGAACATACGACAATCCTGTTATACAGAACTCAGGGACATATACTATCAGTCTGGAACATACAACAATCCTGTTAAACAGGACTCAGGGACAGATACATTACTATCAGCCTGGCACATACGAGAATCCTGTTAAGCAGAACTCAGGGACAGTTACATTACTATCAGCCTGGAACATACGACAATCCTGTTAAACAAAACTCATGGACAGATACATTACTATCAGCCTGGGACATACGACAACCCTGTTAAACAGAACTCAGGGACAGATACATTACTATCAGCCTAGAACATACGACAATCCTGTTAAACAGAACATAGGGACAGATACATTACTATCAGTCTGGAACATACGACAATCCTGTTAAACAAAACTCAGGGACAGATACATTACTATCAGCCTGGGACATACGACAATCCTGTTAAACAGAACTCAGGGACAGATACATTACTATCAGTCTGGAACATACGACAATCCTGTTAAACAAAACTCATGGACAGATACATTACTATCAGCCTGGGACATACGACAATCCTGTTATACAGAACTCAGGGACATATACATTACTATCAGCCTAGAACATACGACAATCCTGTTATACAGAACTCAGGGACATATACATTACTATCAGCCTAGAACATACGACAATCCTGTTAAACAAAACTCAGGGACAGAGACATTACTATAAGCCTGGAACATACAACAACCCTGTTAAACAGAACTCAGGGACAGATGCATTACTATCAGCCTGGAACATACGACAATCCTGTTAAACAGAACTCAGGGACAGAGACATTACTATCAGCCTGGAACATACAACAACCCTGTTAAACAGAACTCAGGGACAGATACATTACTATCAGCCTAGAACATACGACAATCCTGTTATACAGAACTCAGGGACAGATACATTACTATCAGCCTTATACATACAACAATCCTGTTATACAGAACTCAGGGACAGATACATTACTATCAGCCTAGAACATACGACAATCCTGTTAAACAGAACACAGGGACAGAGACATTACTATCAACCTGGAACATACGACAATCCTGTTAAACAGAACTCGGGGACAGAGACATTACTATCAGCCTGGAACATACAACAATCCTGTTAAACAGAACTCAGGGACAGATACATTACTAGCAGCCTGGAACATACGACAATCCTGTTAAACAGAACTCAGGGACAGATACATTACTATCAGTCTGGAACATACGACAATCCTGTTAAACAGAACTGTTAAAGAATTTTTTAAAGCTATCTGATAAATTATAGAGTGATAACAGGATTTTCTATAAATAGTAATGGAGACATTGATTTGGCACCCTGAATCACACACTCATTTGAAGTATTGTCTAAACCTGGCTATAGCATGAAGTTTGAGTGAAAGATTATTCAGAAACGAAGTCACTAAAGTGCTGCCTAAGAGTGAACACACATAGGGATTGAACGGGACGACTAAGAGTAAACACACATAGGGATTGAACGGGACGACTAAGAGTAAACACACATAGGGATTGAACGGGACCACTAAGAGTAAACACACAAAGGGATTGAACGGATTGAACGGGACCACTAAGAGAGAACACACATAGGAATTGAACGGATTGAACGGGACCACTAAGAGAGAACACACATAGGAATTGAACGGATTGAACGGGACCACTAAGAGTAAACACACATAGGGATTGAACGGCGTTTTTTAAATTTTCATGCCGGTATGAAAATCTTAATTATATATTTACATTTTTACTAAAGAGCAATTGTCTAATTTTTTTTTTTTTTTTAAATTGTTTTTTTATTTACTGAGTTTTGTATATGTGTCGTCCTTTAAACGATATTGGTGGAACAGCCCTATTTAACTAAAATTGGTGCCAATAACTCTCATTGAACAAGGTATTCTATGATGTCATAATAAACCATGTGATACGTCACAAGAGTTTCTGCTTTCATACTCGAACTAAATGCATTTCTGCTGGTAATGTTCATATAGTGGGTTGCAGCGCAAATGTAAATATATATGTATGAACAAAACTCAATATATCCCCTCTTATTGTGAGGAGATAATCATAAATTGTCTTACTGGAAAATGCATGTATATATAAAGAAATAAATTTTGAAAATCCATAACATGTAAACAATAATAAATTAGAATGAACTAATTGTGTAATTACAAAAACAATGATCATGCTCAAATAAATAAAATCAAGTGATGAAGCTGGCAGGCTTATCAACACATTCAAGCATGCCCAGCTGTAACAGAGAGATAGATTCAACTGAGAAATGTAGACAAAAAACCAACATGCTCATGATTTTTGCTGATACAGTCAAATCGCATTAATCCAGCCACTACTATTTTGGTTGTCCCATTACAATCCGCCCAGTGTTTTTTTTGGGAACAGATTGGCTTTTTCTTTAAGTAAAAATGTCCTATGCACTATTTGACCACCTCTGGTGGGAATTTAAGATCGCTGGATTATCGAACCTTTACTGGTACGGTAATGGTCAGTAATGGATCCGATAATGGCGATTGCTATCCCTAGATGTGTAGGGTTATCAAGAATTATGTTAACAGAATCTCATTTTACTTACTCTAACACCACAATCAATTCATGTAAATTACCCCCCTTTATCAAAACACTATCCCCTGGCATGAAGTAAAAAAAGTTGGGTTTACATAGGGGAATGTTTGAAGTACATGTAGCAGCTAAAAAGGAGGAATGGTTACAGGAACGGAGCTAAATATCATTAGTCTAGTTATAGTCAACCATGTTGCTGAAGGATACATAAATTACATCCAGGTCTGAGTTATGACATTACATCCTATGTAACTTGAAACAGGAAATTTATCAGAAAAATTGAAAACATTTACCCATGAAAATCACAAAGGGAGGTAATCCAACAGTATCTAAAATAGATCCTCAGCATTTTAAATGTATCTGAGCAATAGATAACAGGACTTCTTTACTTATCAACATCTATAAATTGATATTAGCAATTTCTTTCCAAATTCTAGAAATATTCTGTGTGCATGAGACTCCAATCCATACTGCACATGTATATAAAGCCCTGAATCTTTTGCCAAGCAATGTCATGCATAATTTGTTTATTTAAAATCTTTTCCCACAAGATTTACAGTGCATGCCTATCACATGACACATACCCAATATGTTCCCTCATCAATGCACAGAGAAATGTATCGAGTTACACATAGTGTAAACTACTATAGGTCTAATAATGACCATTTATATATCTTCTTTCATCTTATTTACTGTTACATCACGGTATCGTTAGCTAGGATGTAGTATAACAACAGTTCTTAGGAATATGCTCAAAGTTATTTGAAAGTGAAAGAAGAATTTACAATACTGATCATTACGACAGCAAAATTAAATCTTCTCGAATTTTCCCAACACGCTGATATTAATAACAATTAACAAATGATCACTATATCAATTTGTATTAATTTCTTCCCAAGTTTCCACATCTTTCTATGTCTGACGATTATAGGGCATCTCACTTGCGGTTCAGACAAACTAAAAACGATCGAAAACAGCTTGATCGTTTTATTATAATATATCGGGTATTAAAATAATTTTCTCTGGCAAATAGAATATCTAAATAAGCAAGTTCCAAAGTACATAGAAAGTATATAAAGCTTGCCTTAATGGATAAATTGTTAATTTTATTCTAACAGTTGGTATAACAAACAAACAAACAAACAAATAATAAAATCAATCATAATGGAAGTCAAGACATAAATAACAGTGGTACAGTACCTAAAACTACAGTAACCAAGAAACAACACAGAGAACCCAAAATATGGAGGAAGCACTTACCAGGTCCGGACCTAACATCAACCGGCCCTCGTTATCTAGTCTTATGTGAGTCTACCAACACAAGTAGTACACTCAAGCTTAACACTTATCAGCATCTTATGTTTCTAACACATCTCACAATTAAAACCAATTATCCAAAGATATCTAACAATTTTTGTATTTCATTTCAAACAAATAACATATAATTAGCCTTCGACAAACCGTCAACCCAATAACTACATATTATGACCATTTAGCATTTCAACAAAATTTGACACAGCAATTCCAGCTCTGAGCAATGTTGATGCATTCCTGTCTTCTTGTCCCTAATACCTTTATAAGGAAAATCACTTTCTGTCATAATACTTATTGAATATGTTTTTGGTTAATCACATTTGTTAACATGCTTTTAACAGAAAAGCTTTTCAGTATTCAGAATTATATTTCTAAACATTTTCTTCAGGTTGGTAAGTATGGACTATGAAAAGTTCTTGTTACACAACCAAGAAGTGTTTCTATGTGACGCTTTTGTGGACAACTCGTACACAATTTATACCTTTGTGTGCATACGCTTCACTGGCCATTTGTCTGATGAAGGTGACAGTGTACATATCGTACTAGTCATCAAACCATCACACAGAAACACTCATTTCTAGAATTATATTTCCATAACTTTTATAACTATGAACTTTAGTTGTTCTATTTTGAAAAATTGTCACCTATGTAGCCACAGGTAAGTTTATGTTGTAACTACACAGGTACAGGTATAATTAGTAATACATTGATATATACATATATATTATCTATTGGTACGTAGTGCTTGCTATTCTTAACTCCTTCAAGTAAATAAGGATATAATTATTATCATTTTGAACATATATCTTGGTATTTCAAATGCAATATTCATAATCCTGACATGGATGATGACGTTTTAATGAATGTTAATAAAAACAAAAGAAAAGAAAACAGAAACCTGCCGAGCCAGGAATGATCACAGAACATTTGTGAAGCCGTAATTCTCATTCATGATCACATTGAAAGCTTGATTTTGGCCAAACAGCAACTAAACCACCAGCTAATACCATCAAGCAGCATGGAAGTAAGTTAGGAGTTTTACCGTGTCTACCTGGCGCTGTCACGTGGTACAATGTCACAAAAACAATTAACAGGTATACGTAGTAGTAGCCAGAATTTTAAATAAACATCTCTCTGAAGATCTAACAAGTGCCAGTGCTCTAGCTAGGCCACCAAACATATTTTGTGTAAAGAAAATTGAAAGTTATTCAGAGTAACTGATTAAACTTATTTTAGTATTGAATCAGACCGGGTACATGTATCGATGAATACAAATTTAAATCCATTGAACTAAATCCTGAGTAACATCTAATCAAATGTGTTTGTAGATTAAAAGTACCCGGTAAAGGGTCATCCGCCTGGAATCCACTTACAGCTGGTTTATAAAAATAGATCTCTAACAAAATATGTATTATCTTAAAATAAAAACTAATTATGACTGTCAAAGGAGAACATGACCACACTCCTAGGTAATCATGACAACTAACATGAGAATGCAAGGACATTCCTACATCTTGACAATATCAAGTTCTGTTTCTATGAAATCTGTCGCACAAGACAGAGTTCGTGCACAAGGATGTGCCCAATATAGTGTGAGGACAATAATGCTAGTGATCGTATGGAAATCAGGCTAACTTGATTATTAGCATATGAAATTTTGCATTTTTAAATATCTTTAAATCTTACATTTCCTTGCATGTCTAACCATTTCCTTGCATGTCTAACCCAATAAATGTCAATTATGTTAACTCATTTTTAATATTTGTGAACCAGGCTTTGTAAGTTGCAACTAGAAGATAGGAAAGACAACTCTGAGGTAAAATACAAAGAGAGAGTAAAATCTACAGATACACATGTCTGATGTGAGTGTTAGGACATGAGTGTGTTGATACTTTTCTTGCATATATGTTGTTTATATAAATGGTGGTTTTTCAATATTACAATGTAGCACTAAACCAAAGCAGAGATATAGAGATAATCCAGCATGTTCTGATCAGGGAGGATATATGTTAATTTGAAAACATAGAAATAGGTTTTACTAAATAATTAACATATGAAAATGAATATTAATTTAAAAATATATTCACTGTGAGTTAATAGATACATTGAGTCTCCCTTAATACAAGGTTAAACAAGCACGGCGTGATGTCATGCCGCGTGAGATTATTGAACATTGTGATATTATCAAAAATAAAGAGAAAAAACATTTGCTGGGTGTGAATAAACCTATTTCAGCTATAGGAGAAAAGTAAATAACAGAAATTGGCACTTGTACATGTTATGAAGAACAAATTGAGATGCATTACCATGTCAGGAAATTTGTACAGCACTTTGGGTTTGTAGCCAAGTTCTTCCTCTTTCTCCTCTAGACCTACAATCAGTCCATAGTCAAACATCTGAGGGTAGATCTTAGCCTGGTACTTCCGTGAGCCCCGCACACTCTTCATCTACAATACACAAACAACACACAATCTAGATATGTGGAGTGAAAAGCAAGAATCATTAGAAATGTGTGATTTGTGTGTACAAAATTTTAATTTAAGATTTGTACATTCTGTTATGTTTGGAAAATGAAAGAAAATAGTTAAATATAATTCATTTTTCATGAAAATAATAATTATGCAACAATAACAATAACATGTAACAACTTGTTACCATTAAAATTATAACAGAATTTCTTGACTTTGCACTCTGACATGAAACTTACTACATCTATTTATATATATTTTGTCTCATTTATTTGCAAGATGATTAGATTGTGATTAAAAGTCCATACCCAAACAGACAACAGCTGTTGTTACTTTCACAAGTTAAAATTATCACAAATAAATCATTTTTGAAGAACTTAATCCTAACACTGAGTAAAGTAATTAACAGCATAGAGAATTGCAGATTTTTTTCCAACTTCATTAATCATTAAATATATGATACCCATTTTGTTTGGTTCTACTGTGTTTTGAATTTCACTCTCAACTTCTGTTATATACTAAATGTTAATGGTGCATTTCTGTAAGATAAGTATAATATATTTCAGAAATTGATGTTGCAGACAAAACCGTGATATTTACCGTCCTCTTCCGCACAAGGTTACAATGTTCTTTCCTCTTGACGATCTCCGATACATCCACCAAACTGTCATTTTCTGCATTAAAAAATAAAGTCCATAATTAAACAAGATGGATTCAGTGTCATAGGATTTATGTAATATACTTTCCCTTAATAAGGCCTTTAAAATAAATCAAACTATTGAATCAGAATTGATAAAAACATCAGGTCAGATCCAGGGTGTGGACAGTAAAGGAATGTTTTGGAAGAAATCTTAATACTTCATAATCATGATAACAAAGATTGGGTTAACTAAAAGTCTAACATATGTAAGTACTAACAGTCTATCAAATCTTGGTACTAATAGTCTATCATATGTAGGTACTAATAGTCTATCATATGTACGTACTAATAGTCTAACATATGTAGGTACTAATAGCCAAACATATGTAGGTACTAATAGCCAAACATATGTATGTACTAATAGCCAAACATATGTAGGTACTAATAGTCTATCATATGTAGGTACTAATAGCCTAACATATGTAGGTACTAATAGTCTATCATATGTAGGTACTAAAAGTCTATCAAATCTAGGTACTAATAGTCTATCATATGTAGATACTAATAGTCTAACATATGTAGGTACTAATAGCCAAACATATGTAGGTACTAATAGCCAAACATATGTAGGTACTAATAGTCTAAAATATGTAGGTACTAATAGTCCATCTTATGTAGATACTAAAAGTCTATCGAATCTAGGTACTAATAGTCTATCATATGTAGGTACTAATAGTCTATCATATGTAGGTACTAATAGTCTATCATATGTAGGTACTTATAGTCTATCATATGTAGGTACTAATAGTCTATCATATGTAGGTACTAATAGTCTATCATATGTAGGTACTAATAGTCTATCATATGTAGGTACTAATAGTCTATCATATGTAGGTACTAATAGTCTATCATATGTAGGTACTAATAGTCTATCATATGTAGGTACTAATAGTCTATCATATGTAGGTACTAATAGTCTATCATATGTAGGTACTAATAGTCTATCATATGTAGGTACTAATAGTCTATCATATGTAGGTACTAATAGTCTATCATATGTAGGTACTAATAGTCTATCATATGTAGGTACTAATAGTCTATCATATGTAGGTACTAATAGTCTATCATATGTAGGTACTAATAGTCTATCATATGTAGGTACTAATAGTCTATCATATGTAGGTACTAATAGTCTATCATATGTAGGTACTAATAGTCTATCATATGTAGGTACTAATAGTCTATCATATGTAGGTACTAATAGTCTATCATATGTAGGTACTAATAGTCTATCATATGTAGGTACTAATAGTCTATCATATGTAGGTACTAATAGTCTATCATATGTAGGTACTAATAGTCTATCATATGTAGGTACTAATAGTCTATCATATGTAGGTACTAATAGTCTATCATATGTAGGTACTAATAGTCTATCATATGTAGGTACTAATAGTCTATCATATGTAGGTACTAATAGTCTATCATATGTAGGTACTAATAGTCTATCATATGTAGGTACTAATAGTCTATCATATGTAGGTACTAATAGTCTATCATATGTAGGTACTAATAGTCTATCATATGTAGGTACTAATAGTCTATCATATGTAGGTACTAATAGTCTATCATATGTAGGTACTAATAGTCTATCATATGTAGGTACTAATAGTCTATCATATGTAGGTACTAATAGTCTATCATATGTAGGTACTAATAGTCTATCATATGTAGGTACTAATAGTCTATCATATGTAGGTACTAATAGTCTATCATATGTAGGTACTAATAGTCTATCATATGTAGGTACTAATAGTCTATCATATGTAGGTACTAATAGTCTATCATATGTAGGTACTAATAGTCTATCATATGTAGGTACTAATAGTCTATCATATGTAGGTACTAATAGTCTATCATATGTAGGTACTAATAGTCTATCATATGTAGGTACTAATAGTCTATCATATGTAGGTACTAATAGTCTATCATATGTAGGTACTAATAGTCTATCATATGTAGGTACTAATAGTCTATCATATGTAGGTACTAATAGTCTATCATATGTAGGTACTAATAGTCTATCATATGTAGGTACTAATAGTCTATCATATGTAGGTACTAATAGTCTATCATATGTAGGTACTAATAGTCTATCATATGTAGGTACTAATAGTCTATCATATGTAGGTACTAATAGTCTATCATATGTAGGTACTAATAGTCTATCATATGTAGGTACTAATAGTCTATCATATGTAGGTACTAATAGTCTATCATATGTAGGTACTAATAGTCTATCATATGTAGGTACTAATAGTCTATCATATGTAGGTACTAATAGTCTATCATATGTAGGTACTAATAGTCTATCATATGTAGGTACTAATAGTCTATCATATGTAGGTACTAATAGTCTATCATATGTAGGTACTAATAGTCTATCATATGTAGGTACTAATAGTCTATCATATGTAGGTACTAATAGTCTATCATATGTAGGTACTAATAGTCTATCATATGTAGGTACTAATAGTCTATCATATGTAGGTACTAATAGTCTATCATATGTAGGTACTAATAGTCTATCATATGTAGGTACTAATAGTCTAACATATGTAGGTACTAATAGCCTAACATATGTAGGTACTAATAGTCTATCGGATGTAGGTACTAATAGTCTATCATACGTAGGTACTAATAGTCTAACATATATAGGTTCTAATAGTCTAACATATGTAGGTACTTGTAGTCTATCATATGTAGGTACTAATAGCCTAACATATGTAGGTACTAATAGTCTAAAATATGTCGGTACTAATAGTCCATCTTATGTATATACTAAAAGTCTATCGAATCTAGGTACTAATAGTCTATCATATGTAGATACTAATAGTCTATCATATGTAGGTGCTAATAGTCTATCATATGTACGTACTAATAGTCTAACATATGTAGGGACTAATAGTCTATCATACGTAGGTACTAATAGTCTAACATATAAAGGTACTAATAGTCTAACATATGTAGGTACTTATAGTCTATCATATGTAGGTACTAAAAGTCTATTAAATCTAGGTACTAATAGTCTATCATATGTAGATACTAATAGTCTATCATATGTAGGTACCAATAGCCAAACATATGTAGGTACTAATAGCCAAACATATGTAGGTACTAATAGTCTAACATATGTAGGTACTAATAGTCTATCATACGTAGGTACTAATAGTCTAACATATATAGGTACTAATAGTCTAACATATGTAGGTACTAATAGTCTAACATATGTAGGTACTAATAGTCTAAAATATGTAGGTACTAATAGTCCATCTTATGTATATACTAAAAGTCTATCGAATCTAGGTACTAATAGTCTATCATATGTAGATACTAATAGTCTATCATATGTAGATGCTAATAGTCTATCATATGTAGGTACTTATACTCTATCATATGTATGTACTAATATTCTATCATATGTATGTACTAATAGTCTATCATATGTATGTACTAATAGTCTATCATATTTAGGTACTAATAGTCTATCATACGTAGGTACTAATAGTCTAACATATGCAGGTACTAATAGTCTAAAATATGTAGGAACTAATAGTCCATCTTATGTATATACTAAAAGTCTATCGAATCAAGGTACTAATAGTCTATCATATTTAGGTACCAATAGTCTATCATATTTAGGTACCAATAGTCTATCATATTTAGGTACTAATAGTCTAACATAAGTAGGTACTAATAGTCTAAAATATGTCGGTACTAATAGTCCATCTTATGTATATACTAAAAGTCTATCGAATCAAGGTACTAATAGTCTATCATACGTAGGTACTAATAGTCTAACATAAGTAGGTACTAATAGTCTAAAATATGTAGGTTCTAATAGTCCATCTTATGTAGATACTAAAAAACTATCGAATCTAGGTACTAATAATCTATCATATGTAGATACTAATAGTCTATCATATTTAGGTACTAATAGTCTAACATATGTAGGTACTAATAGTCTATCATACGTAGGTACTTATAGCCTATCATATGTAGGTACTAATAGCCTAACATATGTAGGTACTAAAAGTCTAACATATGTAGGTACTAATAGTCTATCATATGTAGGTACTAATAGTCTATCATATGTAGGTACTAATAGCCTAACATATGTAGGTACCAATAGTCTATCATATGTAGGTACTAATAGCCTAACATATGTCGGTATGTTGGATATAAGATATTCTTCACGAGGGTTTGCTGTCCAAATTCTGCACCCGAGGGTAAAATATCCATCTCTCACATACCTAAATCTACATAAAGATTGACTCTTTTCCCCCATCTCCTCACCAAAATAATCATAAACATAATTTTGAAAATTGATCATGGTATGGAATATCTTGATGTTTAGGGATTTTGAAATTTCTATACATGTATTTAGAATTTTGTACTCACAAGACATGAAAGAAAAGTCCTATCTATATAGTATACTATATAGTATACTATTGTGACTTCAGTACATATGATTCACAGTAAATAAGAGACAATTAAAAGTCTTAAAATAATAAATATAGACTGTTTGACTTCAGTAGTTTGATTCACTGCAAAATGTATTCCTTATATAGCTTATTGAACACACTTCTGGTTGTATAATCTACTTTCAGGAATATTTTAGCCAAAATTTTGTGTACATCTTATACACAATGTTGTGATATCAACAGTGTTCATTAAACACAGTCAGATCACCTTAGGGTTGCTCTATATAAAACACGGTCAGATCACCTGAGGGATATGACTATAGTAAACACAGTCAGATCACTTGAGGGTTGTGACTATAGTAAACACAGTCAGATCACCTGAGGGTTGCTCTATATTAAACACAGACAGATCACCTGAGGGATATGACTATAGTAAACACAGTCAGATCACCTGAGGGATATGACTATAGTAAACACAGTCAGATCACCTGAGGGATATGACTATAGTAAACACAGTCAGATCACCTGAGGGATATGACTATAGTAAACACAGTCAGATCACCTGAGGGATATGACTATAGTAAACACAGTCAGATCACCTGAGGGATATGACTATAGTAAACACAGTCAGATCACCTGAGGGATATGACTATAGTAAACACAGTCAGATCACCTGAGGGATATGACTATAGTAAACACAGTCAGATCACCTGAGGGATATGACTATAGTAAACACAGTCAGATCACCTGAGGGATATGACTATAGTAAACACAGTCAGATCACCTGAGGGATATGACTATAGTAAACACAGTCAGATCACCTGAGGGATATGACTATAGTAAACACAGTCAGATCACCTGAGGGATATGACTATAGTAAACACAGTCAGATCACCTGAGGGATATGACTATAGTAAACACAGTCAGATCACCTGAGGGATATGACTATAGTAAACACAGTCAGATCACCTGAGGGATATGACTATAGTAAACACAGTCAGATCACCTGAGGGATATGACTATAGTAAACACAGTCAGATCACCTGAGGGATATGACTATAGTAAACACAGTCAGATCACCTGAGGGATATGACTATAGTAAACACAGTCAGATCACCTGAGGGATATGACTATAGTAAACACAGTCAGATCACCTGAGGGATATGACTATAGTAAACACAGTCAGATCACCTGAGGGATATGACTATAGTAAACACAGTCAGATCACCTGAGGGATATGACTATAGTAAACACAGTCAGATCACCTGAGGGATATGACTATAGTAAACACAGTCAGATCACCTGAGGGATATGACTATAGTAAACACAGTCAGATCACCTGAGGGATATGACTATAGTAAACACAGTCAGATCACCTGAGGGATATGACTATAGTAAACACAGTCAGATCACCTGAGGGATATGACTATAGTAAACACAGTCAGATCACCTGAGGGATATGACTATAGTAAACACAGTCAGATCACCTGAGGGATATGACTATAGTAAACACAGTCAGATCACCTGAGGGATATGACTATAGTAAACACAGTCAGATCACCTGAGGGATATGACTATAGTAAACACAGTCAGATCACCTGAGGGATATGACTATAGTAAACACAGTCAGATCACCTGAGGGATATGACTATAGTAAACACAGTCAGATCACCTGAGGGATATGACTATAGTAAACACAGTCAGATCACCTGAGGGATATGACTATAGTAAACACAGTCAGATCACCTGAGGGATATGACTATAGTAAACACAGTCAGATCACCTGAGGGATATGACTATAGTAAACACAGTCAGATCACCTGAGGGATATGACTATAGTAAACACAGTCAGATCACCTGAGGGATATGACTATAGTAAACACAGTCAGATCACCTGAGGGATATGACTATAGTAAACACAGTCAGATCACCTGAGGGATATGACTATAGTAAACACAGTCAGATCACCTGAGGGATATGACTATAGTAAACACAGTCAGATCACCTGAGGGATATGACTATAGTAAACACAGTCAGATCACCTGAGGGATATGACTATAGTAAACACAGTCAGATCACCTGAGGGATATGACTATAGTAAACACAGTCAGATCACCTGAGGGATATGACTATAGTAAACACAGTCAGATCACCTGAGGGATATGACTATAGTAAACACAGTCAGATCACCTGAGGGATATGACTATAGTAAACACAGTCAGATCACCTGAGGGATATGACTATAGTAAACACAGTCAGATCACCTGAGGGATATGACTATAGTAAACACAGTCAGATCACCTGAGGGATATGACTATAGTAAACACAGTCAGATCACCTGAGGGATATGACTATAGTAAACACAGTCAGATCACCTGAGGGATATGACTATAGTAAACACAGTCAGATCACCTGAGGGATATGACTATAGTAAACACAGTCAGATCACCTGAGGGATATGACTATAGTAAACACAGTCAGATCACCTGAGGGATATGACTATAGTAAACACAGTCAGATCACCTGAGGGATATGACTATAGTAAACACAGTCAGATCACCTGAGGGATATGACTATAGTAAACACAGTCAGATCACCTGAGGGATATGACTATAGTAAACACAGTCAGATCACCTGAGGGATATGACTATAGTAAACACAGTCAGATCACCTGAGGGATATGACTATAGTAAACACAGTCAGATCACCTGAGGGATATGACTATAGTAAACACAGTCAGATCACCTGAGGGATATGACTATAGTAAACACAGTCAGATCACCTGAGGGATATGACTATAGTAAACACAGTCAGATCACCTGAGGGATATGACTATAGTAAACACAGTCAGATCACCTGAGGGATATGACTATAGTAAACACAGTCAGATCACCTGAGGGATATGACTATAGTAAACACAGTCAGATCACCTGAGGGATATGACTATAGTAAACACAGTCAGATCACCTGAGGGATATGACTATAGTAAACACAGTCAGATCACCTGAGGGATATGACTATAGTAAACACAGTCAGATCACCTGAGGGATATGACTATAGTAAACACAGTCAGATCACCTGAGGGATATGACTATAGTAAACACAGTCAGATCACCTGAGGGATATGACTATAGTAAACACAGTCAGATCACCTGAGGGATATGACTATAGTAAACACAGTCAGATCACCTGAGGGATATGACTATAGTAAACACAGTCAGATCACCTGAGGGATATGACTATAGTAAACACAGTCAGATCACCTGAGGGATATGACTATAGTAAACACAGTCAGATCACCTGAGGGATATGACTATAGTAAACACAGTCAGATCACCTGAGGGATATGACTATAGTAAACACAGTCAGATCACCTGAGGGATATGACTATAGTAAACACAGTCAGATCACCTGAGGGATATGACTATAGTAAACACAGTCAGATCACCTGAGGGATATGACTATAGTAAACACAGTCAGATCACCTGAGGGATATGACTATAGTAAACACAGTCAGATCACCTGAGGGATATGACTATAGTAAACACAGTCAGATCACCTGAGGGATATGACTATAGTAAACACAGTCAGATCACCTGAGGGATATGACTATAGTAAACACAGTCAGATCACCTGAGGGATATGACTATAGTAAACACAGTCAGATCACCTGAGGGATATGACTATAGTAAACACAGTCAGATCACCTGAGGGATATGACTATAGTAAACACAGTCAGATCACCTGAGGGATATGACTATAGTAAACACAGTCAGATCACCTGAGGGATATGACTATAGTAAACACAGTCAGATCACCTGAGGGATATGACTATAGTAAACACAGTCAGATCACCTGAGGGATATGACTATAGTAAACACAGTCAGATCACCTGAGGGATATGACTATAGTAAACACAGTCAGATCACCTGAGGGATATGACTATAGTAAACACAGTCAGATCACCTGAGGGATATGACTATAGTAAACACAGTCAGATCACCTGAGGGATATGACTATAGTAAACACAGTCAGATCACCTGAGGGATATGACTATAGTAAACACAGTCAGATCACCTGAGGGATATGACTATAGTAAACACAGTCAGATCACCTGAGGGATATGACTATAGTAAACACAGTCAGATCACCTGAGGGATATGACTATATTAAACACAGTCAGATCACCTGAGGGTTGTGACTATATTAAACACAGTCAGATCACTTGAGGGTTGTGACTATAGTAAACACAGTCAGATCACCTGAGGTTTGTGACTATATTAAACACAGTCAGATCACTTGAGGGTTGTGACTATATTAAACACAGTCAAATCACTTGAGGGTTGTGACAATAGTAAACACAGTCAGATCACTTGAGGGTTGTGACTATAGTAAACACAGTCAGATTACCTGAGGGTTGCTCTGGTGTTTCTTCATCTACGCTGCCCTCCTCAGTCTTTTGTTGCATAGCCCGTACCACAGAAAAGGCCAGACTGATCTTCAAACGAACCTGGAACCCAGAAGTAAAGGAACATCACCAGTGTAAATCAATAAAAATTAAGTTCCAATAGTTTTGAGAAAATTCCTGTTTTCATCTGAAATGGAAATGACAGCCCTGATGCAAATATTACAGCAATGTTGCAGCAACTTTTTGCAGCAAACTTGCCGCAAATATATGCAAATATATGCAGCAACTTTGCTGTAAACATTTGAACGATTGAGAGAGAAACATTACTTCCATATCAATGCAGTCATCGTCAGTGGTTTGATTTGTGGCTATTCACATTGTACAAACCTGTCTGCTTTAGCTGACTGCTCACACTGGTGCTACTCACACAAACAACACCATCAACTCATGATGCATGACCAGTCTCTTCGTTTACATGTTATTCTCTGAAATCTGTTGTGGTGCTACCTTAAAACGTGTACATGTATGTATATAATATTTTGTTTATATCTTTAACAAAAATGAAATAATACAGCTTAACTTCCTTCCTGCTTCCTTTCAGTGATTTTTAGCCCTCCCATGCCACTCAAAGGGCAAGTGATCCTATGCCATGGAGCAGCTTACATCATTTATGTAACTTTCTATGAGTCATCAGTGTCTAAATTAGAATTTGCGAAGATATTTTGTGTTTCTTAGTGTGAAATTCTTTTTCAAAAGATATAAAAGTCAAAGGATCATATGTCCTTAAAAAAGTGTTGGATTTAATTAATAACATTGTACATAATCAGAAGATGGTTTACTATTATCCGAGACTACTGTTTTTTACTTACACTTTCCAGTTTCTTCTTCGAACTTTTGACATCCTCTTGCTTGCCTTTGCTTGGTGATTCTGTTTTCAGAAGTTTTTTCAGATTTCCAAACTTTGACCTAACCGCTTCACTAATTGGTCTGCATTTCTGTTATGCAACAAACATCAATAATGATAAGTTTCATGTGTTAGAATATAGAGTTAGAGGTTTAATTTACATCTACTTGAAATATATTACAAGTATGATAGATGTATAACTTTCAATGTACCAATACATCATTGTTTTTGACTAGACATTTAGTCACAAGTAGACTGCATCTCACTTATTATAATAACTTATAAATGTACATGCCAGGGGAAAAATGGTATCCCCAACCAGGATATTGTAAGGAATGATCTAGCTTTTAGGATGCCTGAAACAGAAGTGAGACCACAGACCATGCCCCACCACCACCACCACCCCACAACAACAACAAACAGTGTAGATAAAGGTGTAAATACAGGAAATAGAATATGTTGCTATACATGTATCAATATTATCATATGCAGGTTCCACTGTACTTGACAATAAAGTTATCACCAGCACTGTCACCCCTTGATGAAGTGCTAGTATAGGTATAGCCAGAATAAACAAATACTTACAGTACTAGGGTCTGGTTCTAGGGACTTTGCCTGCTGTAAATGTCTGTGTTTGTAAGGCACAGCGTAACCCCCAGCATCCACGTAGATGTCATCCCTAAACGGTACAGGATCCACATACACAGCCTCCCCAAGCATATCATCTTTCGTGTCTGCTACACACTCTGCACTTACACTTCTCCTCATTTTATTACGTTTTACTGGTGTGTCTGGCAAATCCCAGTGTTTGATGTCATCTAAATCAAGATGTTTTATTTTTTTCAAATCTTCATAAAACGGACTACTGGCATTTTGATCTCCGTTTGGGGAAGTAATTTTCTTCTTAACAACTGGTTTCTGTTTCGGATCTTTAGTCTGTTTTTCAAAAGAGAAATCAGTAAAATTGTCAGATGCAATTGACATAGGCCGGGTTCGTGGAGGGGGAGGGCGAGTGGGTTTCTTAGGTCTGCTCTCATGATCTTCAACAAAAGTTTCATCTTTACTAGACCTCGTATCATCGTTCGTGTCTTGTGTAGTTTTAACTTCTGGAGTTTTAATTGTCACTATTTTCCTGTATATAGGTCCAGGTTTCTCTTTTAAAGCTAAAGGTTTCTCTTTCTCGTTAGTTTTTTTCTTTTCTTCCTGTATGTCATCAATACTTTCATATAAAATGTTAGGTGTGACTACAATGTCATCTTCCTTCAAATCTTTTAACTTTTCACTGTCTGGATATATTTTTACCCTGAGGTAGTCATCGTGAGCACCCGTGCGTGGGGGTTTCCTTGGCGGAGGGGGTGGACTAGTTAGAATGTTTTTGCCAAGATCCCAGGGATTACAGTAAACCACACCTGGGCTCTCCACTGTTTTAGGGGGGTCGGGATCACCATCATTTGACATACTTGTGGGTCTAGACCTTGGACGAATGGGAGGTGCTGGCCTTAAAACAGTATTGGTTTGCTTCTGTTCTGATTGTTTGGAAAGATCAGCCGATTCAAACATTTTTGTCCTCCTTGACACAATATCTGAACCACTATCGTCTGTTGTAGATTTGACTTTCAATTCTATCGTACCCATTGAAGCATTCCTGGTGTGAGAGCTTGCCCTCGGACTTCGTTCCCTAGGTACAGGTGTTATCTTTCCCCGACTGTTCATCATATTCACAGCTTTCACTACGTCTGCTGAAGATTCAAAGACATCACTTTTTGCTCTAGATTTTTTCCTGACTGGTTTTAAATTTCCCTCAGAAGGTTCTCCCTCAATCACCTTCCTGCCTGCAGTCGAGGGGGTTGATAACGGTGACTGTTTGAAGTGCGCTGTAACTGGCCTTGGAGGACGGCTCTGATTGTTTTCCTGCTCCTTTGATTTTATAGCCTCTGACTTAATTGACACCGTAGACAGTGGTCTGGGACGTGTCAATTGTGGCCGACTGCGGATAATACTTTTCTCAGAACTGCCAAGCTTCTCTGGATTATCAGATTTGGTTTCAAACATTTGACGAATGTTATTTAGTTGACCTGGAGCCAACTGTCTAACACTAGTCTTCGGAATGTCTAACTTTTCAGCCATACTTGTCCTGTTTATGTGAGAAATAACCTTATTACAGCACTGTTATTCAGGGTCCTCTCAGATAATAACTCCATTGTATGTCAGCCATTCCCCTGACACTAATGTGTAATTGCAGTTAAAAATCTGAAAAGAGAAGAAAATTATGATACCTTGTTGGATTGAAAATAGATATATAAGAGTATATTCATGGGTAGATTGTAGTTTTTTGGGTGTTTTTTTTGTTTATTTGTATAAATAAATCTTATATACAAACATAAAAGCATTGTGGTGTCTTTTTATACAGTGCTATATGCAAAGATTACCTTATTGTAAATGTCATAATGTATTAACTGGAGCATGTGATTTGTTTTAAATCAATAATGATTTATTTAATGAGAATGACATGTTTAATGAAAGAATAACCTTCCACATGACCCTCCAACAGATTGCAAACTACAATCATGAAAATAAACACTGAATTACTACTTATGTACATTATAAGTATTCTGTATTGAATCTAGGACAGGATTAGAAAATGCAAAGAGACTCAAGATATTTGGCAACATCAGGGGTAAAACAAAAATATTTCTCCAGTATCGACTGACTATTAGAAATAACAACCAAGGAATTAGATTAGATTGCTATTTTAATCTGTGTAACAACAAATAACTATATCTTCAATAAGATTTATCAGTTTGGAAATATATGTGATATCAAAGTTTTACTTTCTACACAAACAATGTACGTATAATATTACGTGTCGCAACGTTTAAAGACCGTCTGGTCCATTAAATTTGTCAAGCTATGACTGAGTGAACAATTATTTTTTTTTATACCTGTATAATGATGTGATTAAATTGTATATTTTTCATGTCATTCGACCCTATCTGATGCAGTGTGTATACACTCCCTATCGATAGGCGAAGCGTCTTGGGTTGAGTGACATGAAAAAAATACAATTTCGTCACATTGATATAAAGGTAAAAATTACAAATCGCTCACTCAGTCATAGCGTGACAAATTAAAGGGACCAGTCGATCTTGAAATGTTGCGACGCGTTGAATACATACATTGATTGTTTAGAAAGTAAAACTTTGATATAACAAATACCTATATTTTAACTTGTCAATTCCAGATCAAAGTGCTACGTACAGGAGTTTTAATCGTGACTATTAAAAAATAGTTATACACATATATTGATCAAATATTAAGTTTCTTTCAAAGTCTTAAATGTCCCCTTAATCAGGTTGTTTGTAATGTCCCCTTAATCAGGTTGTTAGTAATGTCCCCTTAATCAGGTTGTTAGTAATGTCCCCTTAATCAGGTTGTTAGTAAAGGTGTTTTAATTGTTAGGTGTTCATGCCAATCTGATTCCTTTTCTCCAACGCCCAGATTTCGGGCCAATGCATGGAGTAAAACTGTTAACTGATGATAAAGTTACAGTTTCCCGATATACAACGTTGCACACGTACAGCTTTTGCCTAGAAAATTAATATTTAGCATCAATGCATTGCAATGGATTCATCATAGTAAGTAAAGTGTTTGCAAAGGGAAATTGGTAGAGCATCCGTCCAAAGAGTTCGGAAGGTCCCGGGTTCGAAGCCCGTTCTGGCCGTGCATTTTTCCTTTCCTGTTACAGTGGTGCCTCTGGCCAACCCTTATTTCAAGCATTTGGTGTATGCTTGGCAAGAGGATATCAAACCAGGGTTGTACCTAGTTGTGTCTTCTAGGGGGAAGACTTAGAAAAAGAAGGGAGGAATGTAGCAGGACTGGACTGGGTCGATCGTCGGCGACCAGCTAGCTCAATTGGTAGAGCATCCGTCTAGAGTTCGGAAGGTCCCGGGTTCGAACCCTGGTCTGGCCGTGCATTTTTCCTCTACTGTTACACATTGATATATACAGGTCCAGTACACTCTGCCGATTGAGCTATATAGCTGTAAAGACCAAAAATAGCTCTATTGACCTATCTGAAATAGGTCTTTTGAGCTATTTTCAAGTGATTTTCTTTTTTAAGGAAAACGGAACAAAGTCGCATTTAAAAGAAGATTGTATCATTAGATTGATAACAAAAGACATTAAATATAAGTATTCTTTTTAAAAAATAATGATGTAAAGAAATCGGAAATTTTACATTTATATATGAAAAATGAAAATAAACATCTAAATGTATGCTTTTTGTAGTCAACATTACCATTAACCTTATTGTTTTATGCCACTTTGCTTTGATTTAATGAAATTTGAAATCTGAGAAAATATAGCTCAATACAGCTATAATTTATAGGTGTATATAGCTATATATGTCTTTATAGCTATATAGCTCAATCGGCAGAGTACGGGTGGGAACTGTGAAGTCTTTTCAACGTATAGTTTGCACTATGACAGCTGCGAGCGATTACCAGACATCACAAGTTGTAACATGTACACTGCAGTTTATTCACATATGCACAATATTCGTGCAGATTATGATTTGAGTGAAGCATCGCTATTAATCAGCTAATTTATGATTCGTTGAGTCACTAATCGTAATTTTATGTAAACATTGACACTTTTCTTTCATTCATTAAGTCACTGACACAAATTATACCGGAAGCCTTACATCACAATTTATCTCCTCTTATTCAGATTTTAAGAAGCTCTTTAAAATCATACCTTAAACACATCATGACCGCTTATTCTACATAGAGTCAAACTGAAAATAAAATGCTTCCTTCTCTACGTCCGCCATGTTTTTTCTTAAGGATCCGGTCAGTCGTTTCCGCTTCCGGTCTTTTCTATCCAAGTTTCAACATGGTGGGTTATTATCAAAACAACTATTAGAAATCTGCCGTCATCACATTTAATACTAAGTTTTGAAAACCCTAAACACGTAAACACATTCGAAAATAAATCATTGTTGCAATTCATTAAATACCACAGTCGACATAACTCCCAAAAATGTGAAATCGACTCTGATATATGTCGGAGTCGTATATCATCGTTAAGCAACGTTCAGTGAATGCTTCTAAATGAAAAAAAATATTCATGTGTATGTCGTTTAATTTAACACGGGTATAGATAGGACTACTTATTTGAGAGGGTCATGTCTCCTGATCCAAATTGACCTGAGAATGTTTGGACCTAAGTATACACAGGTGCACTCGTATGTGTATATGACCTGTCCTATATGATGTACATTGTTTTGGATTGGCAGGCTCATTGGGCCTCTAATCGAGTGACCGTGTTCAACAAAAAGGCAAACAATTATTTACGTTTTCTTGTTTTTGAGTAATTCATCTGCCAAAAAAGGTACCATTTCTTAATAAATTCATGAAGAACTGAGTGCGGAATATGTTCAAATATAAAACCGTTCATGTGCTTGTTTTTATGTTAAGCCATAGCTTGCATTTAGTTAATTTAACGAAACTTCTGACAACAAGACAATGTTTTTAATTTGTATATTGCGTTGTAAAAGCTACAAATTGATCAAAAGTATTCTGTCTGTAAAACTACATATAAGTTCATCTTGAAATAATGAGAAACGACTGTCGTGATGAATCAGGCGTGACATTATCTCAATTATCCAAATGACCAAATGTTTTGATGTCGCCATATCTACTACAATTTCCATATTGGTTCATGACATCCATTTATAGAAGTCGGACCTACATTAGAGAAGGGCAAATTATCCATCATGGCAGACAATTCTGATTTCAAATGCCCTTGCTAAATAAAGTCAATAAATAAATGACTTTTTAGAAGTTTTAGTTAAAGTTAAAAAGGAAATCTTAATCAACAGATATGGTTTGAATTAGTAACCTGTGAAGTGATTTGAACCCAATGCTGGTAAGTGTTCATAAACCGCCCTGGTGCGATTCTCCACAGGCTCGTTCCATTATAAGGCACGGGAAAAAAGGATACCTGGCAGGGGTAGAGAAGGCCAGGTATTAATATTAGTACTATACAGTTATCTGGGTCATAACTCTCCAGTCAGTTTTTAGGAGTTTAAGACTATTCCAAGGAATAGCTCTTGACATAAAACTAGGTTTAAATTTAAATGTACTCTTTTGGTTACCAGTTTTCTTTCCCCGAGTATTCCCAGGAATTTTATGTTAAAGTACTAATTTGCAGAGATGTCATAATGCTTAAACGATGAATCAAGAACTGAATTTTGTGTGGTAATTACAGACAACAAAGTTGAAGAAGACCAGGAAGCTGAGAGGCCATGTCAGTCACGGACATGGTCGTATTGGTAAGTGATTGGGAGGAAAATGGGACCTGCGACTGCTGTTGTTAAAAGTATTTTTACAATTAAATAACTTAAATAAGTCTTGAAAGCAAAGAATATTCAGATTCAGTTTAATTGAGAAAGTTTTTATGTCTTTGTTAAAATAACAAAACCTGTTAAGTGATACAAATAACCTTCTGTAGTAAATTGACAAAAAAATAATTGACATCTATACAGCAAAATTGGTGTGGACATTTAAAATTCTTGATGAAAATTTGGCAGGACTCAGGATTAATATTCATATGGTACAGAAATTTGATGTAGCCTTGAAACTTAAAAAAATGAAATTCCATCTGCAGGCAAACACAGGAAGCATCCTGGTGGTCGAGGTAACGCTGGTGGTCAACATCACCACAGAATCAACTTTGACAAATAGTAAGTTCTTAGTGTTCATTTTCCACTGTGACAAAATGTTTCCATTAGTTCAGATGTAGTAATCATTTTACAAATGTACATTTAAAAGAAGGCAAATGACTTTTAAGATGGAGGTTTCTTTTTGAATTATGGATAATAATTCATAAACATTGCTTCCATTAGCAGCAATTTCTTAGTATTCTTTCACGATTGAAACAAAGTTTTTAAAAGAATTGGTTTCAATTCTCTACCTTTTTCATGGACTAGTATGGTGTTTTGAACAACTTACAGTTAATTTTTAATCTAATAAGTTTAAATTATGACAAATGGATTGAGTGAATATTATTAGAAAGTTTTATTGTAAGTCTTTCCATGTCGAGACAAAATCACAGAGACCGAGTATTACCAGCCATACTCTATAGTTCAAGATAAGATGAGTTTATTTCCAGTTCAGGAATTTTTAAATTCCTCTATACCAGACTCATAAATAAATGCATTATATAATACATCACGATGCTAATAGTAAACTATTTCAAATGCCTTAAAAAACCACTTCAATTGGACCAGCAATCATTGAATATATGTTAGCCACAATTTTGACAAGCCCAGGCTACAAAGCTAGCATTAGGGGTGAAGTTCCGTGAACCCCGACTCCTAAATATATTGCAACCCGTTTTATTTTTCAGCCATCCAGGTTACTTCGGTAAAGTTGGTATGAGATATTTCCACAAGACCATGAACAAGTTCTTCTGCCCTACAGTGAATGTGGACAAACTGTGGTCCCTCGTGTCCCAACAGACCAGGGACAATTATGCAAATAACAAGGAGAAAGCTCCTGTTATTGACGTCATCAGAGCAGTAAGTATTGATTGGCTATTTATATTTGGCATACATTATTGTTATTACCATGGTAAAGTATACTTGCAAGTTAATTCTTGTGATGAACATTTCTCTAATTGTGAAGACTGTTCAAAAAATTAATGCGGATCTGGGGTTTGCAGCAAGCACGTTGTTCTGTTATGGGTGGTCTGGAAAATACTTTGATATCCGATTTTTATGCATGTCTGGTAACATCACAAATTTAAAGGTATGAGTGGCTCCCTGGAAAACTTTTTACGAGTCTAAACAAAACCATTATTATAAATTGAATCACTGATATTGGCTGAAATTTTATCCGAGGCCAAACAAAAGTCATGCATGTTTCAGGTTACATGCCAGAAAAAAATAGGATAGATTGGTAGGCAAATAATTTGATTTTAATCTTTTATTTTCATGGACCAATATGATGCTTAACATCAATTTTACAATGCATTTCCACACATTACAATGGCTATTTATTAATTTGCCAAGAATGAGGTCAGACTCTCTTATCATAACTAACGTACATTTTGACCCTTTCACCCCTATGTAACTTTAGTAGACTACCATGCATTGATATGGATGAATCCATTATGGTCTACAGTGGTGAAAGGGTTCATGAGTGGCTGTGAGTTTTGCTTGGCAAATCAGTTAATGTAAAATACAAACAGGTGATAAATTTACCGGGTCCGACAGGAAACCTTAGGTTAACAACCTTAAACACTTTTGTTTTGGCCTGATTGTAATGAAAGGTCACGTTGGTGTTCACACATATTACAAAACCATACCAAGGGTATTCTCTCTTCTGTGATGCTATATAGTATCATGCTATGGTGGATTTATTATGAAAATAAAACAGAAAGAAATTGTTGATAGTGATGTATTTATCAGAGGTCTGTGTAACATAATTTCACACATCATTGGCTTCATTTTCTGACTGTTCCATTACATGATTTTGATGAATAGTGACGTGAATATTCAACTCTTGCAAAATATAAAACTTTAATATTGAACCCAAAGTTTATTTTCAAAAATTAAGTATTTGTTGACACATTTGGAAAGCTTGAGATATTTAATTCAAGGCTCTAGAGAGGATGTATACACACTCCAACTCATTTATATATAGAACGCAGATGTAGATCTTCATTGCTCGCTCTGTTTGAATGGATTGTATGACATTTTTGCATTTTTACTAAAGATATTGAATTATACATCACCTACGACTATATTGTAGTTTAACCAATACAGGCCCTTCCTATAGTATACAACATAATATTGGTAAGAATAAATCGGTATAAAACCAGAATATAAAATTAAAGTGATACTTCTTTAAGTACAGATTCAGCAACTGATAATCTTGCTCTGCGATATATAATATCACACACTACTATTTAGTGTTATTTCCTTATTGTCAACTTTGCTGTTGTATCTCTATATCCCCACTTTGTGAGATCTAACCATGCTGTTTTACTTTACAGGGATATTTCAAGGTTCTAGGAAAGGGAAATTTGCCCAAGCAGCCCATGATAGTGAAGGCCCGCTTCTTCAGCCGATCAGCTGAACTTAAGATAAAGGCTGCTGGTGGTGCCTGTGTTCTAGTGGCATAATTATGGACTTAAAATTTTATTTATGGCATTAAATCGGGCAATCCTAAAAAAATGTGTTGTTAATTTGTTTCATTAAACTTTCTTTCTCATATCTGTGGTAAACATACATCATAATATGTCCAGAATGAAAACAATAAAAGTTTAATAAATTGTGGATAGTTTTAGTGGCTGGAAAGGTCAAGTCAGTTTTATTTAAAAAAAACTTAACACTGAAAAGAAGCCTTTTAAACAACTGATCCCGTCAGCAACTCCAAACTATTAACTCTTTTGTGGTTCAGGCAGCCATTTCTTTTCCATCAGCCAAACCTTCATATACAATTTGAAGACAATTTTTCGAAGTTTTGGTCAATAGATAATATGAATTGGGGCGTGGCACAGATCGATATCCTAAACCCCATAGTCTGCATATAATTATTTATCACATACCTGTTGAATCTTGTTATAGTAATACAAGCAATTTTCAGACCTTGAAATAAAACGTTCTGTATTGCACATGTGCAATTCGGAATGTTGTATTTACCTACTAGCCGGTACTACTTTTTATGGGAATCCCCTTGTCATGGCGAACTGAAAAGTTCCCGGTATTTGCAAAAAATATCGAAGTTTATAAATTCTTTGTATCAATCTTTGCCAAATACGGAAGGTATGTGATAAAAGCAAGACCACACGCTTGTATTTTTCTACCGAATCTGAAAGCACTCATTTATTGCGCGGACAAATATATACGGTCACGCAATAAATGAGTGCTTTCAGATCCGTTAGAAAAACATAAGTGTGTGGTCTTGCATATATGTATATAATGCATGGATGATTTGCCCAAAGCCACTAGCTTACAAAATATGGAGGAATATTAACTGAATTGATCATATCTATGTAGAACGCCAGTTAATCATTTAGCAACACCAATACAGTAAAAAGAAGAGGCCAACTGGGCCTGTATCGCTCATATACAAGTACATGTACCATTTGTTAGGTCACCTGAGCTTTGCTCAAGTGACCTATTCCAATCACTTTCCGTCCCTCCTCGTGCGTAAACTTTTTACATTATCAACTTCTCAAGAACCAGTGGATGGAATTTTTTCAAACTTGGTCAGAATCATTCTTGGTAGATGAGGCTACCAAATTGTAAAATTGGGATCCTTACCCAAACCCTTGGGGCCGGGTCGGGGCCCAAAAGGGATAATTAACCAATATTTCAAAAATCTTCTTCTCCAGACTCGGAGTCCTATGCTACAGTCATTTTCTCTGCATGTATGGAAAGATCATCAGGGGCTTTATTTAAATTGTAAATTTCAGGACCCCCGAGCTATCCGTTCTCCCTTGGGGAGGGGGTAAAGTTTACTATAGTTTATATAGGGAAACAACACTTTTGGGTTTATTTTGACAATTTTCTGTTGGAAGTTATTTTTACTTAGTCAGAATCATCTTTGGTGGACGACGGTAACACATTGTCAACTTGGAATTCCTGCCCCATCCTCAGGGGTTAGAGCGGGGCCCCAAAGGGAACATTTACAAATATTTTAAAATTCTTATCCTTTGATGACATGACAAGTATTGTATTTCACTTAGTTTACATGCTGATTTCCACATCACATCTAAACAATAAAATAAAGCTACCAGTACCTATGATATAACTCGGGTTACCGCTAAGGCCCTTGTGTCTCTTGTTAACTGAACCAGACGAGATGTTAAAACTTGTGACAAAGTGGCAATCTGAAATTCCTTATTCACCCTAACTTAGGTAATGAAAGGAATATTTTTAATGGCATGTAGTGAAACTTAATCGTGTAGAATTGTCATTAATAGCTGGGCCAATTGGAGAACGGTGGCTATTCTAGACCTGACATGAACCTAAATAATAACGGCACCCCTAAATAAAAACTTGCTTTATCGGGTTAAAAGTGAACTTGCGTATATATATACATTCAAGAAAAATACGTAACATTATTAATTTATTATGCATACGAATCCTGGTCATGAGGTAATGATTAGCAAAATTTCTGCAGAATGATTAAACCACAGGGTCACGTTACAATCACACATATGCTTTACTGATATGGGTCACAACACACATAAACATATGTGTGATTGTAACGTGACCCTGTGATTAAACCGCAACGTAGAAACTTTGGCCCAATTATGCCTGGACAATTTGAAAAAGATTTACCTCTTAACCCAGTGATGTTTTAATCTTACTTCGCCGGGTTCAAAGTACGCCCCTCAATGCTTACCTCTGTTTTCTTTACTGGTCCGTCCCTAGATCAGATCAGATTTTGTTCAAATTCCTCCACCAGTCAAAATTGACGGCGCCTCTCGCCCATAAGAAGACATTTCAACCTATTATATTCTTGTTGTGTATGTACGTACGCTAGATACTATTTATCGGTTTGTGTTCACTATCCTAGGCAACGAGAGAAATACGATATTAGATTTCTTGACAGCGCTCACCATTAGCCCGAGTTTCCTCTGGCCGTAACATCGGACTTTGACATTTTGACAGATAGATGTCTGGTAAGTCTGGTGTCGGGGCCCAGAGGAAATTCGTGTTACTGCACCATATGGACAGTAACAATTGAAGTCCAGTATGCTGTAACGCTTTGTTTTACTCCTCAAACGAGACGTTATGGTTGTCATGGGCATGTTCAACCGGTGCAGTGTTACGTTGATGACGTAGTATTACGAATATTATTTTATCAAACTATTTTACTCTGTACCTGACTCTATCCGGTACCACCCTGAAGTAACACTCTGTACCTGACTCTATCCGGTACCACCCTGAAGTAACACTCTGTACCTGACTCTATCCGGTACCACCCTGAAGTAACACTCTGTACCTGACTCTATCCGGTACCACCCTGAAGTAACACTCTGTACCTGACTCTATCCGGTACCACCCTGAAGTAACACTCTGTACCTGACTCTATCCGGTACCACCCTGAAGTAACACTCTGTACCTGACTCTATCCGGTACCACCCTGAAGTAACACTCTGTACCTGACTCTATCCGGTACCACCCTGAAGTAACACTCTGTACCTGACTCTATCCGGTACCACCCTGAAGTAACACTCTGTACCTGACTCTATCCGGTACCACCCTGAAGTAACACTTGGACTACTTTATTATGAAAGTCGAACGGAAAAACAAATACATGTAACTCTAATTAAACATATTCTACAGGATTCGCTGCCGCGCATCACGTCATAGTTAGAACGGAACTGTGTTTCATACAGTCATTAATTAAAAAAAAAAAAAAGCAGTGTTCCCGTTTCGGAATAACTTCCCTGAAGATCTTTAACACCTTCAAAACGCTACAATCAACAGCAACGTATATATTTCCTCGCACTTCTCCAACTCCTGAATCATGCTCGAAATCAACAGCTTCCAGTATTTCTTCCTTCTAATATCTGATGAAAAGGTCTTTTTTTTTTATCTCTTTTCCGAGTTTCGCCCTGCCCCTCAGCCTCGTGTCGCCTAGGCCTAGCGATACTTCATACCAACTTTTTTGAAAAATATATGTTTTGACCTTATCTATCTATCAGCAAAAAACATACATGTATATAGATTACTTCTAAAATCAAAATAAAACTAAGAATGTTAAGTGTCTGGAACAAACTTATTTGCAATGAAACCAACGTATGAAGTATCCTATATCGCGTGTAGTTGAATTCACAACCAATCGCATAAAGAACAAATTTGATTCAAATTTGATATGCACATTTGTAAATACAAAGTAGTTTGAAGGCAAAATAGAAAAAAACACAATGAAATACATACATAGACATGTACATGTAGAAAAGTCGCAAAGTGATTGCTTATATTTCTAATATACAAATGTACATTAACATGGACAAAATTAACATAGCTTCAAAAAGAAAATTTGATTTGAACATTTTTAGCTGCAAAGTCCATACCTTATACTGTCAGCAAGTCCACTCTCCTCAGTTCTAGACCGTTTAATGAATAAGCAAGAGTCCAGTATCGACTGCGAGTTGTTTGTAGGTAATATTGACGTCAAATCATTGGTATCTAAGGCTGCAATATTGTGATTAGGAATGCATTTTTGGAAATATTCTTTTCTGGCAGATTCATTAAGGGAACAGTGAAAAAAGAAGTGTACTTCATTTTCTAACACACCACATTTTCTACAGAGTCTCTGGTCTCGTGGTATACCTTTGAGACGCCATGGCTAGTTCCAGTTTGTGTTCACATACATATGCCAGACAATTTTTACTAAGTTACAATAAAAACAAAGGATCACTGACAAATATATGAAGGGCAGTTCTACTCTTTCTTCATATATGAATTTATTTTTACTAACATTACCAAACTACGCACTTCGAACACTAAATACACCGAGGGGAGATCGTTTATGTCGGATCAATATCGGTGATGAATTTCATTATTTATTCGATTGCAAAGATGATCGTGTGTCAAGCTTAAAAAAGTATATACAAACTGATTATATACTATGGACCTTAATATACAAACACATGTAAGGTGTGTAATATTAGAGTGTTAACAGGAAAAGCAAAGCTTTTGAAAAAAAAAGTACAATTATTTTAGATTTAAATGTTTTATTTGATATTATTACCTACAAATACAAATAGGTTTATTCACGTGCTTGTTAATATCTTCATGTTTTTGTATCCATCATGTCATTATAATACATATTTACTTGTATTCTCATGATTAATAATATACTGTTTGTTGGAACAACTAGGACCATGTACAGGCACAGAACTGGATACAGCATCTCTGTAAGTCGCTTTAATGTGTTCCTGATGAGGTCATTTCACAAAATGAGTCAGAATTAAAAACAGCTAAATAAAGTTATAAGATCGCCTTATTCATTGCTTTTCTACCATTTAAACAGTCCATTGACAATCGCTCTTCCACCGTTTAGCACCTGCAAAATAATACATATTTACATAAATTTGATTATTAATCCATGCAATTGTGAATAAATGATGCTGTGAAATACAGATATGTAAAAATTACCGGAAGTTCGTCCGGAAAACGTAAGAATTAATCACTGATTAAAAAACACGCATAAATATGCAGTTTTGCTTAATGCACTTTTTTATCTTGCTCAAAATGAGCCCATACCTGAAAAAACGGTGATATATTTCATTTATGAACCAGTCATTTTTATAGTCTGACAAACGTACGAAAATGTCGTATGCAAATGAGGCCACATCTCCTCGCCGATTTTTTCCAAACTTCCGAAGAGCCATGGAGACATTCTTATATCGATAAACACTGTTTTCAATGAAACGTAAACCTTGTACTGCAATGAACTTCCAATTTTTCACCAATTTTGAACAGAACAAATGAGAAATAACTTACCATCAACCAAAACCGATATAAGACTACAGAAAACAAATAATAACAGAATATATTATAACTAAATCAATAAAATAAATAAATTTATAAAATTACATGAATTCGTTCAAGTTGACATATTGAAAAATCACTAAAAAATGTGAAATTTTTAAAACCTTGTTTTGATAATTAATTTGACGATCAAAGATACAAATTGTTATTCATTAACGAATCTTTTGTTCTGCAGGTCGCTGTAGAGAATTTCTTTTTAGTGTATTCGAGTTATCTTTCTTTGAACACTAAACCAAAAACACACGGAAACATAACGGCTACTTCCGACCGGAGAAACTTCTGATTTAAAAAAAATACTATTTTATGTTGCTAGTTTTTTGTTTCTATTAGTAGATTGTGTACATGTTTATGACAGTCATCCGTAACTTCAACAGTTTTATGCCGATGTGCTATCAGATGTCAATAGGGGTTATTCGGATTTCCGTCATAATATAAATGTGAAATCTCTTGCAATTATGACGGCATCCACCATCAGTTTTCGATAGGAAAGTGATCGTGTATAGCGACATTTTTGTCAGGTAGGTTTATCCAAGGACTGTCAACGGAAATGTAAAATGTATGCGTTTTAAACTTCGATTGGTGAAAAAACTACCAAGACAATCGTGAAATCATCATTGTGCGTGTTGTTGTCGTGTTTAATTGGCCCCGCACAGGCCTTTCATGTCGCCCTCAAATTCGTCATTTCGAAGATTTTCGATGGGAAAACTTGATACTATATGCATGGGTATATACACCTATCTGCTTGTGAGAAACGCTAAATAGATATTAAGTCAACATTATATGTAGAACTGTATGCTAATCAGTTTGACCATGATTAGTCGGTTACCGCTCACAGAGAACTCTCCCGCATTTAAAATGACAAATTTCCAACAGGCGTCTTACATCACTTCCTCATGGAATATCATAAACTGGGTGCATTACCAATTCGTAGCCTTTACCGCATTAAATAAGTGTTTCTATGTGCGCCGTTGTTTCACTTTGAACGTGTATTTTAGATAAATATTCAGCACAACGCATGTAATGATTGTTTAAAATTCGTATATGGATATGTAAGGACTGGGTTTTTGGATATATGACAGTGTTATAATAGAATATTCATAAAAATGGCACAGTTTCGAAGAGCGTCGTCAAGATAAAAGGATACATATACATGAGCGATACCAGAATAGCCAGTGAGAGAAGACTGTTTGGTTTGTTTGTAGTTTACGTCCTATTAACAGCTATGGTCATTTAAGGACGTGCCAAGTTTTTTTGGTGATGGAAAGCCGGAGTTCCCGGAGAAAACCCACCGACCTACGGCCAGTACCTGGCGAGCCTCAAGCCCGCGGCCCAGTGTTGTAGGGCTAGTGGCAGCAGAATGTCGGATGCATTTTAGAAACAATTGGCCAACGCGAGAAGACGGAAGCACTGGTAACAGTATATTGACATTAAGTAAAGTAACCACACATAAACATTATATATTCACATCAATAATTACAAGTGTGAATGTTGTCCCTTTCACAAAAAAAAGTTACATGTTGAAGTAATTTAATCGAATTGACGTGCCACTGACAATGCGCACAGAAACTTTAACGAAGAGTCGGCCTACACTATTTATATAAAATGTCACTGTCTACACTATACCATATTCTGTAGTGGACACGGAGTAAACACGCCTGATATCTACAGGAACATTTCTCTTATTATACAAACGCGTCATAGACAAGTAGGTTGTTAAATTGTTTCCCGCCACAAACTCGTTGGCGTCCTCATTTTCTATGGGTTGTGTGAAGATAAGATCACCTCCACACGGGATGTGAGACGACAGCTTACAGAACAACGCCTTAGCAATCTTGGTGTCGTCTGCGTACAACGGATACATTTTGTACCCTACGTCAGAGGACTTGAGAACTCCGTAGCCACAAACTCGTCCGCCCCGAAAAGCCACATACGTCCTCGCAGCCTCGTTCTGGGCCCAGTTGCTGATGTACACCGGTCGAGGAATGGTGTGAATCTCTGCGTCATATGCAATGACGTCATCGAAGTTGACTTGTTCTGCTGGCTGGATTTCACAGTCCGGATCCGGACAGTCCCTGACGAAGTCCGGATTAACGGGTCCCTGATTATAGTGGAAGGTGTAGGACTTTATAGTCCACCCAAATTGTGCATAGAACGAAATTCTGTTAGATAGCGACGTTCCTCCCACGTTCTTGTCGGCCATCACATCCATGACCTTACGGAACATGACCTTGCCGACTCCAAGTGACCGGTACTCCTCCTTGACGATATTCATTCCAGAAGACGCAAAGTCCGGACTGTGGACGAGGATCCCGTTGTGTCCTGTTAGTAAACGGAACAGAAAACAGATCTACTTCAATTGTTTGATCCATCCAATCACATTATATTAATACCGGGTAGTTTATTTTCTGCCGTACTGGAGCAAAGCTGTACTACTTTACATAACTACTATTGTATTACTTATCTGATTATTAATATTGCTGTTACATGGCTGATTAATAACAAAGCAGTATGTAGAGGGAGCGTGTTCGTCAGGACATTTTGCGTGATAGGGCAACAGACTGGGTAGGAGAGCAATTGACAAAAAAGCAAATTAACAAGCATCGATTTTTTGTTAATGATATACTGACCAGTTTTGTTTTATTCTGAAAAGAATGATCAGATGTAGACTATTCATAAGTCATTAGTATCATTGTGTAATTATTTTTTTCCCTGCAGTTCTGTGAAAGGAATAGAACAATTATATGGAGCAATAGTGGTCTTAATTGAGAGACCTTCAAACGTATAAACAATGAAACTTATACAAATAAAAATTTCCTAATGCAAATATGAAAACAAAATAATCAACATTCATAACTAGATTAAAATGACGTAATTTCACCAACTGACCAATGATCTGGCCGTCGTCCTTGACTACCACCACGAGGCCGGTGGGATCGGTGTTGAACACACACTCCAGATAGCTCTTCTCCATGTTCCATTGATTGACCCTGAGAAGGTCGTACAGAGGCTGAATGTCACTCCTCCTCATAGGCCGCACCTCGAACTTCACATCCCCCTCATCCCTGTAGGACACAACAACTGTTACATTAACGACTAAAACTAAAATCAGAGAACCCCGTTTATCCGAACGACTTAGGGTGCAGTGGATAACGGACTTCCCTTTCACCAAGGCGGCCCGGGACTCCCCGGCGGACATGAAAAGGCATTGGGTCACCTGCCCGACCACGTGGGTTTTCTCCGGGAACTCCGGTTTCCTCCCACAATAAGATTCCCCGCTTGATAACATCCGGGCCAACAAGAGTGATTAATATGAGTTGAAATTACTTGTTTCATAATTATTGTAAAATAAATATAGCTTATATATAGTATATACAGTCTGAAAGCTGACCCACCCTAGGAAGCGTGAATGCATGCTAATCAGAACTACAGAAGCCAGGAAAATAAACCCACAAGAGGAACAACCTCACTGATACTAACTATCAAAGTCCAGTCAACTAACTAGTAACTAACACTTGATCGAATCTCGTTTATCCGAACTTCCTAAATCCGGAAACTAAAAATCTAGTTAGTATGAGTAAACCAAGTCCGGAAAACTAAACAACACTTAAATTGTAGAACCTCTCTAATTCGAAGTTCCAATGTCCGTTACTAGTATCGGGTATTGCCTGCAGAGTGTGGGATATTGATAATAGCGTCATCTTTTTGTATAACTATGTTTTTAAATGTTTATTTTAAAAAAACAATTTGATTCAAACCAATTTCACATCAAAAAAGGGTTCCGGTGGATTAACTTTACTTCGTCCCTCTCTTCTAGGATATCTTTAAAGTATCATTAAATTTCAATGTCAACATCCCCTAATATTATATCTTCCCGGATGATATTGATACATTGTCTCAGTTGAGGTGTAACATTCGGTAACGGTTCCCAGTCAAGGAGTAAGTAAAGATTGAAATGTTATAGCATGTCACACGTGACTGAGATAGATACTTGCATACTTTGAACAGTGGCGTCCATTTACCTTGTTTCCGAGAACATCCGTCCGGGACAGGAAGCATTTCTGATAGATCTCCGAGCACAGTGTGCCAGTACGCGCTGTAACATTGTAAAGCAGGGTCAGTGTCCGTGTTCACTGTCTTGTGTTATCCCTATGTTTATAGTTATTAATAACACAGCTCTTTTGAATCACATGTCCAGACTTCCACGTGTAAATTAGGCCGTGTCGAGACCATCATGTGTTATATTATATCTAGTTCATAGTTATCGAACCATGTGTCCAGTTCTCAGCTCAGGACAACACGGAAACCTTACGATGACCAGCTTATGAACTATGACATGGTCAGTAAGAAGAGCTTATAGATTATGTTCCTGGTATCTAGAGATCTGATAAGGGTATTTATAGTTGGTGCTCAGTCAGGCTGCAACGAATTATGGTATCGTATCTAATCGTTTGTTTGCCTGTATCGTGATACACTAACAGTACTTAAGTTATCAATCAATTTTTATGAAACTCTAAAAAAGTTTACTTATATTTTTTGAATCCTTCAGTTAAGATGTGGTCCACCGTGCAGTCATGCCCAAAAGCACTAGAAATTATACAAAAAAAATATTACGAATTTGACCTTTTATCAGATATTTGTATCGTGTTACATATCGTATCGTTAGCATCGTATGGTAAGGTATGCATATCATTGCAGCCCTAGTTCTTAGCTATAAGATCCACACAGACTATCAGTGAAACTTCAGTGAGCCAAGGTGTTGATGGGGAGTTTTTAAAGCTCGTGCATCATTTAGAAAGTGAAATTATACAACAAAACATCATTCTGCGTGAAGATGTTCAACACATATCTAAGGCACTGAGTGATATGGCCAAACATGTAGGTGAGTGTTCAGAACAGACAACAGGAGGTTCCAAAAATGACAAGAGAAGTGGGTGTGAACACCGGTATTACACAAAAAGTGACAAGAGAAGTGGGCGTGAATACAGGTATTGCAAAAATGTCAACAACTAGCAATGATGATCACCCAAAGACCAATTCCCAACACACCATGGAGGACAAGGAATACAGGCCTAGGTTGCCACACAACCAGGAGGAAAACAGGCCTGAACCAGAGTCAAAGTCACCTCACATGGAGTCCAGGGACTCCAGGGATATCCACACCGATACTGTATGGATCATAGGGACGTCGATCATAAGCAGACTGGACAAGAAGAAAATGTACAACCGGCACAATGCAAAACGGATCAGGATCACCACACTCCATGACAAAACCATAAGCGGTGCGCAAAAATTCATAAAATCTGGTAAAGTGAATGCAGACACCATACTTTTCCAAGTTGGCTCCAACGACCTGCAGGAAAAAATGACAGAAACAGTAACTGAGGAGTCGGAGCAGCTCATCCATATTACACGTGAGGAACTTGGAACGGACACTAACATCATTCTGAGTGGTGTCCTTCCTCGGTACAATCAAAATTTTGATGATATTTATAAGTTCATGCAGAAACGCAAGGACCTTAACTGTGAAATAGAAGAAATGTGTGTGGAGAAAAATCTCCAATTCATCCCACAAGACAATTACCAGGAGCACGATTTCCATGTTGGAATTCATTTAACTAATAGATCATTACCAAAACTGGTGGGAAACTACAAGAAAATATTGGACAACATGCTTGGGTTACGGCTCTATGATCATAGTAACCAATACTCTGATAGGGGTGTGGTTGGCCGAGACCCCTTTAAGATTCAATAATGCGCGAGGTGACAGTGGCGGAGCGAGGGAACAGATTGAACGACGCCCCCTGTTTATGGGCGATGCGCGAGGTGACCGTGGCGGAGCGAGGGAACAGAGTGAACGACGCCCCCTATTAATGGGCAATGCGCGAGATGACCGTGGCGGAGCGAGGGAACAGAGTGAACGACGCCCCCTGTTTATGGGCGATCGCGAGGTGACCGTAGCGGAGCGAGGGAACAGAGTGAACGCCCCCTGTTAATGGGCAATGCGCGAGGTGACCGTGGCGCCGCGAGGGAACAGAGTGAACGACGCCCACTGTTAATGGGCAATGCGCGAGGTGACCGTGGCGCCGCGAGGGAACAGAGTGAACGACGCCCACTGTTAATGGGCAATGCGCGAGGTGACAGTGGCGGAGCGAGGGAACAGATTGAACGACGCCCCCTGTGAATGGGCAATGCGCTAGGTGACCGTGGCGGAGCGAGGGAACAGAGTGAACGACGCACTCTGTTTATGGACGATGCGCGAGGTGACCGTGGCGGAGCGAGTGAACAGAGTGAACGACGCCCCCTGTCTATGGGCGATGCGCGAGGGGACCGTAGCGGAGCGAGGGAACCGAGTGAACGACGCCCACTGTTAATGGGCGATGCGCGAAGTGACCGAAGCGGAGCGAGGGAACAGAGTGAACGACGCCCACTGTTAATGGGCGATGCGCGAAGTGACCGAAGCGGAGCGAGGGAACAGAGTGAACGGCCCCTGTTTATGGGCGATCGTGGGGAGAGACGCCCCCTGATAGGAGACCATCGAGAAAAATGCCCTTTGATAGACAACCTTGGCATTAACAGAGCACAAATTAACACAAGGGAAATTGCCAATCAATTTGATCCACCCACTATGATATCACCCATTATGATATCACCCACTATGATATCACCTACTATTATATCACCCATTATGATATCACCTACTATGATATCACCCACTATGATATCACCCATTATGATATCACCTACTATGATATCACCCATTATGATATCACCCATTATGATATCACCCACTATGATATCACCCATTGTGATATCACCCACTATGATATCACCCATTGTGATATCACCCATTATGATATCACCCACTATGATATCACCCATTGTGATATCACCCACTATGATATCACCCACTGTGATATCACCCATTATGATATCACCCACTATGATATCACCCATTGTGATATCACCCACTATGATATCACCCATTGTGATATCACCCATTATGATATCACCCACTATGATATCACCCATTGTGATATCACCCACTATGATATCACCCACTGTGATATCACCCATTATGATATCACCCACTATGATATCACCCATTGTGATATCACCCACTATGATATCACCCACTATTATATCACCCACTATGATATCACTCATTGTGATATCACCCACTATGATATCACCCACTATGATATATCACCCATGAGTATATTAACCATCCTTTGTATTGACTATTACATTTAAAAGACTTAGTCTTTAGAAAACTGTTTATTTCGGTACAGACTACTAGGGTAACTTCAGAATGTGATACCATGGTGGTAGGGGTCCTCGGTTAGTGTACATTGATCAGTGACCACCTGTATTGTATCACTTTTAGTTTATGTACTGTAGATAGAGGGTATACTATTACTCAATATATATCATAATGTTTACTTAACTGGCTAATTGGTAATGTCAGCTTGGATAGTGAGATATACAGTGTTATGAGTTGAAATTACTGGTATTAACTGGTCTGATCTAAATAAACACTGTAATAAGTGTTAAGCATTAATGTAGTACAATTATACTCATACTACTTTCCACCAGTCAATGAAAAGTTGAAAATGTAAAGTACTACTAGTATGTTGATATGTTGCAAATTTCTACTAATATGTAGTTTGTACTTGTACATATTCTCTGTGTTATCCAAACAAAAGTGTGTTGGAACTTGAAATTCCATTATGTTTATAAGTTAACTATTTTTTGACTAGTCAAATGAAAAGCATAATAGTTCGCTTTGTTGTATCTTGCATGCTTACTGTAATTTGTAGCTATACATGTGGTCTATATTGTAATATCAATATTCCTCGCAAATGACAATGTATAGCATTTTCTCTATTTTTATCATTTATTGCCCCACTAAAGCTTTACGGATCCTACATTCCGTACAAAGGGAAGCAACTATGATTTTACTTTGTATACAATGTTTAATAAGTGATATTAATAATACTGAGTCCTACTTGCAGTTAAGTTAGCTAATTTGTTGAATATGAAAGATTTTATTTCACTTTCCTGTTGGAATATCAATGGCCTTGGTGATAAATATAAAGACGACTTGTTTATTTCAAGAATTAAGCATGACATTTATATCTGTCTTGAAACATGGACCGGTAACACTTCAGATTCAAAAAATTGGAGGGTTTTAAAACATTTTCAAAAATCAGAAAAAAAGAAAAAAAAAGCTAAGAGAAATAGTGGAGGCATTATCATATATAACAAGAAAGCCCTATCAAAAGGGATATCATACTTAAAAAATGGTTCCTGCTCAAATAACAGGATGTGGATAAAATTTGATAAAATGTATTTTGGAAGAAATAAAGATATCTATATATGTGCCGTTTATGTGCCACCTTCCCCTTACTATGAAGATGATTTTTCGGAGATTGAGAACGAAATATCAAATTATAGTATGGTCGGTGAAGTCATTCTTGCGGATGATTTTAATTCAAGAACAGGATATTTACATGATTTTCAAGAAAGTGATGATGTATCGGCACATATATCACCATTGCTGCCCATGTATACTATTGACCGTGACACGAAAAATAGAAACTCTCTAGATAAGATCACCAATGTACAATGTCGTCAATTACTAGATTTATGTGTCTCTGCAAGACTAAGGATCTTAAATGGTAGATTCTTAGGTGATCTACTTGGAAATTTCACTTGTATAAAACATAATGGATGTAGTGTGGTGGATTATGTCTTGACAAGTGCAAGTCTGCTTTCCTCAGTTGACTATTTTATTGTGCAGGAGCCAACATACTTATCCGATCATGTGCAAACAGTTACTATACTAGAATGTAAAATATCTGATAGCTATGCGAAATCGGTCGAGAATGTAGAAACTAACAACATAAAGTTGTATCATTGGCAAAAAGACTCGAATAATAAGTTAATTAACGTGTTGGAAGACAATGCTATAAAAAATGACATACTAGAACTCCAAACCATGGACATTCCCCCTAGTTCTGTAGGGATTGAGAACGTCACGTTGCTTATTACAAGCATGTATGATAAAATACAAGATAAATGCATGTATCTTAAAGAATGAAAAGGATATAGACCAAAACGAATTAAAAAAGCACTTTGGACAGATAACGAATTCTTTGACCTGCGGAAAACTGTCAAAAATCTGGGAACTAGATTGAAACAATCAAAATATGTAACTAAGACTGAAGTTTCTGTATTTTGCTAAACTACTTAAAAAAATGAAAAGACGGAAAAAGAAAACATTTAAGCAAACTTTATTGAACAAAATTAATGAAATCCCGAATAACGACTCGAAGGAACTGTGGCATGTGTTAAAATCACTTAAACCAAAGAGCATGGATGATCTTGAAGATCCTCCGAATTGGCAAGAGTTCGTTACACATTTTAAAAACTTGGGAAACCAAAATGTGTGCAATGATACAACATTCAAAAAAGAAATTGAACTGAAACTAAGTCAATTAAAACAGCAACTTCAGCACAATAATATAACAGATGGTGCTATAACTATAAGAGAAATAAAAGAAGTGATTAAACTACTACGGACTGGCAAATCAGCAATGAAATTATTAAATATTCTTTAAATGTAATGTTACCACTTTTCGCAAATTATTTTAACGCTATCATGAAAACGGGTTGCTACCCAAGTTCTTGGAATAAATCTTTTTTACTCCCTCTTTATAAGTCGGGATAATCCGATTTGCCAACCAACTATCGAAGCATTTCCCTCCAAAGTTGCTTGGCGAAAGTATTTAACGGCATTTTAAAAAGAAGACTTACTACTTTTATGCAACAAACAATTAGTCCAAATCAATTCGGATTTCGAAAATATAGCAGAACAACTGATACTTTTTTTGTTCTAAAAGCCTTACTGACTAAATATGAACAATCCAAAAAATAAAGTGTATGCCTGTTTCGTTGATTTTAACAAAGCATTTGATAGTGTATGGAGAGACGGTTTAATGTATAAACTTGTTCAAAATAAAGTGGGGAAAAAACTTGTTTAATGTAATAAATGACATGTATACTAAAACCCAATCCTCGTTAAAATTTAAAAAAATACCACTGAATATTTTGATATCATTAGGGGTGTTAAACAAGGTGATAGTTTAAGTCCCACGCTGTTTAACATGTACATAAACGACTTGTCAAATATATTAAGTAACAATCCGCTAAAATTGGGAGATATCAATGTCGGTAGCTTATCCTTTGCAGATGATTTGCTGATTTTATCAGAATCCCCTGAGGGTCTTCAGAAATCTCTAAATGACCTTGAAAAGTATTGCACTAAATGGCAGCTCTCAATTAATACTAATAAAACTGAAGCAATGATTTTTCAATCTAGACGCGGTGTCCAAACAACTAGCAAGAAAGTAAAACCGTTTTTATTTAATAAAAAGGAAATTGAACAAGTTGCCGAATATAAATACTTAGGCACAACGCTTTGTAACAACGGTAAATTCACGTTAGCAATTAAAGAACTTTGTGCAAAAAAGTTAAAAAGTTCTATTTGCAATTAGGCAATATCTAAATAAAATAGCTGATATGCCAATTTGGCTATGGAAGAAGTTATATAATTCCTTAATAAGACCATCATTAACATACAACTCTGAAATATGGTGTGCAGACCACTATCAAAAGATTGTAAATGCAAGCAAAAGAGCAGATTTAAACCATACATCTTAAGACATATTTTCTCTATTGATAAAACACCTATTGAACAAATCAACCTCAAATTCTTCAAAATGGCATTGGGAGTTGGAAAATACGCTGTTAATGTTGAATCGAGGGCAGAACTGGGTCAGTATACCATGGACTGTTTTGTGAATACTCAAGCATTGTGCTATTTGGCAAGGATTACACAAAATGATATAAATGTACTTGTAAAGGAGTCGTTAAAAGTAAATATACATGGTTTACATATATTTCCCAAATAAAAAATAATAATAATATTAACTATGACTTTCATCACGACCCATTCTTTGCAAAAAAGAAAAGGAAAAGGAAACTATTGTTTAAAAAGTCGATACATGCTAAATTTGAATCATATTTTTTTGAAAAAAAATGCATAGTTTGGACGAAAATAGTAAGTTATTTCTATACGTTAAAATTTAAAAAAAAAAAGTATGCAGAGGAACACTACCTATCGTTACCTAACTTTGAATATAGAAAATTGATGGCAAAGCTGAGACTAAGCAACCACAATTTAGAAATTGAGGCTGGTAGATCTAAAAAGATTCCTCGACAATCCCGACTATGTAAATTCTGCAATACTGTAGAAGATGAAGTACATTTTATATTTAAATGCAAAATAAATTTAAATATCAGGACTACGTTTCTCCGAAAAATTAAAATTAACCCATCATTGCCTGATCTACAAAATTTAATATTATTATTGTCATCTAATGACCCACAGCTTTGGCAGGAAAAAAGCCTCTTTTTAAAAAGTCATTTGAACTGAGGAAGGCAGGCTTGCAGAATGCATACGTATGTAGTTTTTGCTGTCCATTATATAGTATCAATGTTTGTTTGATGTTTGCAGCTCGTTCCTTGTAAATTGGATGTAAAATGCAATAAAGTTGATTGATATAAGGTACCAATATGGAACAGGAAACGCAGAGGACTTGCCAATGTATCCATTTGTTACCTTAGTAAGCTGGTGATCCCTAGTAGAACACGTGATCCCTAGTAGAACACGTGATCCCTAGTAGAATACGTGATCCCTAGTAGAACACGTGATCCCTAGTAGAACACGTAATTTTTATGTTCTGTAATGTTTATAGTTTGAATACCATTGTTGTTTCCCTAAACAAAGTCTCCGCGGGTAGAAGTCCTTATACAGGCTACTTTTCGCGACAGTGTTGTTTTCGCTGTTTTCGTGTAGGACGAAACCGGGAAATCAATAGATTTCCAGTCGATACACACTCTAAACGTTTTTGAAACCGCAAACCTCAAAACGGAGAAAATACGTAATATTTTCCATACACACATATTGTATGAATATGATCTTGGGGACGCATACACTCTGGGCGTGTCTCGGACATGACGGAAGGACACGGGCTGAGGCTACCATTAACGGTGATCGAGTTTTCAGCTATGAACCTATTTCAATCTCCAAAAAATACAATTCTACATTTTTTATTGATTTATTTGCTAAATCATTTCCTGTGACTGAGGTACACAATGTATTCATACATATTGTAACATTATCAATGGGGCACCGATATATAAGAAGCTCGGTCATAGAAAACCATTACCGCAGGCTAGATAACCATGATTTAGTTTAAACTTTATTTTATTGATGTTAAATTACAATAGTACATGGTTATAAATACAGAAAAGGATCCAGAAACAAGTACATAGTACTTATTTATGTAAATCCGTGATTTGTGCATGGAACTGCATTGAGATCTTACATAATTATTTCAACATGTGTTTGAATGGCGTTCAGCTCCTGATTTAAGTTCAACTTTCTTTTCCATTTTGCAGCATTAAATCAACAAACTAAATAACGTTTTTTTTGACAACTGACTTTATTGATTCGGCACACTGTGTGGTAGTGAGTTGTTTTCAGCGTTTTAGGGTCGCGACGCCAGTCATTTGCACGCTCTGCTTGACAAAGCTCGCAAAATAAGTTTTCAATTCCTGTTTGTGTTCAAAACAAACGTAACCCTTATTATTCATACAAAACTAAAGATTTTTATTCCGAATATGGAAAACATTTCGTCGTCATTGTTAAACGCGTAATTGTCTTATTTCTTCAAATTCACAGTATTTTAATGTAAGTGACGTGAAATTGCAACTTTTTTTGGAGAAATTGGTTGTTTATAATAGCTGATCATGTTTTTGATTTATTTTAGACGAAGGACAACAAAGGGACATCATCCTTTCTATTAAAACAATAAAACAACTTGTTCTCATTTTTAGATTATTTCACTTGGATACATTGTAATGTAATTAGATGTGTGACACTTCCACCCTTGTCCAATCATTTAAATTAAAAACATCTCGTAATTGTCTTATTGAGAACACAATGTAATCTTAACAAAATGTTCACAGTATAGCCAATGTCTTGTATAGTTCAGCGCAGCGCGTTCCATGGCGACTTCCTCAAAATGGGTTGGATCACAATCGGGACGTTATATTTGAGCGCCAAGACAGGTTAGTAATTGTTCTATAGTATAGAATGACTAGGAAAGTTATTATTTTTCAGTAGAGGTCAAGGTAACTGATGACGTCACACTTCGTGGAAGGCACTGTCTCCCGTCGTCCCCATGTATCCTCCCCATGTTTGTTTGTCAGCGGGAAGGAACTTTAATGAGGTAATTTTGTTTTCGTTCATGACATTGCGCATGCGCTGGTGGATGGTGACGTTGATTGGCGTGTAGAGCTGGCGCGCGAGGGCCTCCTCCAGATTGACCTTGTAGATGTCGGTATCGAACTTCATTTTGACATAATTTGCGTACTGGTCCCGGAGTATCCCCACGCTCACCAGGTTAACGATCAGATCCAGCTTCCCGTCGCCATCTACGTCCCCTATGGCGCCTAGAACGAAGACAGTCAGAACAAATATAATTGATGTCGCGTATCAAAAATCTTTATATCACATACGATGTGAATTTCAAACTGCTGGTTAGGACTCTAAACGAACCTTTTTTTAACTTTACATTTATAGTCTTAATGTTCTGACTATAGACATGCGGCCATAACGAACACGTATATAATGTACCGGAAGTGTCTCAAGTCCTAAGGTTACGGGGAAATGCAGGCAGTCGTTGCTATACATGTTGTGACAAACATACACTTTGGTAAGTTGACTAGTTCCCTGTCAAAACCATTACAGCATTCGACAACATTAAGACTCCAATATATGGCAACAAAAGTAACTTTACATTGGAATAAAAAGGAAAAACATACACATTTGAAACAGATATTTACCTGTTGTCCGTTCATCTGGTTGTTCGACGATACAAAACGGCTTTTGAGATTCTCTTTTACCACGTGACCACGGAACCTCGTTTTCAGTCAATGTACGATTCACACCATGAACCTTTATTGATTCCTGGATTAATTTCTTGTCATTTCCCGACAGCTCTGTTGTAAATAATTAAAGAGTGCTTCGCAAAAATTGTCTTTTCTACCACCTGCACTATGGAGTCCTATATAGTGTATATATGATACAATAATGATATACAAATTATTTCTTTCAAATCGTGTCAAAATTGATCAAGACACCTCTTTTCATATTTGTAGTTCGATTGCATGAAATAATTCCTCGAGTTCGATATCAATAACTTACTGTAGTAGAATTTCTCGGATCCTCGTTCCCAGAGTTTGATGGGCGCCTTCATGGTTGTTCGGTCCAGGGCAAACAATTCCGCCAGGAAAACGGTCTGGTCCGACTCACATTCTACATAATTTTTGTCAATACCGCGCCTCTTGGCCCGGAAGTGGCTGCTGTCGAGTAGAACGCCCTCTAGGTCGGCGTTTGACTCGTCAACGACGGTTTCCTCCAAAACGGAAGTGCCATCATCGAGGGATCGTCTATTGATCTGTCGTCAAATTCACAATGGCCTTATTGTGGACAGAAGTATCAAGAGCAAAGAACAATATTTCCTTTTACGTAATAAGAACATCTGATATCATCTAATTCGGTGATATATTCATAAATTTCAATTTTCATAATTTATCTCCGCCTAACGATGCCCCAGTGTTTATATTGTATACAAATTCTCAACAAATGTACCAGGATGAGTTGAGAAACCTACATATATATCTACCAGCTCTTCAGCAATATAAATCTATACTTTGAAGCTTGAGAGAATAAACTCTTCCATCCCATGTTAAACGTATTTAGGACGACAAGAAAAAGTAGCATTGACACCAGAGCCACACAACAATACTCACTACTCTCTGAACACCGGTTGCCCCATGGATAGCCCCAGTGTGTTGAGGGTCCTCACCATTCCGACCCTGCGCTTTGTACAAAAATATATCCCGGTTATGCGCAGACGTTCGTACTGTAAGGTCAGATGAGACGTCATATCTACCAGAAGTCATGTTCCATAGGACAGTTCCGTCTTTCCCATCTATCACAACGTCCTTTAACAGATTATCACATGTTTGTCATCACATATCACTCTTCTAAGAAGAAATATTTTAACTAAATTGAGTACTTCCATTTAACAAAAACATTTCTTTTAGAAGCATCAAATTTATGTGCAAGATTTTCTTTAATTTAGAACTTAAGATGGCTAGTTCACATCAAATATTCGTTTTTATTAAGCTGAAAGCTTTCCCGTTAGTGCCAATTCCATTGTCTTTTTTAATGAACTGGCTATTTCTAGAAACTGACTTTCGGTTAAGTGACACTATATGTACAACTGAGAGAACACTGAAGTGACGTCATAATCGAACTTGATACACTAGATGCACATGCATTATATGGCCGCAGGTGACGACATTTGACACTAGATGTATAATAGATGTTGGAGGTGAGCTTAACGATTGCATGGATTAACGATGCGCCATTCCTTTCTAGAAATCGGACGTAGTTGTTTCAAAATCTATATTGAAAGAAAATTAACTTACATCCGTTGCATTATAAAATGGCCATGCTCCCTTGCTCCAGTGCATCATGAAATCAATGACGTCATCATCGTTGAAGTAGCCAGGAGCAGGTGAGCTAGAATATGAAACACCACTCAACTTCAATGTTAATCTAATAAAGCAGTGCATAGATCTATGTATCTCCGATCACATGAGATGAAAAAAGATATACATTCAGACACGTTTCATCAGAATTACTCACTCAAAAACAAAATTGTGTGAATCAGTAATATTCTGTTTCTAGGCTAACACGGTATACATATGTACCTGTAAGATTCTCGGTCCTCGAATTTTATTTTCCACATAACCTCTAGATTTTCCCCGTCATATAGCACCATGGTACCGTCAAACCCCGTCATTAGAATGTCATTGACGCCATCTTTGTTGACGTCCACAAGCACGGGAGGGACCATGACTCCTTTCTGGTCACTCCTGTAAAACCAAGACGCACAAATGAGAAATACAATTAAAATTTCAATGTTTTTGTTCGTTTAAATTAAAATGCTCTTGAAGTATTAAAGGAAATAAAAGGTAGCATCGACTCTTTGCAGTAAGCGTTGTAAATCACAAATATTCCTGTGTTTTCGTATCGGTTTTGAATTTTATTGTTGTTCTTGTGTGTTGACGCCGTTATTTTTGTGTTTTGTCCTTGTGTGTTAACCCTGTGATATGTCCCCCTTGGTGGTTAACACGGGTAGTATACTAGTACTTTTCCCCTGTGATTTGCCGCTGTGGTTTATTTTGTCGTTGCGTGTATTGGCGCTTTGGTATATTTTGTTCTTGTGTTTTTCCGCTGGGGTTTATTTTGTCGGTGCGTGTATTGGCGCTTTGGTATATTTCGTTTCTTGTGTGTTGCCGCTGTGTTTTATTTTGTCGTTGCGCGCATTGGCGCTTTGATATATTAAGTTGTTGTATGTCGCCGCAGTGGTTTATTTTGTCGTAGCGTGTATTGGCGCTTTGGTATATATTGTTCTTGTGTGTTGCGCAGTGGTTCATTTTGTCGTTGCGTGTATTGGCGCTTTGGTATATATTGTTCTTGTGTGTTGCCGCAGTGGTTCATTTTGTCGTTGCGTGTGTTGGCGCTTTGGTATATTTAGTTGTTGTGTGTTGCCGCTGTAGTTCATTTTGTTGTTGTGTGTGTTGGCGCTTTGGTATATATTGTTCTTGTGTGTTGAGCAGTGGTTCATTTTGTCGGTGCGTGTATTGGCGCTTTGGTTTATTTAGTTGTTGTGTATTGGCGCTGTGGTTCATTTTGTCGTTGCGTGTATTGGCGCTTTGGTATATTAAGTTGTTGTGTGTTGCCGCAGTGGTTCATTTTGTCGTTGCGTGTATTGGCGCTTTGGTATATATTGTTCTTGTGTGTTGCCGCAGTTGTTAATTTTGTCGTTGCGTGTATTGGCGCTTTAGTATATTTAGTTGTTGTGTGTTGCCGCTGTGGTTCATTTTGTCGTTGCGTGTATTGGCGCTTTGGTATATTTTGTTCTTGTGTGTTGCCGCAGTGGTTTATTTTGTCGTTGCGTGTATTGGCGCTTTGGGTTATATTGTTCTTGTGTGTTGCCGCAGTGGTTAATTTTGTCGTTGCGTGTATTGGCGCTTTGGTATATTTAGTTGTTGTGTGTTGCCGCTGTAGTTCATTTTGTCGTTGTGTGTGTTGGTGCTTTGGTATATTTTGTTCTTGTGTGTTGCCGCTGGGGTTTATTTTGTCGGTGCGTGTATTGGCACTTTGGTATATTTTGTTCTTGTGTGTTGCCGTTGTGGTATGTTTTGTCTTTGCGTGTGTTGAATGTTTGGTATATTTTGTTTTTGTGTGTTGCCGCTGTAGTTTATTTTGTCATTGCTTGTATTGGTGCTTTGGTATATTTTGTTCTTGTGTGTTGCCGCTGGGGTTTGTTTTGTCGGTGCGTGTATTGGCGCTTTGGTATATGTTGTTCTTGTGTGTTGCCGCTATGGAATATATTGTCGTTGCGTGTGTTGGCGCTTTGGTACATTTTGTTCTTGTGTGTTGCCGCTATGGAATATATTGTCGTTGCGTGTATTGGCGCTTTGGTAATTTTGTTTCTTGTGTGTTGCCGCTGTGTTTTATTTTGTCGTTGCGTGTATTGGCGCTTTGGTATATATTGTTCTTGTGTGTTGCCGCAGTGGTTCATTTTGTCGTTGCGTATATTGGCGCTTTGGTTTATTTAGTTGTTGTGGTTTGGCGCTGTGGTTCATTTTGTCGTTGCGTGTATTGGCGCTTTGGTAATTTTGTTTCTTGTGTGTTGCCGCTGTGTTTTATTTTGTCGTTGCGTGTATTGGCGCTTTGGTATATATTGTTCTTGTGTGTTGCCGCAGTGGTTCATTTTGTCGTTGCGTGTATTGGCGCTTTGGTATTATTAATTGTTGCGTGTTGCCGCTGTAGTTCATTTTGTCGTTGTGTGTGTTGGTGCTTTGGTATATTTTGTTTTTGTGTGTTGCCGCTGTAGTTTATTTTGTCATTGCTTGTATTGGTGCTTTGGTATATTTTGTTCTTGTGTGTTGCCGCAGTGGTTCATTTTGTCGTTGCGTATATTGGCGCTTTGGTTTATTTAGTTGTTGTGGTTTGGCGCTGTGGTTCATTTTGTCGTTGCGTGTATTGGCGCTTTGGTATATATTGTTCTTGTGTGTTGCCGCAGTGGTTCATTTTGTCGTTGCGTGTATTGGCACTTTGGTATATTTTGTTCTTGTGTGTTGCCGCTGTGGTATGTTTTGTCTTTGCGTATGTTGGCGCTTTGGTATATTTTGTTTTTGTGTGTTGCCGCTGTAGTTTATTTTGTCATTGCTTGTATTGGTCCTTTGGTATATTTTGTTCTTGTGTGTTGCCGCTGGGGTTTATTTTGTCGGTGCGTGTATTGGCGCTTTGGTATATTTTGTTCTTGTGTGTTGCCGCTATGGAATATATTGTCATTGCGTGTGTTGGCGCTTTGGTACATTTTGTTCTTGTGTGTTGCCGCTGTGGTATATTTTATCGTTGAGTGTGTTGGCGCTTTGGTATATTTGTTTTCATGTGTTGCCGCTGTAGTATATTTTGTTTGGTTTAGTTTGGTTTAGAATTGTTTAACGTCCTATCAACAGCTATGGTCATTTAAGGACGGGGTACATTTTGTCGTTGCGTGTGTGGGCGCTGTGGTATATTATCCTTCTGTACCAACGTCTTGGTGTTTTATCGATTATGGACTATCTGTGAGTTGAATAAGATGTTGTATGGACATCAGAAAGCGATATTAACAGTGATAACTGGAGTAAAACATCACTGTTCATGTACATTTAACACATGCTCATCGAAAGGAAATATCTTAATTATTATAATTAGTGTAATACTAAGATATGTTTTTGCATGGTGGGACTTACCATTGTGGTATTTGTTTTGAAGAAAACAAGCCCTATTAGGATATATTTTAAGATGATGTCGCCTTGAGTGCACGACTTGTCCGTTTTGTACGTACCTGAACAACTCTATCTCGCCCTTCTCGCTAGGTGTCTTGAACCCCCACTGGTCGTACGCCCCACGTGTGTTTCGGACAAGAGTACCTTTTGGGAGCCCCATCACGTTTCGATAAAAATCGGGAAGGGAGATCGCCAGGAACAGTCCTGCCAATAAATAGCAAAAGAATAAGCGCATATTCCAACTATCACATGTGTGTGTCTTGTGTTCATCTTAAAAGAATAGAAAAGGTTGATTGTCACTGTTGTTTCCCCTTTCAAACGGCCTAAACCCTACCATCCGTCAACGGCATGGTCAACGGGAGTTTAACAGAAGACGTTTGTTTTTGAGCTTCTAATACCTATTCCCACGCTCCCACCATTAACTTCCTGATCCGCTCTTATTACATCCTCGATACCTCAGTGGTTACGCTCACTTTCGGTCTCTGCACCCCTGGAATATGTCATAGTAAAATGGAAGGCTCAGTGCGCAACACCTTTTGGATGGTACGCGAAGACTAGTTCGATGTACATAAAAAGAATATGTCAGTCGCGTAACGGTAAAATTGACCTCCTTTGGAGTCGGGTGTCCCTCCTCCGTCTTTAAAGGACATGTATCAGCCTATCGAGTGGTCATCGTTTTTTCCTGAGACCAATTAAATAATAGCTAGTCGCGTGCCTTCAATTTTGCTATGACTTATTCCAGGAGTGCAGAGAGCGAAAGTGAGTGTAACCACTGATATCGAGGATGTCTCTGGAGTAGCAAGGATGCTGTTGTTAATCGAGAAATATAATACATATATAAGTGTTTCTCTCATATCCGGTCATGTTAGATAGCGCTGCCCATGTAAGATAGCCATGCTTGCTGACTCTTTCTCTCATATCCGGTCAAGTAAGATAATGCTGGTCATGTAAGATAGCCATGCTTGCTCAGTCTTTCTCTCATATCCAGTCATGTAAGATAATGCTGGTCATATAAGATAGTCATGCTTGCCGAGTCTTTCTTGCATACTAGACCGAGATATCCGCATTTCCGGCGATGCTGAAAAACTCTATCCGACCCACAGGTCTAGATCGCTTACACGCGGAGACTGGCGGGGGAATTATAGTGACCTTTCGGGGTCACGCTATTGTTCGTGTTCTCATTTTATGACGTTTTGGGCTCAGTCAGGGTCATTCACGCCACTAACAATTACCATCCGGGCTTCATATGCAAAAGAGAAATGTGCGGACAGTTTACAACTTTACTAGAAGAGCAGCTGTCTAAGCAAGAAATAGAAGCAATCCCTGATGCGAGTTAAGGATAAGGTTTTTCAAACTCAATGCTCAATATGTTATCCCTTGAGTTTGAATAACCTTATCCATACTTCACATCAGGGTTGGATTCTATTAATGTTACATGGGCTTGACGTCACAAAGGCTCACAGTGACGTGACGTCACCGATTTGGAAATTTGCAATGCCGCAATGCGGAAAAGGCGACGAAATGAAATTAAAACCTTTTACGATATATTTACCGTATACGTTATAAAGATGTTATCATTTTTTCTGCTCAAACTCTGTTTACAAATATGGGGTATGCTAAATCTGGCTGACAGATTCTTTTTCGAAACAGTTTCCAGTCCAAACGCAATTTCATGGTTTCTGAGATTATTCTTGTAGTTGGAATGAGAGAAAAATACTCTTTCCTGCGTAAGGGTGTAGGATAGGGAAATTCCACCCTACGGATTTTTAAATTTTGCAAAACCCTCGGGAAAGCCTCGGATTTGACCAAATTTGGAAAAAAACTCGGGTGGAATTTTCCTATCTACACCCCTGGAAATGAAAGAGTCTTATAATCCATACCTCCGACTGTCTCGCCTCCACTGCCGTACAAGATGTATTGGGAACCGTCTCGTCGCTCGTGGAGGACAGGCGAGATGTACACTTCTTTGTGTTCCGGTAAGTCCAGATGGGTTCCGATCGGCAGGCCCGTCCGTCCGGAGATCATCATCAGCCAACCCGTCTTTCTCACGTGATTCTGGAGGCGAAAAAGGTACATCACTGAGCAAGTGGTAAAAACACGAGATGCGTCGCTAAGAGATCAGTTACATTCTACCTCCCGTAACAGTTGACTGCCTCGACGGTGACGTTGTGTCGCATAGTGACAGAAGACTATATACCTCGACAGTGACGATAGGCCGCCTTAGTGAGAGAACGTTGGGTCCCGTAGGAGAAAAAAATGCGTATGATTTAGTGGTGACGTTATATATCTATTAAAACTGCTTTCGAGTAAGATGTGCTGTGTAAGGTCGCCTCATTTAGACATAAACGTGTTTCTTGGGAAGGGATGTGAGTTTGACCTATTTTTCACAGTGGCGGTATACCTCAGCGGGGACGGTGAGATCGTCCCCGTGTGAGATGACTACGTACCTCGGAGGGGACGGTGGGATAGCCCCCTCCAGAAATAGATTGCTTTCGTGAGAACGGTGGGGACGGTGAGATCGCCTCTGTGATATATGACTACGTACCTTAGCGGGGACGGTGAGATCGCCTCTGTGATAGGTGATAACGTACCTCGGCAGGGACGGTGAGATCGACTCTGTGATAGATGATAATGTACCTCGGCAGGGACGGTGAGATCGCCTCTGTGATAGATGACTACGTACCTCAACAGGGACGGTGGGATTGCCCCGTCACAGATAATTACGTACCAGGCAGAGTGGGATTGCCTCCGTGAAAGATGCTTGCATACTCCAGCAAGGCCGGTGGGATCGCCGCTGTGAGAGATGACTACTTACCTTAGCGGGGACGTTGGGATTGCCCCGTCACGGATAATTACGTATCAGACAGAGTGGGATTACCCACTCCTCGGCAGGGACGGTGAGATCGCCTCTGTGATAGATGACTACGTACCTCAACAGGGACGGTGGGATTGCCCCGTCACAGATAATTACGTACCAGGCAGAGTGGGATTGCCTCCGTGAAAGATGCTTGCATACTCCAGCAAGGCCGGTGGGATCGCCGCTGTGAGAGATGACTACTTACCTTAGCGGGGACGTTGGGATTGCCCCGTCACGGATAATTACGTATCAGACAGAGTGGGATTACCCACTCCTCGGCAGGGACGGTGAGATCGCCTCTGTGATAGATGACTACGTACCTCAACAGGGACGGTGGGATTGCCCCGTCACAGATAATTACGTACCAGGCAGAGTGGGATTGCCTCCGTGAAAGATGCTTGCATACTCCAGCAAGGCCGGTGGGATCGCCGCTGTGAGAGATGACTACTTACCTTAGCGGGGACGTTGGGATTGCCCCGTCACGGATAATTACGTATCAGACAGAGTGGGATTACCCACTCCAGAAATAGACTGCTTTCGTGAGAAATGATTGCTACCTTAGCCGGGACGGTTGGATCGCCCCGTCAGAGATAATTACGTACCAGGAAGAGTGGGATTGCCTCCGTGAAAGACGCCTGCATACTCTAGCAAGGACGGTGGTTTTCACCTCCGTGAAAGATGACTACGTACCTCGGCAAGGACGGTGGGATCGCCTCCGTGAGAGATGACGATATCTTTCACTTTGTCGCCATCCATGTCTGGTATGATGGCGACGCTATAAATGTTCCAGCCACGGTTCACATAAGAAGAGCTATCCCTCCATAGAACGGTACCTGAATAGTTAGAGTAAAAACTAGACGACTGAATGTCGGTAGAAGATTTTGCCATTTAGTGCATATTTTTGGCTTTGGGAGGCTCTGGCGGGTACTAGAAATGCTATCCGATAATGAAAATATATCCTTATGAAGGACAATAGTTTTTTTTAGTAATATCATCTGCATAATCCACAGAAGAGACAATATGCTTTGCCCTTAAAACGACGTCTACAAGGAACATTAGAGAAGAAGAAGAAGAAGAAGAAGAAGAAGAAGAAGAAGAAGAAGAAGAAGAAGAAGAAGAAGAAGAAGAGGAAGAAGAAGAAGAAGAAGATAAATAATAATAAGAAGAAGAAGAAGAAGAAGAAGAAGAAGAAAAGAAGAAGAAGAAGAAGAAGGAGTGGCCACCTGTGGTTGTGTCGATGGCCGTGAGCGTTCCTAGCCTTCCTGTCGCTATACAGTCCGGGGTACCGTCCTGATTTACGTCCACGGAGTGACAGTTTAGTCCGAACACCTCGGAGTAAGCGTCCGCCTTCCACAACAGCTTACCGTCATATCCCCTCAGAGCGACCACGCCCCCTGCACAAGGCTCTTTCATACCTGCAAAAACCAACGCAATATAGTTATGTTCATATTTCACGAGGTAGTCCCCGAGGTTTGCCGAAGGCTTGACAGCTGCAGATGCTTATATATGCTATTTTTTATTGGCAAGGTTCATTTAACATCATTATATACGCACTTATAATTATTTTGAATTTAATCAGTTCTCGTCTTTTTTGAAATTCTTACGATAAAGGAAGTTTAGGCATTGGGCAATTTAACTAAAATGATATCTTCGCATCGCTCCCGTTGTTACACACGACATAGCAGTAAACGGAAGCGATGCCAATATCTAACTTTAGTTCGAGTGAGCATTTTCCGTTTTGTTTCAACAGTGGTTGAGACTAATTAGGATTTCCATTCTTTTGGTCCCAAACATCACTGATGAGTCCTTAAAGGACGAAACAGCTTATGGTGAAGTATAATTCATCTTTGCATATCCCCATCTCTTACCAAATTTCATAGGTGCAAACACGAGTATGTGTTATGTTCATCTCAGTTCAAAAAACTTTTTAACAGTGACATTTTAATTCTTTTGAAACGAGTGCGTGTTTCTTGGCTTCTGAATGAGCTATTGTGGTGTCGTTACTCCACAACAGCGACGCCAATGGAGGAATTCTCTAATGTCAATGATGAATACATAACTAGTGCCAATTCTTACCTAGATTTTTACAGAATTCGGCCATGCTGGACTCGACGATCATCTGACTAACATCCTTGCCGATCGCTATCCCCACTATAATGTCCAGGATACCGTCCCCGTCCGCGTCCACCAGTCTGATACAAGACTCCGTACCTTAAACCGACATAAGGAATGTTTGGTTATAACACGCATAGCTGTATCCCACCAAAGGTTTTAATCAAAGCTAGTACAAATTGCTGACAGATACATGTATATATCGTAATATTAGTTCTTTTTACGTAGATAGCTATCGACCTATTTCTGTCCTCTTTGTGGTTAGCAAAATATTATAGAGACATGTACATATCTCTTTTTATAAATATTTGTCATCAAATGAACTTCTAACTGAATCCCAATATGGTTTCAGCCCTCAACGTTCAACAGAAACGACCCTCCCAGGTTTAGTAGACGAGTGGTCAAAAAATATTGATGACGGTAAATTCACGGGTGTTTTGTTTTTAGATCTTCGTAAAGCGTTTGATACCGTAAATCATAAAGTGCTCTTGCATAAGCTTAATGCTTACGGGGTTTCTGATATAGCATTGAACTTTTTCGAATCATACCTTTCTGGTAGAGTGCAAGCGGTAAACTTTAAAGGTACTTTATCAAGTTGTAAGGAAATAAACATCGGTGTCCCCCAGGGTTCGATACTTGGGCCACTATTTTTTATCTTGCATATGAATGACTATCCAACATGTTTGAAACATTCATCAGTTGTAATGCACGCTGACGACACATCACAGGGTGTAAAAGGTGATGTAGTTGATGATGTCGAAGAAAAGTTAATAGTTGACCTAGAATTAGCAAGTGAGTGGATGACCAATAATAGAATGAGTCTAAATCTAACAAAACCCCAATGCATGCTTATTGGCTCATCACAAAAATTATCAAAACACAGACAGATGCGTGTCAAAGTGAGTGATATAATTATTGAAACTGTACACAATGCCAAACTGCTGGGAGTTTTTATTGACAGCTGTTTATCATGGAATGTACATATTGAATATGTATGTAAGAAATTATCAAAGAAAATTGGAGTGTTGAAACGAATATTTAAACTTCAAAAATAAGAGAAATTCGTACACCAACTTCGTTACTTTTAAAGACTTTAAACTGGATGCCTATTCACGATTTTGATACTTTTAGAAAATGTGTTCTAACTTATAAAATCCTTAACGACCAGGCTCCAGGATTTTTAAAACAAAATTTATTTACCTATGTAACCCAGATTTCCACAAGAACCACAAGATCTTCTGCAATGAACCAGCTCTATATCCCCAAGTGTAGAACAAGTTTTTGCAAAAATTCTTTTAGATACACTTGTACTATTTTATGGAATACTTTGGAAGAAACCATACGAACCAAAACAAATGTTCTGGCTTTTAAAAAGGCATATCTGGCCAATTATTTAAAAATACTAGATCATGAATACCATGTGTTACCGGCGGACCAAGTAGGTAGGGGATTCCTAATCACTGGGAAACCGAGTACTATATGGTATATACAAATGTACTATATGTATATTTTAAAGTACAACATTTGAAATTATCCCTATAGTTCTGTTTATTATAATTTCCTGAGATAATCCTTATATTACCCTGTGATAAATATATGTATGTATTGACTTGTAATATGCTGTGATATTTTCTAATGTTCTTAATGCAATTCTGTGATATTTAGTGATACAATATAATAGGTTGTCTTAATAATGTATTGTACTATTTAACTACTTTTTCTATTTTATTGTATGTCATATGTCTCTGTATGCGTGATGTGCTGTTGTTTTATGTATGTATATATAATGTGCTTTACAGGGCCATATTGTAAACTAGATGAAAATCTAAATATGTTACCCTGTCTAAATAAAAGAATTTATTATTATTATTATTATTATTATATTATTATTATTATTATTATTATTATACGCTTTGAATGGATTTAAAATGTATTGACCCTGTAACCTTTAGTGTGAAAGGTACCTACAAGGGTTCGAATGATCAGCTGTGATGGGTCATAGGCCAAACTTGATTCTGGTGTGCCGGTCGTGCTTGCCGGTGGCAAGGCGGTACAACGACTTGATTACATTGTGTGTGCGTAATATGTCGGTCGGCAAAAATATAAACCAGATTTGAGAGGCAGGCAAAGCGGCACACCAGACGGTAACCGATATAATTGCCTGGACATGTGTACATATTTTTGCTTTCTTGATCGTCACCAGCACATATACAATTATTGTTGATTCATGTTTTACACTTATAATGTATCCTTCAACATTTGTATATCAATTCCCTGCTGTAACATGAAATTACTTTGCAAAGATTCGAGAGGTTTGCCGTGATGTAAATTATGGTTGAACTTATGTGTTATGGTCTTGTCTTAAAACCGGCACTACGAGTGGGAATGGTGCTTTACATAGGTTCGAGTGAATTGTCGGGGTAAGCTTTAGCCTTGAACGGTTCGAGTGAATTGTCGTAGTGATCAATACTTTAAAATATTGGCTATGTTGTAAAGGCACTTCACCATGATGTCAGAACAGATGTGTGTCATTATTGGCTATGGTGTAAAGGCACTTCACCATGATGTCAGAACAGCGGTCGGTCATTATTGGCTATGTTGTAAAGGCACTTCACCATGATGTCAGAACGGATGTCTGTCATTATTGGCTATGTTGTAAAGGCACTTCCCCATGATGTCAGAACAGTGGTCTGTCATTATTGGCTATGTTGTAAAGGCACTTCACCATGATGTCAGAACAGTTGTCTGTCATTATTGGCAATGTTGTAAAGGCACTTCACCATGATGTCAGAACAGCGGTCGTTCATTATTGGCTATGTTGTAAAGGCACTTCACCATGATTACAGAACAGTGGTCTGTCATTATTGGCTATGTTGTAAAGGCACTTCACCATGATGTCAGAACAGCGGTCGTTTATTATTGGTTATGTTGTAAAGGCACTTCACCATGATGTCAGAACAGTGGTCTGTCATTATACATGGCTATGTTGTAAAGGCATTTCACCATGATGTCAGAACAGTGGTCTGTCATTATACATGGCTATGTTGTAAAGGCATTTCACCATGATGTCAGAACAGTGGTCTGTCATTATTGGCGATGTTGTAAAGGCACTTCACCATGATTACAGAACAGTGGTCTGTTATTATTGGCAATGTTGTAAAGGCACTTCACCATTATGTCAGAACAGTGGTCTGTCATTATTGGCTATGGTGTAAAGGCACTTCACCATAATTACAGAACAATGGTCTGTCATTATTGGCTATGTTGTAAAGGCACTTCACCATGATGTCAGAACAGATGTCTGTCATTATTGGCTATGGTGTAAAGGCACTTCACCATGATGTCAGAACAGCGGTCGTTCATTATTGGCTATGTTGTAAAGGCACTTCACCATGATGTCAGAACAGCGGTCGTTCATTATTGGCTATGTTGTAAAGGCACTTCACCATTATTTCAGAACAGTGGTCTGTCATTATTGGCTATGTTGTTAAGGCACTTCACCATGATGTCAGAACAGTGGTCTGTCATTATACATGGCTATGTTGTAAAGGCATTTCACCATGATGTCAGAACAGTGGTCTGTCATTATTGGCTATGTTGTAAAGGCACTTCACCATTATTTCAGAACAGTGGTCTGTCATTATTGGCTATGTTGGAAAGGTATTCCACCATGATGTCAGAACAGTGGTCTGTCATTATTGGCTATGTTGTAAAGGCAATTTTTTTGATGGTGATATTGCATGTTTGTCTTTAGCTTAGTGGTACTTTACCACAGTCTGGGATATTTGTTATGGTGGGTTAATAGCTTTATTCCGATTCGAATGATTTATGGCTCGAAATATTCTTTACCAGGGTTCGAGTAATATGACATGCTTACTTTGCCAGGGTTCGTGCGATTTGTCGTGTTGGGCTATATTCCGTCCTTTCGTGTTGCAGAGTTATCTTCTCTTGTGAGCAGGTATTGAATGGTACGTCATTAGTTTGTGTGAGGGATTTTTCGTCGTTTTCTCAAAAATATTTGACGTTTTTTTCACAAACAAATGACGTAACAATCAATACCTGCTCACAAGAGCAGATCACTCTGCAATACGAAAAGACGGAATAGCTTGAAAGGTATTTTACTAGGGTTCGAGTCATACCATAGTCCGATAGTTTTGTTCTCCAGTCTGCTGTCCGTTTATGTACACTTTGTTCTAGGTCGGGCGAATGTTCATTATGATGTTGCCATGGTAATGATGACATGGGTGTGAAGAACCCGGCTATATATCCAACTCCAACGGAAAGCAACATGAGGGCGAACACGGCGGCCACCGTCGTGGGTGAGCAACAGCTGTCGCGTGAGGAACTCTTGTATGGGGTACTGAAGGTGTAGCCATTTCCGTTCCTCAGTATGGGCGATGACCGTTTAGTGTCGTTGATACTTACTTCCGGAACAGATGTTTGATTGATTACAAGATTCTCTTTCTCGTCAAAATCGTCGTCCTCACTGTCACTACCAAAAGGCAGGAGGTGTTTGTAGTCTGCACCCTTTTTACCTGTAAAGGATTAAATAATCGGAGCCTTAGATAATACATGGAACTATATGGGTCCGTCGTACCTAATTGTCTAATTGATTAAGATAGTCAATTCCATATTCTAGTGCACAAATTAATAGACATCGGATATAGCTATACAGCAAACACAATTAAAGGTGATAATAATGTTATGCATTTAGTAGCTGGTTAATTGTGCATTTCATTAGTCTTAACTCGTGGTCAGTGTCAGAGTTTTATTTGAAAATAGTAGCTATGTAGCCGCAGAGATCTGTAGATCCAGTCTGTAACGTGTCGTGTGTGTGCCTCCGCAGCCGGCTGATGCTGACCGCGGGGTTAATTTAGCAGGATTTATGGCCAGTTTAACCTAGTCGTGTAGGGGTCAAATTTAGCAGGATTTTGCTAACTTATCAACATTTTTAATGTAGCAGGATTTTGCTAAGGGGACAGATTAACAAGGTAGTTAAGTTTGGGAGTAAGAGAGTAGTGTGGGGGAGTTGGAATAGAGGAGTAGTGTGGGAGAGTTGGAATAGAGGAGTAGAGTTGGAGAGTTGGAGAGAAAAGGTTGAGTTAGGGAGACCGAGTTGAGAGGTCTAGAGACATAGAGAAGAGTTAGAAAGTTGGAGAAATAGGCAGTTAGTAAGAATAGTAGTTTTAGCTGTAGTCTTAGGTCTGTGTAGTTTTACAGTTGATAGTAGGAGATTAGCTTGGAGTGGAGAGATTGCGTTCACAATGGTGAACACTTACAAGTATATTCTATGACGGATTAAAATACTTGTGTTGTAAATAAAGTATAAATATCAATGTACTTATTGTGTTGTTCAATCAATTTGAACTGGTGGCAACGGCAGAATTATTACAGAAAATAACACGGTGGAGTAATATAGAAACGTAACACTGGCGGCAGTGGGTGGATAATATTACAACGTAACAATAATCTGAAGAAAAAGAAAAATCGATTTTATTACTTTTCATCAGAGATATTTAAAACAGTATACGTCTCTAAAAATGATGTCGCGGTGGCTTATATGTAAGACATGCCATCAAACTCTGTCGAAATATTGTACAATCTTTTCATATGATTTTTTTTGCCAAAATGTACTTGTTTTTTTTTATCTGCGTCATTCTCCTAAGTAAACAGCCAGAGTTGATTGCTTTTACATCAAATATCGGCACGGCGGTTTGTAATTTACTTGAATGCCTAGACCTATTTGGTTCCTAAATGAATGTAAATACAAGTCCACTTATGGTCATATCAGAACGACGATTCTTTCTCTATTCACACAGCGTAATTTAAGATACAGACAATGTGCGTATTTAAAAATATTTTTTTAGGAAAAAGGAAATATAATTGCGTATTTGAAGCTATGTAAAAAACGTTATTGTGCATAGTAAATTAAAAAGAAAATGCATATTTATGACAAAATTATTTGATAGGTGTATAAAAATCAACAAGAATTAAACCTTACTTGGCATGGTTCCTTGGACAGCCTTACTTGGTCCGGTTTAGAACGACTGGTCAATGTACATCCCTATACAACTCCTTATCGCGAGGAGTTTCGATAAGAGTGTCACTGCTTACAGAGATAAGTGTGTGGTCAAGTTGAAACATCTTGACCATTAGCTATAAACCTATATATACGTCTTTCTATTGGATGATTGCTTTTTAAGTTATTTGACACGTAATAATGTGTAAGGAGGCAGCACCCAAATCGGATCAGTACACAAATCGGATTACTTTTTGGAAAAATACTTATAAATAAATGTGTCAACAAATCAGTTATAACAATGATGTAGTCTTAGAATAGAAAGCCATGCAACATTTGTTGTCTACAGATGATTAGTTTTTAAGTTCAAATAGCACAAGAAAACGTAATTCAAACTCAAATTCAGTGTTTTTATCACGTTTTTAAAAAATAGCGCGTATGACGACTATGTATTCTGTTTTGGACTATAGGAATAAATTCACACTATAGAAATACTTTTTGTCATATAAATTCTAAAGGTCATCATAAAATGTTAATATACTGACAAAAAATAATCATTTGAAGCGCAAGATACTGCAAAATTCAAGCCTTGATCCGATTTGTGTCCTGACATTCGCAAAAACCGGAGACGCTGATTGGTGACTTCATAGCGTTCTATAAATATCTCAAGTGAGCCCCGGGTGCTAATTTCGCTTGTAAGAACTCCCATCGATATTCTTCCATTGATACAATTCAAATTCAATTCAAATTAGTTTATTATAGTGTCACATGTAAAAGGTACAGGTATTACAATCTCTAAAATATGTCTACTCACCCACCCTTACATCCAGTCTATATTAGACTTATGAGACACTCACTCTTCCCCTATCATTCTAGACTGTAAAGTATTACATATATGTACATACTTATGAATTTTAAAAAACCCATAAATGAATATAATTCCTCCTCAGATTTTTCAATGATTTGATAAAATGATGGTTTGGTGATCAGATTTGGGTACTATCACCTTATACAGTTTGAGCATTTCATTTTTGGTGGTGACATGCTTAAAGCAGCATACTAGGCACAAAGTGAAGTTACACAAAGTAAAAGATAGAAAATATGCAATTAAATATTTCAACAAACTGAAAATAGAAACATCAAATGTTATAGCAAAGTCTTTGGTAGAGTTCAATATAAAAAAGTTCCAATGTCAGATACTAGCAGGGGATAGGGTGGTGTCTTCTCCTCCCGTATGTAGGGCTGGAAGGCCTCAGCATGGAAAAAGTCTTTTCTTGCACAGCTGCTTTTTTCAAGGCATTTATCACATGAAATTATAATTGATTAAATCAGTTATTCATTGATTAACTTTTCGTTATTCATCTGTTCATGTCTGGCAGACCAGCGATATGTTTATTTAGATCACGAGGACAGCACCCCCCCCCCCCCCCCCCCCCCTTTAAAACTGGATTTTATTTTATTGATAGTAGATTGAATTTTAGAAACGATAATATCCCTTGAGTATAATGGTTCACCTGTGTTATTTGTGACGGTCATAACACAAATATATAGCTTCTATATGCTTCCAGTATACAATTTGCTGGTCCCTTTCGACCTCTGGACTATTGACGTTTTTGAGACAGTCAGCTTCAAGTTCGTTGCGAGCCGCCGCCGATGTACGATGTAAAACGACCGTCTACGAGCTAGACGAGATCGTGTAAAGATGGTAAAATGAACCCGCGTATCGGGTCACGACAGTGCATATTTAAATGTACTCTAAAAGATCACATAACCACTTGTAAAACTATCATTATTTGATACGCCAGAGTCCACGGTTGCATACAAATATTTTATCAAAGGGATGCCAGGATACGTTGATTGATGCGTAAAATCAAGATTTTCGCCAGTCTAATTCCGCGGTATAACTCTCAACTTCTACCTTTTACAAACAAAACGGACTGTTATATATATAACATATAACTGAAGTTTTCTATTTGTGTTTCCATAGCGACGCTTAATTATGGAATGTTAAGATTTGGAACACGATCACATGTGCCAACCTCGTGCGCTTGTAAACGTGTATGAGTAGGAGGGACTGTACTGCTGACAGAAACGTGTATATGTACTATCAGTAATGTGGGTTTACTTATTATATATAAGACGTTCAGTATATATTTCTGTCTTCATTATTTAATATAGAAGAGGCAATATACACATCCTAAATAAGGTATTTTTTGTATGTATATATATATAATATTCTCTATCGATCTCTAATAAAGATTTCAAGTGGTATCTCCCCCAGGCCTGATGCAACCGTACATTTGCTGATCCGACTGGATTATGCGTTGTAAAAATAACGTCATATCTCATTAATCAGTCTTAATAAATTTAATTCTAATTTTCTAAAGTCATTCAAATTGAGATAAAGTAATATTTCGATAACATTTTATTTAGATTAACCACTGAAATCAGATAAAATCTAGACCGTGACTTAACTTGACGTTGCATTTCTGGAATAAGTTGTGAAACGTGTTATTCCTCCACAGCTGTACACATACTCACACACGTGATGCCTGTAAAGGTCACTTATAAAACCTATCAATAGTTCAGGGGGGAACGGCGTGATACGATACTTTTCTCATTAAGGCTCGAATCCGATCATATACATAAGCTTTCATGTAGTGAAATAAAAAACGTCAAACCCCATAAAAAGTATTTCGTTTGAATTTTTAGTGGATTAAAAATTAGTATCTCACAAATTTGATAAAAAAATTGGAACGATCTTTACTTTTTTTTTCGCAGACAGATTCCGTGGTTTTTCAAAACTAATGTAATGTTGTTGTAAAATGTATGGCCTATCGTTGTTGAGTGCTCTTGTCTTCTTTTAAGGATTTTTTTCACATTATGCTGGTTTCTCTTCAAAATTTGGGTCTTGGGCAAGTCTAATGAGATTTATAAATGAGCGCCCTCTATTCAAATTAAACAGGGAGGTAACTCGTGTAAAACAAATTCACTGTGTGGCCTTATAACCTTGACCCCGGAATGACCTCAAAGTGACAGTTGTTCGGAAAGATGTCGATGCGTCGGCGAAACAGTTTCTACAGGACGTTTAAGAACGTCTCACCAGAATATGATGACTATGTTAAAGACAGAGGATTAACTGCTTCTGCACAAAACAAATGGGTGTTCGAAATTGCATGGGAAGTTGCAAATAAAGGTAATGTCGGTCCGCACGCTCGATGTGTATTGGGTAACCTACATCAGTACATGTGGATCACCAGGCTATCACATTGTGTGTGCATGTTTTACTTGCTCATAAAGTTATTAATCGTTATATATTTAAAGACATTTTCCTATTGACACGTCCATGCTAGTTGCGAAACAGTTGTCATCTATTTTCTATTCATACCTATTTATCTGCGCTTTATTCTTACTCTTAGACATACTATGTGAGAAGATATTATTTGAACCAATTAACGTACAGGCCCAGTACACTGCCGATTGAGCGTTTCACCTATGAATTATAGCCGTATTGAGCTATATTTTCTCAGATTTCAATTTTCATTATTTAAAGCAAAGTCGCATAAAATAAGGTTTATGGTAATGTTGACTACAAAAAACATACAGTTAAGATGTTTATTTTCATTTTTCATAAATGTAAAATTTCTGATTTTTTTACATCCTTATTTTTAAAAAAGATTACTCATATTTAATGTCTTTTGTTATCTACCTAATGATAAAATCTTCTTTTAAAATCGACTTTGTTTCGTTTTCCTTAAAAAAGAATATCACATGAAAATAGCTCAAAAGAACTACTGTATTTCAGATAGGTCAATAGAGCTAGTATAGGCTTTTCAGCTATATAGCTCAATCGGCAGTGTGTACTGGACCTGACGAAGACTTTGTATATTGTCGACTTGGTATCATCGATATTCCGGACTGACTGTGTCAATGATCAAACAAAATAGTAAAATTAGCCTCAACCCTAAAATGCATAGTGCATTTGGTCCAAACTACATCATTTATGTACACATTGGGTCAGGTGGACTGCTGTACCTGAGGGTAAACGGCTTTTGTCACATACACAAATGTACATGTAGTAGCATCCCGAACTTCCAAGAAATGTTGCAAAGACTTTACTGTTCAGAGTTTAGATACGACCAATCCGAATGGCTGTATGGGTACAGCCTAGCCTTCAAAATTGCTAGGCAAAAACATGTCTTATGTACCTATTTTCCAATTGGCTTTTATTTATTTACATTGCATACGTCGTAGTTTCCAATAATGGCATGACACGACGGGAGAGAAAGAATATGTTACTTATCTTGGGTGTTCTTTGAAAGGGCTGATCTAATTCCCTCTACGCTTTCTGCGCACACTACTATATCATCCAGTTGGTTCCACTCAAGTGATGTTTTGATGAAGAAGGAGTTCTTCTATGCTTCCTGTTTGTATCCTGGGATGATTAATGGCATTGATTTGTTGACAATGTTCCTGTTTAATGTTGCTGATGTTTCATAGTTCACATAACGCTTTGTGTTTGTTTTTCGCGTCCTTCCAGAGTGCTGGATTATCTGATGTGAGGGTAGGGCTGGTATAAACCCCTCAACTACTTTGTACATGAATACTAGCCGCTGTGATTTCCTTCTGTTTTGTAAGGTTGGTAGTTCAGGTGGCTTTTATAGGGTCAAACAGTCATAAAACAGATTGTGGTGGACAGGGAGTGTAGATTTATAGAGGACCTGTCACCATAAACTTATCATGACACAAGATTAAATTGTTATAATGTTTAGTAGTATTCGGATAATAACCAGGTAATGAGTTAAGTTGAGAAAAATGTATTAAATTGATTATCAGATGATATATTCCCATGAGAAAATGTAAGTTGTTTACTGGAAGTATGATTATCACTGGTATAATTGCTATAATTTATTTTAACAGTTGGGGGTATCTACACAGTGATCAAGTCAAAGGCACCTGTGACTGTGGAGGAACTGGGAGAGCAGTACTGTCTACTTGGTCCGTATAATGAGTCCTGTGTCCGTACTGAAGTCGAGCTGCTGGAGCCGCAGACTTACATGTTCCGAGAAACGCTGCAGACTATGCGAGATGCAGGCATTAAGGTGCCAATCTAACTCTCCACCTGAAAGCCATATATCACAAAAAAGTTTAGTTTAAACTGCCGTAAACCACAGACTTTTTAATCTAATTCTGTGCCTAAACAAACTGAAAAGCTGTGATTCAAAGTGATATATTCTGCAGATCTGTTTCCTTCATTAATCAATTGGTTTTGTTCATTCAGAAGTCATGTGTTTTTGGCAATCTCAGAATTTATGGACGTTTTTCTTGCTTTACAATTTGGAATCAGTGAAGCAAACTCTTTTGTGTCAAGCTCCATATTAATAACTGTTTATTTTGGATGCAAATTGTTGCGAAAGTATTGATTTCCATCACTCACAACAGAGACGTATACACATTCTGGCTTTATATCACATGCAGTCTATGCTCACAATAAGCATTCAAATTACTGAGACAATGTTTTTATATATATATTTTACATAATATCCTGAGGAATCAAAATAATTGAATATTTTATTTGAATATAACCATTAAGTATCAACTTCCTTCCCCACCCAAAAAAGTTTCACCCTTAAGTTTTCTTTGAATTATTTTTTAATTTTAATACAAGACATCTTTATCCTTATCCATTTCTATTACATGTATTATGTCAGCAAACTACCTACGCAATTTCTATTTAGATATGAACAGATTATTTCAAGAAAAATGTTTGGATGATAGATAATTGATTATTATGATAAAAAATCAGTTGAATAGGCTCGCCAATGACAAAGATTACATTATTAATAGATAATTGATTATTGATGAAAAGCCATAAATAAAAATTTGTCCTACATAAATTTATCGTCAAAATGCAACTAATAGGGTTGAGAACTTATATATGCATTCCATTGAGTTACAATACTACTATTTACCAATTATTAGCTATTATTACGCCGGTTAATGATGTACATGTATTTCATTTGTAATCTTCTAGTAAGATGGTGCTAAAACACTTTCTAAGGGAGATAACTCTTTTTAACACCTTTTATATTGTGTAGTACATGTATTAATGTAAGGTAGGATATATATCCTTATATTGTTTTGAGTTTAATTAATAAAGTATATGTTCAGGTTTATTTCGGAAGATGGTTGATTGAAGGATACCCAAAAGTGGTACTTTTTGACATCGGATCTGCAGCATGGAAATTGGATGAGTTCAAACACGAGTTATGGGAGAAGGCAAACATAGGAATACCTTGGCATGATCGAGAATCTAATGATGCTGTCATCTTTGGTGCGCTAGTAGCATGGTTTATTGGAGAGGTATGCTTGTGTAACAGGTTATATATGAAAGACATTTTGTATGATTGGTTTTATTTCTAAACTTTAATTCTATGTTCTAAGTTCTAGCAATCGAAGGTCACTATGGATAATTTCCTTATTTAGGCCAATCCATTGCAGGAGTATGAAAACATATTATTTGCATTGAAAGAAAAATACTGTATTTTCCTCATTTAAAACACATGATCTAATTTACTCTTAAAACACCGACTACCTGTTGTGTTTGAACCAGAAAAAATCCCATTTTGTGGAGAAGCATGAAGATAATCATGAATATAATCATAACATATTTTAACTTCAATCCAGAGCAATATCCTTTCCACTGAAATATTTGTTTTGAGTGTCCAGATTCTATTTTTCGTACTGTCTTTGGTTATTATAGTCCCCCCTCCTCTGAATTTTAATTTCAATTTTATGGTCATCACACGGGCTGTGTGTTGGCCTTTAAAAGCTATTTGAGGTTAACCAAAATTATTAAATCCTTCGTCATATTATCAGGTTAAAACCCTCTAATAGGGTCAGGTTTATTACAAAGATGACTGTTGTATACGTCATATCTGACGCACAGACTAGTTATTGGTCTTGCATAAGCAATTAACAATGTCAATGGGAGTGTCATTACTCGGTAATAGACCATAGGCAAGTATACAAGAGCTGACCATCTGTGTGCCATCAACATACCCAGGAAATGTCACTATTAGTTTCTGGTTTCCATGCCCAGTTGAGCTTATCCTAAACCATCTTTTATCTAAAAGGAACAAGGGTAGTTTTCCTGATATTTCAATCCATATGTCCTTGTTGGGCATTGTCCATGTTGCCTATGAAAACCATCACTGTAATAAAATAGATGTAAGTGTGTTATCCACTTCGCTTCCCAACCATCTCTTTAGTCATCTCATTCTGAAGACAAGAATCAATCAATGAGATTGTCAATATGGGAAATGAAATGCTTGGCTACATTGAACATTTTCTTTGTGATGGCACACAGTTATATTTATTTATTTCTTGACAAAATTTCTGGGATATATCCCATTGTCACTATTAGGTTGTGATCATGACCGCTCTTGTTAAATGATCACTGTACTAATTTAATGTTATGTTTGACAGTTCAGGAAAAATTTAGATGGCAGTCCACTACTGATTACACACTTCCACGAGTGGCTGGCTGGGGCAGGACTAATCTACCTACGTACCAGGAAAGTGGACACTGCTACAATATTCACTACCCATGCCACTCTGCTTGGGCGTTATCTGTGTGCTGGTAGCACAGATTTCTACAACAACTTAGAAAAGGTACGACCAGAAAGAGCAATTAAAGAAAAAGTGTAAATGTAGTTCTACAACAAATGTTTTTTAATGCTCTGAAATTACTTACTTACTTAATGATACTTAATGATATTTTCCAGCAAAGGTTCCATTCTAAGGATCCTCTTTGCTGGACTCATAAATGTTAAAAATTTAAATGTCAAACAGTAATATGCAAGGTACTCTTAAAGCTGCAACAACAACAACAACTGAGATCACAACTTATTATATTTCAACATGGTAAGATTTACACACAGACCATTGAGCTACAATATCCAAATCTCTAAGATGAGTGTAGCTGTTGGATATACCACAATGGTGATGTAATGACACTTTTCTTTAGGTTATAACATAAACCATGCATTGATGATTTATGCATGCAGGTGCATTCGTTTTTCACCAAATCCTGTCTATGCCACACTTTTACAAAGCCTCCCCTGTATTGCAAACATAAAAAAGTAAGTCGTGTATGAATTTTCTTGGATGAATTTACTTTGTGGAAGGAAAATATCCATGTTCATCATATTTAAAGGATTCTGCATTCTTCCCCCTTAAACTTGCACAACATGACCACTGGTTGTAGTTTCCAGAAATTATGACATCGGTTATGACATCAGCTTTAAAGTTTGAAAACAAGACATCACGTGACAAATGTTTGAATATGTAAAATAACAGTCCGATTCCAATAATTGGATGATCCTGATCACATCTTATAGGCACTGAAGTAGACACAAAAGTAATTTCAATTTTAATTTCATGTGATAGAATAGATAAAATCAACGTATGTTGATATTTATAATGGTGAAATATATAACTCAGGTTTTGAAAAGTTTGACAATTAATTAACTTAGCTGGTGCAGTATCGGTTAATTTACCCCAAGACAGTTTCTTTTCCTTGCTATATTTCACCATAATACATCTATATTAATTCTTCAGTAACTGTATGTGCGAGTTGTATGTGTTACAGTGTAGATTAATTCTTCAGTAACTGTATGTGTGGGTTGTATGTGTTACAGTGTTGAATAATTCTTCAGTAACTGTATGTGTGAGTTGTATGTGTTACAGTGTAGATTAATTCTTCAGTAACTGTATGTGTGAGTTGTATGTGTTACAGTTTAACCTTGACAAGGAAGCAGGTGACCGGCAGATCTACCATAGGTACTGTATGGAGCGGGCGGCAGTTCACTGTGCTCATGTCTTCTCCACTGTATCCGAGATCACTGGTATTGAGGCAGAACATCTTCTAAAAAGAAAGCCTGGTAAGGGACTAGGGAGATTTAACTCATTCACCCCTGAAGACACATTTAAACTCTTTTAATTCAATGGTTGGAATAGTTTATTATGGAATTTCAGGGGTGAATGAGTTAAACACAGACTCACTATGTATTTGTAATAAAATGACATTGCCACTGAATTTTGTTTTCATAAAACATTATTTCTTTAACAAATATTTTCTGTAAGAGTTAATAGTCAATTGTTGTGGAAAAAACTCAAGTCTGTTTTGTGCCTGGAGAATAATTTCAGATTAATAATATTCTCATTTTGTGTCATTTTTGAAGCAAGGTAACATATAGAAATCACTTGGTTGTTGCAATATCTCTTGAAGTGACTATAGATTTTCTTTCTACAAATTGTTTTAGCATCAATAACCTTTTAAGGTTTAATTAAGAAAAAAACTCAATATCAATTCTTGTTATGAATTTTAAGAGACAGATATGAAAAATTCCATAATCTATTTTGTACAAAATCGTTAATGGTAAAAAATATTATAGAACATGATTTGATTTATCAAATATTTTTTCGTATGAAGTGTGATAATAATTGTTTTTTTCCATCAAGTTATTTCAATATGAAAAATCATATTATAAAAACTAAATTATACCAAATATTTGTATTTTGTTTCCAGATGTGATTCTTCCAAATGGTTTAAATGTTGTCAAGTTTAGTGCTATCCATGAATTCCAAAATCTCCATGCAATTTACAAGGAAAAAATCCATGATTTTGTTAGAGGACATTTTTATGGGTAAGTATGAATGTGATGCCTCTACTGACAGGCTGATAGGAATATTCATTAGAATTTTTCCAAGTTGTACCTCATTTTGCTTAGCGATTTTAGGAAAACTAGAATTTCTAACTCTTATCAAATTGAATACTGTAGTTGGACATACAGCAGCTAGAAAAATAAAAGAAGTAAACAGACTAAATGGGGGTTTGCCATTATCACAAATAGTAGAAAATATTAAAAGTGTTGGAGAACCAACTTAATGATAAGAAAAGGAGTCTAACGCCCTGTAGGGATGGTTGGTGGAGGTCTCGGTGGAGGAATCCCAGGTGGATACCGGAGTAATACTGTATTCTAGTAGAGCTTATAGAAGGGAGATAAATACAAGTAAGTAAGAGAAGGAGTCTAACGCCCTGTAGGGATGGTTGGTGGAGGTCTCTGTGGAGGAATCCCAGGTGGATACCGGAGTAATACTGTATTCTAGTAGAGCTTATAGAAGGGAGATAAATACAAGTAAGTAAGCGATGGAGTCTAACGCCCTGTAGGGATGGTTGGTGGAGGTCTTGGTTGAGGAATCCCAGGTGGATACCGGAGTAATACTGCATTCTAGTAGAGCTTATAGAAGGGAGATAAATACAAGTAAGTAAGCGATGGAGTCTAACGCCCTGTAGGGATGGTTGGTGGAGGTCTCGGTGGAGGAATCCCAGGTGGATACTGGAGTATCCTAGTACAGCTTATAGAAGGGAGATAAATACAAGTAGGTAAGAGAAGGAGCATCAACACCAAGGATTCCATAACTGTAGGTTTTCTTAGTTTACATGTTTCGTATGGCTAGGCCAACCGTCATCAGAACCAGGTCAAAATCAGGTTTGATGACGGGTGGCCAAGCCATCTGAAACATGTCAACTAATAAAACCTACAGTTATGGAATCCTTGGTGTTGATGCCCCATCTCTTACCTATATACGTTTTACAGAAATAAAATGAGAATTGTAGGACAGATATTATAAAATAGTTACAATTTTGACTAGTAAAGTGCATTTCTTTGCCATGTAAGTATTATGTTAGTATCTTAGACCATAGCTATAATTTTTTATCTTTTCCTTTTCACAGGCATTATGACTTTGATCTAGATAAGACTCTTTACCTATTCACTGCGGGGCGATATGAATTTTCCAACAAAGGAGCTGATGTTTTCATAGAGGCTCTAGCACGACTCAACCACTTCCTGAAGGTAAGTGCAAAAATAGTGACTCAGCTTGACTGGACAAATATCTAAAGTTAATGTGTATATAGTGACTCAGCTTGACTGGATCAATATCTAAAGTTAATGTGTATATAGTGACTCAGCTTGACTGGACCAATATCTAAAGTTAATGTGTATATAGTGACCAAGCTTGACTGGACCAATATCTAAAGTTAATGTGTATATAGTGACTCAGCTTAACTGGACCAATATCTAAAGTTAATGTGTATATAGTGACTCAGCTTGACTGGACCAATATCTAAAGTTAATTTGTATATAGTGACTCAGCTTGACTTAAACATTATCTAAAGTTAATGTGCATATAGTGACTCAGCTTGACTTAAACACTATCTAAAGTTAATGTGTATAAAGTGACTCAGCTTAACTGGACCAATATCTAAAGTTAATGTGTATATTGTGACTCAGCTTGACTGGACCAATATCTTAAGTTAATGTGTATATAGTGACCAAGCTTGACTGGACCAATATCTAAAGTTAATGTGTATAAAGTGACCTAGCTTGACTGGACCAATATCTAAAATTAATGTGTATATAGTTACTCAGCTTGACTCGACCAATATCTAAGGTTAAGTTGTATATAGTGACTCAGCTTGACTGGACCAATATCTAATGTTAATGTGTATATAGTGACTCAGCTTGACTTAAACACTATCTAAAGTTAATGTGTATATATATAGTGACCTAGCTTGACTGGACCAATATCTAAAGTTAATGTGTATATAGTGACTCAGCGTGACTGAACCAATATCTAAAGTTAATGTGTATATAGTAACTCAGCTTGACTGGACCAATATCTGAAGTTAATGTGTATATAGTGACCTAGCTTGACCTAAACACTATCTAAAGTTAATGTGTATATAGTGACCTAGCTTGACTGGACCAATATCTAAAGTTAATGTGTATATAGTGACCTAGCTTGACTGGACCAATATCTAAAGTTAATGTGTATATAGTGACCTAGCTTGACTGGACCAATATCTAAAGTTAATGTGTATATAGTGACCTAGCTTGACTGGACCAATATCTAAAGTTAATGTGTATATAGTGACCTAGCTTGACTGGACCAATATCTAAAGTTAATGTGTATATAGTGACCTAGCTTGACTGGACCAATATCTAAAGTTAATGTGTATATAGTGACCTAGCTTGACTGGACCAATATCTAAAGTTAATGTGTATATAGTGACCTAGCTTGACTGGACCAATATCTAAAGTTAATGTGTATATAGTGACCTAGCTTGACTGGACCAATATCTAAAGTTAATGTGTATATAGTGACCTAGCTTGACTGGACCAATATCTAAAGTTAATGTGTATATAGTGACCTAGCTTGACTGGACCAATATCTAAAGTTAATGTGTATATAGTGACCTAGCTTGACTGGACCAATATCTAAAGTTAATGTGTATATAGTGACCTAGCTTGACTGGACCAATATCTAAAGTTAATGTGTATATAGTGACCTAGCTTGACTGGACCAATATCTAAAGTTAATGTGTATATAGTGACCTAGCTTGACTGGACCAATATCTAAAGTTAATGTGTATATAGTGACCTAGCTTGACTGGACCAATATCTAAAGTTAATGTGTATATAGTGACCTAGCTTGACTGGACCAATATCTAAAGTTAATGTGTATATAGTGACCTAGCTTGACTGGACCAATATCTAAAGTTAATGTGTATATAGTGACCTAGCTTGACTGGACCAATATCTAAAGTTAATGTGTATATAGTGACCTAGCTTGACTGGACCAATATCTAAAGTTAATGTGTATATAGTGACCTAGCTTGACTGGACCAATATCTAAAGTTAATGTGTATATAGTGACCTAGCTTGACTGGACCAATATCTAAAGTTAATGTGTATATAGTGACCTAGCTTGACTGGACCAATATCTAAAGTTAATGTGTATATAGTGACCTAGCTTGACTGGACCAATATCTAAAGTTAATGTGTATATAGTGACCTAGCTTGACTGGACCAATATCTAAAGTTAATGTGTATATAGTGACCTAGCTTGACTGGACCAATATCTAAAGTTAATGTGTATATAGTGACCTAGCTTGACTGGACCAATATCTAAAGTTAATGTGTATATAGTGACCTAGCTTGACTGGACCAATATCTAAAGTTAATGTGTATATAGTGACCTAGCTTGACTGGACCAATATCTAAAGTTAATGTGTATATAGTGACTCAGCTTGACTGGACCAATATCTAAAGTTAATGTGTATATAGTGACCTAGCTTGACTGGACCAATATCTAAAGTTTATGTGTATATAGTGACCTAGCTTGACTTGACCAATGTCTAAAGTTAAGGTTTATATAGTGACTCAGCTTGACTGGACCAATATCTAAAGTTAATGTGTTTATAGTGACTCAGCTTGACTGGACCAATATCTTTAGATAATGTGTATATAGTGACTCAGCTTGACTGAACCAATATCTAAAGTTAATGTGTATATAGTGACCTAGCTTGACTTAAACACTATCTAAAGTTAATGTGTATATATTGACCTAGCTTGACTGGACCAATATCTAAAGTTAATATGTATATAGTGACCTAGCTTGACTGGACCAATATCTAAAGTTAATGTGTATACAGTGACCTAGCTTGACTGGACCAATATCTAAAGTTAATGTGTTTATAGTGACTCAGCTTGACTGGACCAATATCTAAAGTTAATGTGTATATAGTAACTCAGCTTGACTTAACCAATATCTAAAGTTAATGTGTATATAGTGACTCAGCTTGACTGGACCAATATCTTTAGATAATGTGTATACAGTGACTCAGCTTGACTGGACCAATATCTGTAGATAATGTGTATATAGTGACTCAGCTTGACTGGATCAATATCTAAAGTTAATGTGTATATAGTGACCTAGCTTGACTTGACCAATATCTAAAGTTAATGTGTATATAGTGACTCAGCTTGACTGGACCAATATCTTAAGTTAATGTGTATATAGTGACTCAGCTTGACTGGACCAATATCTAAAATTAATGTGTATATAGTGACTCAGCTTGACTGGACCAATATCTAGAGTTAATGTGTATATAGTAACTCAGCTTGACTGGTCCAATATCTAAAGTTAATGTGTATATAGTGACCTGGCATGACTTAACCACTATCTAAAGTTAATGTGTATATAGTGACCTAGCTTGACTGGACCGATATCTAAAGTTAATGTGTATATAGTGACTCATCTTGTCTGGACCAATATCTAAAGTTAATGTGTATATAGTGACCTAGCTTGACTGGACCAATATCTAAAGTTAATGTATATATAGTGACTCAGCTGGACTGGACCAATATCTAAAGTTAATGTGTATATAGTGACCTGGCAGGACTTAAACACTATCTAAAGTTAATGTGTATATAGTGACCTAGCTTGACTGGACCAATATCTAAAGTTAATGTGTATATAGTGACTCAGCTTGACTGGACCAATATCTAAAAGTTAGTTTGTGTTGACATATGGAGTCAGCTCAATCACTTTCTTAAGAGGTAAGTATAGTATACTATAAACATACATATTTTAACAATAATGTTATTTTAATGGGTTCATGCTATAATTATTGGGCTAAATTTAGTGAGCCCTTATAATGTTTCTGTATTAAAATCTATTGCATAAGTGTGTGTACACCAATTCATTATTCACTAATCTGTTAAAATTTGATAATGTGCTAAAATTTGAGAGCGCTAAACATAGAAGGATGTTAACAGTAATGTTTGGAGGCTCTCAATCGGCCAGCTGAACTTATCAGAAAAACAAATCAGCTGATAAACCACTCAATGAAACATAGAATATTTTAATGAAGTTCTTCTTATCATCATCTCAGTCATTAAAAGAATCATATTTATTAATGTATTCCGTCTTTGCGTGTTGCAGAGTTATCTTCTCTTGTGAGCAGGTATTGATTATTGCGTCATTTGTTTGTGAAAAAACGACGTTATTTTCTCACACAAACCAATGACGTAACAATCAATACCTGCTCACACGAGAAGATTACTCTGCAATACGCAAAGACAGAATAATAGAACCTATCAAATCTTTCAATACCTACAATGCAGTGATTTTTTGTCACAGTACTTCCAAATCAAACTTTGAGATTGTGAGAAGTAAACACCATACCATACAACTTATCATGTTTCACCTTTCTCCTACAGAGTTGTGGAAGTGACATGACTGTGGTAGCATTCCTAATTTTCCCAGCCAAAACAAATAATTTTAACGTGGAGTCCCTTAAAGGCCAGGCAATTGCTAAGCAGTTAAAGGATACAGTCCAACATGTACAAAACCAGATTGGCAAGAGGATGTTTGAGATCTGTCTTAGGTAAGGATGAGATATAGATACAAATATTCAAACAATGGATGAGGTACACACTTAATCTATTAGAAATCTTAAATTTAATGCATGACAGCTCAATTGCTATCTTAGTTAGTTGTCATTGAGTATAGAAAATAAATCTTTTTGTGTTCTTTTATAGGGGAAATCTACCAAAAGGGGAGGACATACTTTTACAAGATGATGTTGTGAAGCTGAAGAGGTGTATATACACAGCTCAGGTAAAAGGACTACTTTTTCTCACTAACTTTATTATAAATACAATCATAAAGGCGATAAAATGGTTTATTACATGCTGGTGTTTATATACACTGTTAGAAATCTAATATTCACATATGATTTGTTAACTTTTGTACATTAAATTCTTTGGTTTAAAGGATTTTTTTTTTATACACATAATACATTTGGTTCAATAAATTTATGCTTGATATATACTTCAAATAAAGAAATGGAGGCCGAAACAAGTATCGAAGACTTAGGGTAATCTATCACCAAACAGTAAAGTTAGAGGGTAATCTATCACCAAACAGTAAAGTTAGAGGGTAATCTATCACCAAACAGTAAAGTTAGAGGGTAATCTATCACCAAACAGTAAAGTTAGAGGGTAATCTATCACCAAACAGTAAAGTTAGAGGGTAATCTATCACCAAACAGTAAAGTTAGAGGGTAATCTATCACCAAACAGTAAAGTTAGAGGGTAATCTATCACCAAACAGTAAAGTTAGAGGGTAATCTATCACCAAACAGTAAAGTTAGAGGGTAATCTATCACCAAACAGTAAAGTTAGAGGGTAATCTATCACCAAACAGTAAAGTTAGAGGGTAATCTATCACCAAACAGTAAAGTTAGAGGGTAATCTATCACCAAACAGTAAAGTTAGAGGGTAATCTATCACCAAACAGTAAAGTTAGAGGGTAATCTATCACCAAACAGTAAAGTTAGAGGGTAATCTATCACCAAACAGTAAAGTTAGAGGGTAATCTATCACCAAACAGTAAAGTTAGAGGGTAATCTATCACCAAACAGTAAAGTTAGAGGGTAATCTATCACCAAACAGTAAAGTTAGAGGGTAATCTATCACCAAACAGTAAAGTTAGAGGGTAATCTATCACCAAACAGTAAAGTTAGAGGGTAATCTATCACCAAACAGTAAAGTTAGAGGGTAATCTATCACCAAACAGTAAAGTTAGAGGGTAATCTATCACCAAACAGTAAAGTTAGAGGGTAATCTATCACCAAACAGTAAAGTTAGAGGGTAATCTATCACCAAACAGTAAAGTTAGAGGGTAATCTATCACCAAACAGTAAAGTTAGAGGGTAATCTATCACCAAACAGTAAAGTTAGAGGGTAATCTATCACCAAACAGTAAAGTTAGAGGGTAATCTATCACCAAACAGTAAAGTTAGAGGGTAATCTATCACCAAACAGTAAAGTTAGAGGGCAATCTATCACCAAACAGTAAAGTTAGAGGGCAATCTATCACCAAACAGTAAAGTTAGAGGGTAATCTATCACCAAACAGTAAAGTTAGAGGGTAATCTATCACCAAACAGTAAAGTTAGAGGGCAATCTATCACCAAACAGTAAAGTTAGAGGGCAATCTATCACCAAACAGTAAAGTTAGAGGGCAATCTATCACCAAACAGTAAAGTTAGAGGGCAATCTATCACCAAACAGTAAAGTTAGAGGGCAATCTATCACCAAACAGTAAAGTTAGAGGGCAATCTATCACCAAACAGTAAAGTTAGAGGGCAATCTATCACCAAACAGTAAAGTTAGAGGGCAATCTATCACCAAACAGTAAAGTTAGAGGGCAATCTATCACCAAACAGTAAAGTTAGAGGGCAATCTATCACCAAACAGTAAAGTTAGAGGGCAATCTATCACCAAACAGTAAAGTTAGAGGGCAATCTATCACCAAACAGTAAAGTTAGAGGGCAATCTATCACCAAACAGTAAAGTTAGAGGGCAATCTATCACCAAACAGTAAAGTTAGAGGGTAATCTATCACCAAACAGTAAAGTTAGAGGGCAATCTATCACCAAACAGTAAAGTTAGAGGGCAATCTATCACCAAACAGTAAAGTTAGAGGGCAATCTATCACCAAACAGTAAAGTTAGAGGGCAATCTATCACCAAACAGTAAAGTTAGAGGGCAATCTATCACCAAACAGTAAAGTTAGAGGGCAATCTATCACCAAACAGTAAAGTTAGAGGGCAATCTATCACCAAACAGTAAAGTTAGAGGGCAATCTATCACCAAACAGTAAAGTTAGAGGGCAATCTATCACCAAACAGTAAAGTTAGAATGTATTGTAGCAACATATTATGATATTGAACAAATTAACTGAAAAATCTTTATCATTAGTTCATTTGCTGACAACAACATATTGGCTAAGTGTCAGGCCTAAATTAAACTATTGCTTGTTTGCCAAGTTCCAACTTTGCAAAGTACACCTGTAGGTTTTATTTATAAATACTTGAATTATGATTGAGAGGGAGCTGTTTTGATTTGCAAATAAAACTTATCACAAATACTATGCTAAATAAATTGCAGGTTTAAAATTTATGTATTTAGTTTTGTATTGTTTGGTGGTATATTATGACATAAATCAGAAAAATAATTTCTCTGCCATATATAGCGACACAGCCTGCCTCCCATCTCGACACACAATGTAGTGGACGACTGGAATGACCAGGTGCTGACCTCACTCCGCAGGTGTAAACTTTTCAACAATCGTGATGACCGTGTCAAGGTAGGTCATCACTAATAGTAGCAATGTCAGAGTAAGCCTCTGGTGAATGTTCCAACAATAATTGTACATCACATGTCGAAGTGGCACAGTAGTCTATAGCTAGCGGTAGGATGCTGAGCTCATGACCGAAGGGTCGCGGGTTGGAGTTCCGTCATTGCACTGTGTTGTATCCTTGAACAAGAGACTTTACTCTGCTTGTTCCAGTCTACTCAGCTGTAACTGAGTATGTGGTTGGGCAGTACTGGAATAGTTGAATGCTAGCCATGAGCACCAGAATGGCAGCACCAGCTGTATGCTCCCCAGGTAGTTGAGAAAGATATTTGCTGGTAGCAAATGCCCAATTACCACAAATAATAATTTGTGAACTGCTTTGAGACGACCTGGGATGTGCTAAAGCGGTACAAGAGAACCTCAAATTATTATTTTTATATGTCATTATCTGTTGTGTAGGATATAAGATTTACAGTAAAAGTTGATGCTCATGCTTAAGTTCTTCTTTACCAAACATTAAGAAGTTTCTTGCTGATCTCATTTCTTTACTTGATGTCCAGGTGATCTTTCACCCAGAGTTCCTTAACTCCACCAATCCACTGTTTGGTCTGGACTACGAGGACTTTGTACGGGGCTGCCACATGGGCGTTTTCCCGTCCTACTATGAGCCGTGGGGATACACACCAGGTAGGGTTGACATTGCTTCCTTAGCATGCAATCAAACTTAACCCTTTTATCACTGTAGACCATAATGGACTCATCCAGATCAATGCATGGTAGAGTTTATTATAGTTGCATAGGGGTGAAAGGGTTAACCACACACTGTAACTGACCTATTTCTAGCTTAATTAAATGTTGATCATATAGTCCAAGATATCAGTGTCTTCTGTTGTCCTTTGTTTGGACATTCAAAAAATATGTGATTACAGGACATATAATAATGATCTAAACAGTCATGTTGCCTATTTATGAAATCTACTTAAATTAATAGAGTAATACTGGTTAGTATAAATGGCGTATAAGGTATTTGTGAGAGTAACTAAGTTTATTGGAGTGGTTGCCTCATGTTACATGTACAGCTGTCCTGATCTCTCCCAAGCTTTGTCAGTAATAAATAGCCAGGGTATGACGGTCAAAGCAAAGGTAACTAAACTGTAGGTTAGTGTCAGTGGTAGTAGTGTGGTTGTTGATTAACATTGATGTGAACTTAACTAAAACTTAAACTTTCAGCGGAGTGTACTGTGATGGGCATCCCTAGTATAACAACAAATCTATCCGGGTTTGGCTGTTTCATGCATGACCACATAGTGGACCCCAAGTCTTACGGGATCTACATTGTAGACAGACAGAAAAAAGGTTTAGAGGACTCCATACAGGAGCTGTCCCAGGTAATCATTGTAACGATGACCTGCATCGTGATATTTGACATACATTGTCATATTTCAAATCCATTATATGGTTTGACCTACATTGTGATGTTGACTTACATTGTTTTGTTGACCCATATCGTTATTTTGACCCACATAGTTGTAATGACCTACATTGTTTTGTTGACCTACATTGCAATTTTGACATGCATAGTGACATTCAATCCCCATTGTGACATTTGACCAATATTGTGACCTTTGACCCACATTATGACATTTGACCTACCTTGTAGTGTTAACCTACATTGTTTTATGACCTTAATTGTGATATTCAATCTATATATTTTGTTGTTTGCCAACATTGTGATGTTGACCTATATTGTATGTTGATCTTTATTCTTATATTGACATACATTGTGACATTTGACCTACATTGTTATGTTGACATATATCATAACTTGACCTACATTGTGATGTTGACCTATTGTTTTTTTTTAACATACATTGTGACATTGGACCTACATTGTGATGTTGACATGTATTGTGATATTTGACCTACATTGTGAAGTTGACCTATTGTTATGTTGACATACATTGTAGCTTGACCTACATTTTGATGTTGACCTGTTGTTATGTTGACATACATTGTGACGTTTGACTTATATTGTTAAATCATTCTTCACTGTTTCCTACATTTTGCAATGTTGACCTATATTCTTATATTGACAATCTTTGTGATATTTGACCTACATTATTATGTTGACATACATTGTGATTTGACCTACATTGTGATGTTGGCATACATTGTGATATTTGACCTAAATTGTGACATTTGACCTACATTGTAACATTTGACCTATTGTTATGTTGACATACATTTTAGTTCGACCTACATTTTTTATGTTGACCTGTTGTAATGATGTCATGATGATCTTCATTGTGATGATAACCTGCAATGTTGAACTGATGTATATTGTTAGCTGCCACTAAAACAAATGGTTGTACAATAATGATTTCTTCGTTACTGATTAAAAACGCAGGGAAAACATTGTCTCTTGTCAATTTTTCTCGACATGAGTTGTTCATAAGGCGTATCAAACTATATTATCATGAAGAATAAAGACAATTATAAAAAAAACTTACTTCACTAAATTGTCCCTTTAATGTGAGCATGAATATGATGTTACAATACATGTTGACTATTATGTGATGTTGCAGTACAAGTTGTAATATTATGGGATGCTTCAGTACATATTTGAATATTATGGGTTGTTTCAGTACATGTTGACTATTATGGGATGTTTCAGTACATGTTGTAATATTATGGGATGTTGTAGTACAACGTTTCAATATTATGGGATGTTACAGTACATGTTTGACTTCACATGCCTGTCAAGGAGACAGAGGGTTATACAGAGGAACAGAACCGAGCGACTCAGTGATCTGCTGGACTGGAAAAACCTGGGTGTGGTGAGTCTCTCATTTCACAATCCTTTAATTAGCGAGTGCTCATTTAGTAGTTATGCTTGTCTGACCATCAATGCTGCGCATCACTATAACTCCAGGTAGGAATTCCATGGAATGTTTTTTGTATGGTAATCAGTATGATACAAATCGTACTTTCACAATAACATTGTTACAATGTAATTGGGAAAGTAAAAATATTTACCAAGGAGTGTTATAATTTTCATTATTAACAGAATATATATATTTTTTTATACTTGTGATGCATTTATTATTTTGTTCCCCAAAATAAATCCATAAAATCAATAGTTTCAACTTAAACAGCGAAAAGTTTCATTCCAACGAGCTTAAGTTATTTAAATAAATTATCACCAGCACAGGTTATTGTTGTGAATGTAAAAGCAATTTCGTGATCATAAAGTATCTACTCTTTGAAAATAAAATTCCCAGAGACATAGGTAGACATATCATCACATATAAGAGCCTTTAGTCTTTCATAATATAACACTAGTATAGGAATCGAGGTGTCTGGTTTAACAATTAGTGATCATACCTTCTGTAAAAAATGCAGTGTGGGGGTTGGGAATTACACCGGAATCAGGTTATTGTTTGTCTGTCCTTCATCTTCATCTGAAATTTGTGAAACTCCACTAATGTAAACAAAACACTCTGTAATTGTGCTTTTGTGTTTCCTTTATTGATCTGGCTATTTTAATTAGAGTTATGCTCCTTCTACAAAATTATAAGCCAAACCTTTCCTGGACAGTGAGCTCTAATATCTTCAGAAACCTGCCTTATATATGCCTGAACCATTGTTTCACAAGTTTGTTTTAAATGTGATGTGTGAGACCTGTACCTAGTTTACCTACAAACGCCTATTACTACAGAAACTATTTTTTTAGATATTTTATAGGAGACATATATATATAGAGAGGAAATTACATTCCTCAAATGACCATATTGAATTTATTGAGCTGACTCTTTTAAGGTAAAAAGAAGTATTTTTTAATAATGAACAGTTTAAAATGCAATGAAATAATAATGACAAAATAAACATTTCAAATTTATTTAATAGCAAAAATATCAAAATTAATCAGAGAAAAATACAGTTGATATAGATCACAGTTTTGACCCATCGCAGCACCTTTAGGTTGTGTTACAAGTATGTATTACCGTACCGTATTCATGACATGGCCGTATGACATAGTAAATTGGGTCAGCTATGTGATAAACTACCTCCATTACAGTACTACAGGAAAGCCAGACATTTAGCAGTGACGCGGGCATATCCAGATGCAGAAGAGGGAGATAACATGTCTGAGAAATCGGTGAGTACAAATTAACGGCAGAGTAACTGGTGGCTAGAGTAGAACAATAGATATCAGTTAACTGGTGGCTAGAGTAAAACAACAGATATCAGTTAACTGGTGGCTAGAGTAGAACAATATATATCAGTTAACTGGTGGCTAGAGTAGAACAATAGATGTCAGTTAACTGGTGGCTAGAGTAGAACAACAGATGTCAGTTAACTGGTGGCTAGAGGAGAACAATAGGTATCAGTTAACTGGTGGCTAGAGGAGAACAATAGATGTCAGTTAACTGTTGGCTAGAGTAAAACAACAGATATCAGTTAACTGGCGGCTAGAGTAGAACAATATATATCAATTAACTGGTGGCTAGAGTAGAACAATAGATATCAGTTAACTGGTGGCTAGAGTAGAACAATAGATGTCAGTTAACTGGTGGCTGGAGTAGAACAATAGATATCAGTTAACTGGTGGCTAGAGTAGAACAATAGATATCAGTTAACTGGTGGCTAGAGTAGAACAAAAGATATCAGTTCTGAAATATTGTAATGAAGATATTTTACCCATGATGTATTTTTTAATTTCATTTCTTTATTTCAAAAATGGTAAACATTTTTTTCGAAAAAAGCCTGCACAAATTTATAAAGGAGAGAACTAAATATGTACTGGCTTGGAATATATGATGAAATAGATAAGGTTATAGGTTGGAGTTTTTGAAAGCTTGCAGGAAGAGTATGTCTACTGGTTGTTATACGGTAAGTCTATAGAGATGATTTTATTTATATTTGCGGGTTTGAAAGTAAATTTTGTGCATAGTTGATGCTATTTTTAGACTCTGAAACTGTACAAAGGAATGTTATTTCTGATTAATTACTCCGGTAGAAAGCACTTATTATATTTGTTGTGCTGAATGTGGAGTTAAGAGATAAGGATTACAATAGAATTAAATATTGTTGAAGTTGAAATGGATATTGAAGAAGACTCGTTTTTTTGCGTAAAATTTCCATCTGGTTGTATAACAATTAAAACAATCTGTTCACAGGGCAAGAAGTTCATGTATCCAAAGCCAGCATCAGAACCTCCATCACCATCAATGTCAAGGTCATCCACTCCTGCACCCTCAGATACAGAAGACCCGGACCATGATGACGATGATTTAGATGATCATGAAGATGATGATTTTGATGAAGATCCAGAGGCTGACCAGAACAAATAAATTGCCCTGACATTGAAGGGAGAGACCTTCAGTATGAGAGAATGTGACACTAACAGAGCATAGAGCATACCCTCAAGGGAGTGTGTTGTATCTAGTGAGTCAAAGGCAGTGTTGATGATTGCATAGACAAATTAATGGTTATTTATGAAGTCTTTAGTCTTTAGTTTTGATAGATCATCCTACAAGAAAAAATCACTTTTGATCGTAATATTGTCAATAAAGTACAGCTGATATGTCAACGATAAATTCATTGTAACTCATTTAAGTGACTAGATAGGATTGTGACGCATGTAACATTAGATATTTGTAGATAGAGTAAATGTTGATACCGGTAATGTCATGCTACAAGGTGTATTATTACTCCAGGCCTGAGGTAAGTAGTATGTGACTGGCAGTTGGTTATAAGTTAGGATAGGAGATGGTAATTGGTTTTTAATAGATTTTTTTTAATTTAAGAACTTTGTTAATCCTAACATCCAAACATGAAGCAACATGTTTCCTGTTAAAGATCTGATTCTACTGCACTTTTCCTTTCTGAACCCAATTCTTGTTAGAGATTGACCATTTCAACTGATTGCAAAATACTACAGATTCATTAACAGTAGCTGATTTTATTGACAGTTTTCAGCGAGCAAGGTATGAGAACTACATATAGATCCCCATAAGTTTTGGTCTTCATTGTAATGCACTTTTGAATTGGATTGAAACTTCAGATATAGAAGACATTATTTTTTATTGAAGATCAATATATTATTAAGCCCAAGTTTTTTTTACCATATTGTCCTCATAAGTCAAAATTACATTGCAAGTGGGGCCCTCCCAGATTACTTGCAGCTAGGTGATGGCATATTTCTAGATTACAAAATGTCAAATATTTTGAGATTCCATTCGAAGACAAATCTTGAATGTGCAAGTCTTTTAAGAATTTATGTTTGAAAATAACAAATTTATTAAATGTTTTTTTAAAATTACCTGGTAGAAACCACTGTAAATGCTGTCAATTGGTGTGACAATTTCAATTATGTAAATCAAGACACAAAACAACAAATATAAAAGTAAGACACATTTCTAATGAAGTCGCATAGAAGCTAGGGCAGCGGGGACTACTAGAAGGACATCGATCCATGGACCACAGCCGCTGCAAGCCTGTCCGCATCTGAGGAGCTGTCCAACTTCAGAGCGTGACCTGGGTGGGCAGGACTTAAGAATCTCTGAGGGCCCAGTAAGCGCCCACTTACCCCCTCAAGTCGACCGAACACTGACTTTGTCAGTGAAGTGTAAACTTTAAACTCATCAACCAACCAACCAACAATGAAGTCTAGAGATCAAAGGAAATCTGTCACTTTTGTTACAGTGTTCGGTCCCTTGACAGGGCCACATATTGACTTTAGTTACAGTGTTGCAGTCCCTTGACAGGGCCACATATTGACAATAGTGGTCACAATGTACATATTTAGCTTTCAAGATTATTTGCGATGCTAGCCAATGTTTTACGAGAGGTAGATTACCAATCTATCCATGTTATGGAGCTTTTGATGAGTGTTAGCAGGCCTTATCCTTGTTAGGATATACCTGTGTTTTGGCTAAGAATATACATTGATATGTAGATATTTGTGGTTTTATTATATTTTATGGAACAAGCTGTTCTGTTATTGTAGCATGGAATGTTGAAATAAGGAAGTAAGGTTTTCTTGTAGGGATAGGAATGTTGTGACAATCTTGAGCTATGCATGAGCGTGCTTGGAAGCTTGCTGATCTTATGTATTATAGAAGTCAATGAATGCTGTGTTGTTGATGTTGTGTACTTTGAGGTCTGAAACAAAAGCAGTGCTGAATTGTTGGAAGAAAATGAGTGTGCATTCAGTGTTCAACGATCCTTGTGCTATATTTCAGGAGATGTTGTGTGACTGAATCTATTCAGCAGAACACGCGTTGTCAACACAATGAAAAGTAGGCAGTGGAGTTATTTATCAATCTAAAAAAAAATCCTCAATGTTTAAAATTTCTGTCATTAGTTCATCCTACTCTGGTAGTTTATTTGTATTACCACAATATTACCTGTGAAAATCTAGCTGTAATAATGAGATGTTAAAAGGAGACAATTTGTGTGATTAGCACCACTGACCTATTTCTTGTTGTGCCATCATAATCCATATACAAAGTGTGCTCTTTCAATCTAAAATATATCTTTCCTGTTAATTATCATCTTTCCTGATGTTTCAGTGGTCACTGCAGGTTGTTGATAGTACAGTGTGTTTTATTGTCTGTCCTGATGTTTAGGTATTCACTGGTCATTTGCAGTATTACATATCATTCCTGAGTGTAGGCTCAGACTTTATGTAGCCCTTACTTGTTTTGTTTTGTTAAGGATTGACTTTGTGTCTTCAGAAGAGCTGTGCTGTTATTATGAAAAAGAATGTGATGTACAATTGTTGTTAGAAGTAATACAGAAAAACCTGCTATCTTACTCGGCTACATTCAGCACTAAATGTATTCTTTTATTTTTAAGCTAGTGAGTTAGCCCTTAGAACCCCTATTCCCGAGATCAAGTTGTTACTTTCTGTGTTCAGCAATACTTTGAAGTTTGTAAAGGTTCATTTATATTTATCTTACGATGACTACCTTTATTTTAGTTATTTAACAAAAAAAAAAGATAGCTTGAGAGTAAAATTCTGGTTGATATTGTTAGGTGGTACAATATATATGAAGTCAATGATGCCCTCATAGAATTCAATGTAAACATTGAGGGAGGAGAGATAACCCAGTACTGATTTTCACTGAAAATGATTGCAAAATGTGTATTCCTCTTATAATCAATTTTGAATGTTGGGGAATATGGCTTATTGCAAATGTTAATGTTTATAAAAAAATAAAGTGATTTATATTGCTGATATTAAATAACAACTATTCTAAGCATGTTTTGAGACATAAAACGTAAGGGAAGGATTTATTATATAAATATATAACGAGCCATGTCTTAACAATGGTTAATCTGTTTCTTGATAGTCCGGGAAAAGCCTGGAAATCCTGAAGAATTGTTATCATTTTTTTTGTTAATACAAAAAGAGTAACCAGTTCCACTGTGATAGTTGGTATTTCTTTCTATGCTGGTTAGGTGTTTTCTTTTCTGTTTTGGTAGTTTAGATTTGGAAAAGAAATGTTTTCATTTCTAAAGATGGCATTCATAGTTAGAACTGAGTAGTATTGTTGTTAGAATCTGTTAATATTAATATCCCCATCCACAAAAGTCTAGGGAGTTTATGCTCTGGTACAATCTCTGCAGGTCATGACAGGAACTGAAGGCACAAAGTCGGTGTTTCAGGTATAAAAGAACTGACCAATCATTAAGCTGTTACATGTCCTTTGAAAATTACAAAGGAGCGAAACCTGACCTCAAAGCCAGTCAGTTTTACTGTTACACTTCCACACACTGCTTCTGATACACATCAAAGGATCAAACTAGTCTAATAGTCTTATAGTCTAATAGTATCATCTGCAATGTAGCACATACAGATCCTTCATTTTATCGTGATGTATATATATTCCCATGGTGCAGAGAATGTAAATGAGCGTAACCCCTGAATTTTCAAGGATGTTTTACCCCAGTGCAAAGTGCTAGCTAAAACAAAATTTATTTTATGATTTCCCATAAATGTGTGATGTATTTCTTAACAGATTATGATATGGTGCTAAAGGATGCAGTTATAACCTTACAACTCTGCTCACACTACATAGTGTTGTGGTACACTAAATCAGGAGATCACTAGAATTTATCCTCATGTACACTGTGAGCCAAGATTTATCTACAAATGTTTGACAAGATGACCTTGAAATAAGTTGATAGACATTTAATACAATATGGATTATAACTTGTTTGTTATATTTGCAATGCTATTTAAATCATTGTTGTTTCACTGTATAAAGGAAAATGTTATCAATTATTCCTATTGTTTATATCAATGATGTGTGATGTTACATATCCGTGTTAATATTCAGGTTTAATCGGAGAGGTTAGAAATCTACATGATATTATCATTGTTGAAAATTAAATAATTATTGTTAAACCAGTTACAATTGAGTTTCAATAGTCCTGCCACAACAAACCTGGCCCTGGTATCATGAAACAATCTTTTCATGACGTTATCTGTGATTGGTTAAGTCAAAACTTACGACAACTCTAGACTTAAGATCATTTCATGATCATGATCTTACGGCCTGGATTTCCCACTATCAGCCGGTGTTTAAGGGGGGTTTCTATACAGAATTGTCCCAGCTATCCAGCTGTTTCAACAACAGCCATTTTTGCAGGGAACAAACATGGCTGAATTGTTGCATTGATTGCTGAACATATCTTTGCCTGTAAGATAGGGTTATTATTGTTGATGAATCGCCTGAATTTTAACTGTCTTTCAACTCTAAGAATTTCTGTATATGATACTCTATGCAAGTTTTTAGACTGGCAGTTCGGTTTTTCATCTGGAAGATTGGTCCAGAGCAAAATGTCCATAATAAAATATTCAGAGGAATGAACAAATATTTATCACTAAAAGTGAAAAGGCAATCCTTATTTAAATGTGTGGAAATTGAGTTTCCAGACTTGCAGTGTCCAGTACAAGAATATTGAAGATTTGAACAAGCAGAAAACTGCTGTTTATAGGTAAATATAAACAGCTTCCAACAATAATCTCAAACCAAAGCTTAATACAATACCTTGTATAAGTCATGTTACTCTGAAGTGTTAGTGAGAAAGGTAGAGGCAGATTTGGACCCTGAAGCATTCCTACACTTTAGTCCAAATATACTCATTTATACTGCCATATTGAGATGCAGTTTTACCATTATAATCATGGGGAGGTTATCATTATGGCTTGTTAAACAAATTTGATCTAATGTCCAGGAGACCTATTTGTTTTATAGACAGTTGAAATAGACTTAGTGTAGGACTGTTTCATGGTTCCAGAGCCTCAACAGTGTATTTTCATGTTTTTGTTTTGCTGCTTTATTGATAGAGGGTTTGGGCTTTTAATTATGTGGTATCCAATAACCTGATAACATTTTAGGTATTTCTTAATCAAAATACAATTAGTACTAGTCAGAAGTGCTGTTTTACTGAACATATAAATGTAACTTTTCTCAGCATAATAAAGAGAGTCACCCTGACTTTCACATAATTCCTGTTCTATGCAGAAGTCTTAAACATGATACGAAAAGTACACGTTTCATGTTTCATGTTGTTTCCTATGTAAGTTTTTAAAGTCATAGCAATTTTATAGTGTTAATTTCAAAGTGTTAAAGACGGGTGGTGATAAGTTCTAGTTCCTGTTTTGTAATATGATTTTATAGTACTAACCTTATATGCTAACTGTATAATGTTAGACATCTAGGATACTTATACAGACGTAATGATATATTGTTTTAAATAATTTTCATTATAAGAATGTTTACTAAGTCATGTCAGATGTTCCAATGAACCGTTCTTTAGATTGATTTTGTTTGGTTCAGACTGATATAATTATACTGTCTGTCTTTCTTAAAAAGTGTTTTTTTCTTGCAAATGATCCTGCCATTTTTGACGTAAGGGTTCAAATGTGAAAACATAGTGTATTAGAAACTCTATTTAATATGTGTATTGTGACATTTGTTTAGCTCCCCTGTTGACCAATCAGTGAGCTTATGCACTTGTGTCCATCTGTCATCTAGATAGTACTAGAGTCATGATTACTGTTAGGTGTCTTGGTGTGAAAGGCTATCAAATAAAATGCAATGACCTTGAACTGTTTTCAGTGTCACAGGTTTTAAAAAGTGTTAAAAAAGCTTCTACAGAACTTTAATGCATGTCATGATATTTATCCTGTAGCTTGAATGGAAAATGACTATCTTTACCTAATGTTTTAGGTCTGATATCAAATGCAGTAAAATTTTAAAAGCTACTTCTTCTACAGAACTATGAGGGCTACAGTCATAATGGTACCATATGTTGTACCATATTGAAGGCTGTTTTAAGTGTGTCACATTTTAAATGACCTTCCTACTTTCAAGGTCAACATAGGTTTCAAATGAGTCAGCAAGATGAGTGATAAGGCCCTTGTATTGTGTTATGTCAAATAATGTTGCATCTGTATAATTGAACAAAATATATTGTTTTGTCAATTTTGTTAATGCGTTGAATATATCCCTATGGTATATATTTTTTAGACTTATACTTATAGCAAATATTAACCTTGTTCTTTGGGGAAAAAAGCAGCATTAGTTTTCTTGCGCTAATTTTATGTGAAATCTGTTCTGCTTTTGAGAATTCCATTTAATATACCACTATGTTAAGTTGTTTAGATATAAGAGATGTTACAATAACACAGTATGTGTGTATGTGATACTACAGTGTGTGTCGTTACTGCTAGCCGGAAATTATTATAACTACATGTGTAAAATGTTACCCAGACTGTATGTCACAGTAAAATGTATGACGATAGTGTTATGTTTTAGACTAATGAGTACCCTGGTTTATTGGTATGACAGTCGTATATTTTCGTGAGTGTGTTTTCAGATATGCTCTCCTTGCCTAGGAGCATTTACAAGAAACACCATTATCATCTACATTGTACATCCTATACATTGTTACTGATGTGCATGTAAGATTGTTTAGACATATACACCCTATACTTCTATAATCTCAAAATTAAAAGTGCTGACATAGCTTTAATACTAAATCAGATTGTTGCGTTTTTTATCGCCAGTAAAAACAGACACTTTGTACTACATGAACCGAGAAAAGCCAGAGAATTCAAAAAATGCGTTTTTGACTTTGATTTCCTTAATTTTCTGTCAAGATCAGTGAGAAATAATAAAAACACTTGCTCATGACCATACAGTTAAAGAGGATAATAACACCTTAATCCTGAAGTTGCTTCAGAAAATGTACATTGATGATCATCTTGACTTTGGGCCAGGTGAGCTAATGAAATGACGAGTAATGGCAATCTGTTATCTTTGGGCCAAGAAAGCTTGGAAAACGACCAGAACTACTCATCTGTTAACAGGTATCTTTGGGCCAGGTGAGCGGAGAGAATTACATGTAATGGCCATCACTTAAAAAAAGTGTTTTTTTTGTTTTTTTTTAAATTTTACAACAATTATGAAACAAGTTATTTCAACTTATATTAATCACTCTTGTTAGCCCGGATATCGGTCTTAGTGTGGGAGGAAACCGGAGTACCCGGAGAAACCCACTTGATGGGGCAACCTTTTCACGTCCGATCAGGGAATCGAACCACGGCTGCCTTGGTGAAAGGCAAGTGCGCTCTCGACTGCACCACCTGACTCCACTTAACTGGGCCAGATGAGCTTGGGAAATGACTAGTGATGTGCCAGGTAAGCTGTAAAGATTGGAATACAATCATTCCATAATGTTACATTATTAACTTGTAATTAAAGTATAAAACAAACTTTTATTCATTTTAACAGTTTATTCCAATTACTTTGTTGCAGTGAAATGTGATCACAACAGAAGCTTCCTCTCCACCATTGTCACATGACTAATACAGATATAATGGTAGGTTGTGGTAGAGGAAGTTCATCTGGAAATGTTGCACCTATAGACGTTTTATTTACATGTTATGAGATGACAAAAAGCACTAGAAGTACATATGATAAAAGTGGAAAACTCATTTCATCATTAAAAATAAAAATCATCAATAAAAAAAACTTAAAAGATGCTTATTGGGGCATTTATTATACGAAGACCTTATTTATATCACAGCGTGCCTGATTCTACTGTTCACACGACAGGGAAAAAAAACATTATATTTCCGTCACACGCTCCACTTATCATTGTCATATTTTGTCTTATTGGGAGTCTCTCTAGAAAAACCAGAAAGACGCGCCATACTAGATTTCCGAGTGACTGAGGAAGATGACAACAAAGGCACTTAAATGATCATCTGGACTGTTGTGTTATTGTTCTATTTCAGTATAATAGAATATTTATTGCCATTGGGGCAGTGAAACAAAGTTCTTGATTTGTTTCCCTTTGATTAATCATGTTGCACTCCGGCTGCACTGGCTAGACTCTGCTGTATACACATACATGTTAACTGAAGTTTTGTCATTTATAAACCTGTATAAACCAGACATTCAGCTAGCTCTAACTGTTTTTCTACATTTCTAGGTAAACTGAACCTATGTAATATGAAAATGTCAATTCTAAAGGTTTGGTCCCTGTGGTACCTGGTTTAAACAGGTTACATTTTGTTTGTACAGGTAAGTATTATATTTTACCGGTTATAAGCCCAGGGAACTGTGCATGAAAACATGTCAAAATTAGGGGGTAGGCTAATTACAATACATGAGAATGTGACACTGAAGAACTTACTGAAGGCTTATTAGCGGTAAAATACTGTATTGTTAAAGAGACTGAGCAACTGTAATAGGTCAACTTATGTGTGATTTAAGTATCACATTAAAATTAGAGCAACAAAATTTCGTACAGTATCAACTAATTATTAATGTACATTATAAATTATAAAAGATTAATTGTTTATATAAACATGTACTCATTATCTTACAGATCAAAAATAGTTGAGCAATCACAGCAATACATAAAATAACTAAACACAATGTAAACTATCTAATATTGGTATAAAAGCTCGCGATATCATTACAGATTATAATCCTCTATTTTCTAAAGTTGATATGAATTTAAATATTTCAGATTTATATATAAATCAATGAATTACATGCCCCCATATAAAGCTGGTCTAACAGTGAATTACATTTATATTGATCTAACATACCAATGATGTGTTACCCTGGCAACCGTTGGCTGTGACAAATGGAGCTGGAGTGAATTGATACAGTACTGACCTACAAGTAGGTGTAAAAACAATGATGTCCTTCATTACATGTCCATTATGTTAGTTAATGAGTAACTTGTCCAGGTGATCGGCCAAATTACTGTTATATATAGATGTATATAGAGACATTATCATTACATGGAAGTTCCCATCAGATTAAGGCTGAAAATTGGTGTTGGTCTCAATTTCTCATCTCACTCATCTCAATTTAAATATACAACAAGTTTAAAAAAAAACCACCATCCATGTATAACTGTCATTACCAGAGCTTACTCATATAAAGCTGTCATCTGTGATATCTGTTTGATTATCAAAGTTAATTTATTCACTTCATCAGTTGTTATGACAGAGCTAACTTATATTTGTCATCAGCTTTTTAAATGATAGAGCTCACTCCCTTATACAAGGCTAATCAAATTTATTCTCCTAGCTTATTCATACATTGTTGTGTCATCACATAATTATAATGCTCCGAGGAGCTCTGCCTCATACACTTCTAATCAGTTGTATAATTAGCTCCATCATACAAAGTTTATCATTTACTTCTTATACTGAGTTCACTGATATATAGCATACACAGTTTACCAGCCATTTTTGATACAAAGCTCACTCACTTATACAGAGCTTACTCATATCCATTCAAAGTAGCTCTCTCTCACACTCAAAGTAGCTCTCTCTCCCACACTCAAAGTATCTCTCTCTCACACTCAAAGTAGCTCTCTCTCCCACACTCGAAGCAGCTCTCTCTCACACTCAAAGCAGCTCTCTCACACTCAAAGCATCTCTCTCTCACACTCAAAGTAGCTCTCTCTCCCACACTCAAAGCAGCTCCCTCTCACACTCAAAGCAGCTCTCTCTCACACTCAAAGCATCTCTCTCTCACACTCAAAGCAGCTCTCTCCCACACTCAAAGCAGCTCTCTCTCACACTCAAAGCAGCTCTCTCTCACAATCAAAGAAGGTTGGATACATCCATTAGGCACTTAAACATTTCACCGACCAAAGTTACCAATCAGTACCTTTAGGTGTAAAGAAGACATGTATATTGGATAGAAATCCTCGGTCAGAGTGAAGATGAGGGTACCCCTATGTGTTTTAAACTTAAATCTGTTCCTGGGAAAGTGGTTACTACATGTGATTCTGTTATATACAATTGGTATTGCTTGTAGATAAATAGGGCTGTGAACTGTTGGAGCAATGCCATAATCAATAGTGATAACGACAATGCCATTTAATGACTTAGTGTGCCGTAATCTGATTTTCTTCCATAATGATCAAATGCTAATTTATATACAGGTACGTCTCTGTCATTCTGATCATACGTCTTGGTAAATGCAATATCAAAATAACAGATTGTCACATAAACCAAAAGCTATTCTAGGTATATCAGGGGGCAATTTTTGTGCCCCCCCAAAAAAAATCAACAAGAATTTTAGACTCATTTTCAGTATCTTTATCATGTATTCTTAAAAGTGCCTCTTCTTTATGTATGCCAAATACAGTGTATTCATACATGGAACAGCCTGAATTTATATTGACTGTACAAATCTGTAAATGATTTTATTAAACGATGTATGTTTCACTAATGCAATCAGAGAAGAATATGTACCATAGCACAAACACAGGCTAGTAATTATATTTGCAATAATTTTGATACTAAATAACCGATATTGCATTTTCAGATTAACACAAAATCTTTTATTTTTTGGGAAAAATGAAGCTGACGTCTGAAGTTAACAAATCTTTATAACTTGGCCCTGATGTCAGCTTTATAACAATCAATCAGTGCGGAATGCTTGTGTCTAATTTCTATTGATAAATTCTTACCTTTGGAATACTAAAAAATCTCCACATAAGTCTAGATAACTTATTCCTTTCAAGGCACTATGTAATATGGAATGGTTGTATATAATATTAATACTCGGATACATTGACATCTTCCCTTTAAAACCTGTCCTCATTTAAATCAATAATACTGAGCTGAAATCCACTTCAATTCCCTGAGAGATTTTTTTCCCCATAATTTCACCTCCATGCAGTTAAGTTATCATATGATGTAAAATATCAAGAAACTAAAACTGCATAACGTTATTATACATTCTACGAATATAACCCTCTCAACATAATTACAAATTAGATGTGGAACTAAAAATAATCGTCTTAACAATCATTGTAACATGGACACAAGCTCTCACTAACACAAAAATTCTTTTTCAGATGATTGGAAAATATTCCTACATTGCAAAGCTTCACATTATTGTAGCCTTTTTAAAAAATGTTTGTTAGAAATCAGGAGTTTTCTCCTTTTCGTCGAACTCCTCCCGTAACAAATGAGATATGAGTGAGAATCATCTTCTGTAAAACAGAGCCTCAGATCTATATAACCCTTTCAACCTTTGGAAACTTTAGTAGACTCTACCAAACATTTATCTGGATGAGTCCATTATGGTCTACAGTGGTGAAAGGGATAAAACACAAATTAAGACAACAACAAAATTATACAGTATGTTACTCAAAGGTCGTATTAGTTTATTGAAAGCACATTCACAAGTCTGTCATCTAAACTATGGAATACGTACAGTATAGCATCAAAAGGACTTTTGAGACTTTTGTCTTTTGTCGATATAGAAAAAATGTTAATAATTATATACATGTTATTTGTATACATGTGTATGTAAATAAATGTAAAATTAAACAGAATTACAGCTTGTCTGTACTCAAAGCACTATCCAAGATTTTCTCTATCAAAATGTTTACAAATAAAAAAATCTAAAAATAATTCAAAACCTAGCTACATACTTTCACGATAAAATACATTTTGTTCAAAATAATCATTATTTCTATATTTAATGGTAGTTCACTGATTTTATGCCTACTGCTTCATGATGAAATATCTGTATACATAATTATATGTTAATTTGAGTTAGGAAACACGCTAAGAAATATTAAGTTCTGTATGGTATAACACTAAAATGATGTGTACAGCTCTATTGCATATAGTATTATACATTTGATGAAATATTGTCTTCAACAATAAGCTAATAAGCAAATTTTACTGAAAGTTGTCATGATTTAAGAAATGCAAAATTACACAATTATGATAATCTCCAGCTAACATATTGAGGTCAAAATCTAGGATGGATATCAAAGCAGAACATAATTTGAGGCCAACATAGAAATTGTGGAAATGGATTACATAAAAAGGCAGTTTATTTTAAAAGATGAACTTCATTAAATTATAATCTATAGTGTTTAAAAAAAGATAGAAAGTGTAAAAGTATGAAGTGTATAAACTAGAGAGAATGATTATAATGTCTATCACTCATGTATTATCACTAATTTCTGCTGAACGGTGGGTTAGCATTGAAGTCTTTGTTTCTTTACACTACGATTAAACTCTGATCAGCATTCACTGCTAGCTTTGTTTCCATTAGTGTCAGTAGCACATCAGTTCAATCCTGGAATTACTGCAGAGATTTCTTTCGATGTACATCAATCTTTTAGTCACAGGGTGAGGTCACAAGGGTGAGGTCAAGGGTGTCACAAGGGTGAGGTCACAAGGGGAGACACTTCAGCGTCAAATAAGCTATCACAGGAATGTTGGTCCTGACTAAATGCTGGAAGAGGATTTCCCAAGTGTTCACCAAGCTCTGTTTATATCAATGCTGGCTAAAAAGTACATTACAGGGTAACCTCCCACTCAGAAACATTGTAAATCACCTGACATTTCTAGAGATATTACTCCTGTTAAAACAGTAATTCAGAATATATCCTCCTTGTGAAATCAACTCTCCACTTAAAGGAGAATTCTTGTTCAGTTAAACACTTTCACTAAGAATAGATTTCACTAAGAAAAGTATTTAGAAATCCTCCTCCATACTTTCGGCCAGTGATGTACGTGACATCTGACTTGGTACCTCCTCTGGCACCGGTTCCCCTACCTCCTTGTCCTCCCTTGTTATCTGACTTGGTACCTCCTCTGGCATCGGTTCCCCTACCTCCTGGTCCTCCCTTGTTTCCTCCGCCATGTTAAGATCATCTCTGGCCATGCTAGCATAGTCATCCACATCAGGTGTTGCAGTATCCGTGCTCCAATCAACCTCCTCTCCCTCTTGCTCATCTTTGCCAAAGACCTCTGTCTCCTCACTAAATGACACATGCTTAAGACTGCGAGATGTGTTGGCCGATTGTGGACGTAGGTCATCGGTGTTTAAATGTAGCTCGCTTTCAGTGACATCCTGTCGAGGACTGTTGTCCTGAGCTACACTTTCAGTGAAATCCTGTCGAGGACTGTTGTCATGAGCTACACTTTCAGTGACATCCTGTCGAGGACTGTTGTCATGAGCTACACTGACATTGACCTCCTGTTGGTCATTTCGTCCATTCTGTGTATCACAAGCACCTGTTAAGTCACCAGAGTCTGTTTCCAAGTCGTTAATAGGTGGTTTCACCTCAGAGGACACCTCCTCTATTTTGTCCTCATTTTCCCTGTCATTCTTCACATCCTCTTTCATTGAAGACTCTTCAACTTTCTTCTCCTCCTTAGCAGGAGTCTCAACTGTCTGTTCACTTTCCTTTGAATCATTTTCTGTTTTCACTTCATCTAAAATATCTTCCCGTGATGTAAGGAAAAAATCTCCAACAATTTCTTCCTTCTGTTCTTCTACTTTCTTACCAGTACTTTCCTCATCCTTTGTATTATTTTCACCTGCTGTTGTATTTGAATCATCGCTCTTTGCATTGTTTTCTGTCTTTGTTGAGTTATCTACCTTTGCACTCTGAGTTCCCTCTTGTGAGGACAGCAGATGTTGTTGTGTCTCTGTTGCAGCACATCCCTGTGGCTCTGGTCTTTCTTCATCCTTCAACTGTTCCCATACTTTTTCAGCAAACAGTTTCCTCTGAGTAGAAGCTACATGTTTAGGTACGCCATCCTTCTCCTGAAACGGCAGACTGAACCCTGTTGACACTTCATCACTCATCTTGTCCTTAGGTGGTGCCACTGCTTTCCTAGGGGAGTTTGAGGAGCGTTTGGGTGTGGGAACCCTACCCCTGGCAGGAGCTGTGCCGGGACGACTATCCATGTTTACACTCTGTCCAGACAGATTCAAATTTCTAGAAGAATTCTTTGGATCCGTCTTGCTAATCCTGTCGGAGTCAAGGCGGTATGATGGGCGAGGACTCTTCTCTTCACCTGCACTGACATCCTCGTCATTGAAATCTGCACCTCCAAAAGATTTGTTGGCTCTGTCATCAAAATTCTTTATTCCAGTATCAATGGACTTCTTTCCTTCTAGCACTCGATGTATCCTCTTCTTTGCTATTTCTGGTACAATTTTCGCTAATTCAGGATCAGACTTAGCGAGTTCTTCTTTTTGAAGCTGAATTTCCTTTTTCTGTTGAAGTTCATGCTTTCGTTTCTGCTGTAGCCAGTCCTCATAAGACATTCTCTGTCTATTTTCATTAGAATTATCTCTGGCACTCACTCGCCTTGGTGATGCAGATGCATTGCGTTGTGGGGCGATTACAGATGCACTTTTCGGTCGCTCTCTCATGGCGAGTTTGATGCGTCCTGCTACCGGCCTTTTGTAGATGAACTTGGAGGCTGGTGGGTGAGGTTCCATACCCACAGTCTTTGCCTGTTTCATTTCATCCTCCTTCAATCGTGTCACCCCGGGTGCAACTTGCACATGTTCCTGTTGACTGCCCTCTTTTCCAGAGTGAACTCCCTTTTTAGGTGGTGCAGACTGTGGACGTAAGGGTTTTCCTGGAACTGTCAGCGTGTTGACATTTTCTTGATTAATTCTTTCTCTTGACCTTATTTTTTCTCTAATCTTTTCCTCTCTACTTTTTGCTCTACACTCCTTCTGTTTTGCTTTCATCCATTTGTCAACCAGTTTTTGGGACTCCAGTCTCTTCTCAAACTTGTCATTTGCCTCCAAAATAACCTTTTGTCGTTCTTCTTTTTTCTTCTGTTTTTCCTCTCGCTTTTGTTTCCTGTGAGTGATATCTTTCTGTTTGAGCCAGGAGAGCAGTTCTGGGTTATTACTGTGTTTGATGTGGTGGTCCATGGGCTCTGGTGGTCCTTTTTGCCGTGGAGACCCTGTGGCCTTGCTACTACTTGGGGTCCTGTTACTCGGAGAGTTGTCATGATAACCATTGTGATGTACTGTAGAATCTATCGTTGATCCAGAATCCTTCCTTCTGTGATCTGACCTTTTCTTTTTTTTCTTTTTCTTGTTGATACCTTCACCATTGATGTCAGTCCTGACCTTCTGCTGCTGCTTGGCTGTTGAAGCGGTCATGACATTTCTGATAGTATAGTAGGTTCCATCCTCAGCTGTCAAGTCTCGAAGTTCAGCTGAAATATACAAATTATCACCATTAGCTTTCAATAAAATACCTTTACTATAATATCAATGAGAGCATCTCTGTCTTTATTTGGAAAACTTACAAACCCATCAAACCTTCCTCAGCTTGTTCTATTTTGTTGTGTTCTATCTAAAAGTAACAAAACACAAATGATGAGAAGATTTATTTTTTCTGGTCTGTCAAACAGTTATACAAAACTGTAACTGCATCAATTGATTTCTTGTTCTTTGCATATGCATGCAAAAAAAGTAACAAGGAAGCGATCATTTTTTATTCAACTTAAGAATTAAATTTTTGGTGTATTTTGTTAATGCTAATATTGAGGCAGTAAGTTTCACCATTTTGGATAAAGTTAGAGCTATCATTGATAGCTAACACTTAACATAAAGCTAGCGCTATCATTGATAGCTTACACTTAACATAAAGCTAGAGCTATCATTGATAGCTTACACTTAACATACAGTTAGAGATATCATTGATAGCTTACACTTAACACAAAGTTAGAGCTATCATTGATAGTTTACACTTATCATAAAGCTAGAGCTATCATTGATAGCTTACACTTAACATAACTTAACATAAAGTTAGAGCTATCATTGATAGCTAACACTTAACATAAAGTTAGAACTATCATTGATAGCTTAGACTTAACACAAAGTTAGAGCTATCATTGATAGTTTACACTTAATAGAAGAGCTATTATTGATAGTTTACACTTAATGGTAGAGCTATTATTGATAGCTCACACTTAACATCAAGTTAGAGCTATCATTGATAGCTCAAACTTAACATAAAGTTATAGCTATCATTGATAGCTTACACTTAACATAACTTAACATAAAGTTAGAGCTATCATTGATAGCTAACACTTAACATAAAGTTAGAACTATCATTGATAGCTTAGACTTAACACAAAGTTAGAGCTATCATTGATAGCTTACACTTAACACAAAGTTAGAGCTATCATTGATAGTTTACACTTAATAGTAGAGCTATTATTGATAGTTTACACTTAATGGTAGAGCTATTATTGATAGCTCACACTTAACATAAAGTTAGAGCTATCATTGATAGCTCAAACTTAACATAAAGTTAGAGCTATCATTGATAGCTTATACTTAACATAAAGTTAGAGCTATCATTGAGAGCTAACACTTAACATAAAGCTAGAGCTATCATTGATAGCTTACACTTAACATAAAGTTAGAACTATCATTGATAGCTTAGACTTAACACAAAGTTAGAGCTATCATTGATAGTTTACACTTAATGGTTGAGCTATTATTGATAGCTTACACTTAACATAAAGTTAGAGCTATCATTGATAGCTAACACTTAACATAAAGCTAGAGCTATCATTGTTAGCTTACACTTAACATAAAGTTAGAACTATCATTGATAGCTTACACTTAACACAATGTTAGAGCTATCATTGATAGTTTACACTTAATGGTAGAGCTATTATTGATAGCTTACACTTAACATCAAGTTAGAGCTATCATTGATAGCTCACACTTAACACAAAGTTATGGCTATCATTGATAGTTTACACTTATGGTAGAGCTATCATTGATAGCTCATACTTAACACAAAGTTAGGGCTATCATTGATAGTTTACACTTATGGTAGAGCTATCATTGATAGCTCACACTTAACATAAAGCTAGAGCTATCATTGATAGTTTACACTTATGGTAGAGCTATCATTGATAGCTCACACTTAACACAAAGTTAGGGCTATCATTGATAGTTTACACTTATGGTAGAGCTATTATTGATAGCTTCCACTTAACATAAAGCTAGAGCTATCATTGATAGCTTACACTTAACATAAAGTTAGAGCTATCATTGATAGCTTACACTTAACATAAAGTTAAAACTATCATTGATAGCTTACACTTAACACAATGTTAGAGCTATCATTGATAGTTTACACTTAATAGTAGAGCTATTATTGATAGCTTACACTTAGCATAAAGCTAGAGCTATAATTGATAGTTGACACTTAATGGTTGAGCTATTATTGATAGCTTACGCTTAACATAAAGTTAGAGATATCATTGATAGCTTACATTTAACATAAAGTTAGAGCCATCATTGATAGCTAACACTTAACATAAAGTTATAACTATCATTGATAGCTTATACTTAACATAAAGTTAGAACTATCATTGATAGCTTACGCTTAACATAAAGTTAGAGCCATCATTGATAGCTAACACTTAACATAAAGTTAGAGATATCATTGATAGCTTACACTGAACACAAAGTTAGAGCTGTCATTGATGGTTTACACTTAATGGTTGAGCTATTATTGATAGCTTACGCTTAACATAAAGTTAGAACTATCATTGATAGCTTATACTTAACATAAAGTTAGAACTATCATTGATAGCTTACACTTAACATACAGTTAGAGCTATCATTGATAGCTCATACTTAACATAAAGCTAGAGCTATCATTGATAGTTTACACTTATGGTAGAGCTATAATTGATAGTTTACACTTAACATAAAGTTAGAGCTATCATTGATAGCTAACACTTAACATAAAGTTAGAACTATCATTGATAGCTTAGACTTAACACAAAGTTAGAGCTATCATTGATAGCTTACACTTAACATAAAGTTAGAACTATCATTGATAGCTTACACTGAACACAAAGTTAGAGCTATCATTGATAGCTTACACTTAACACAAAGTTAGAGCTATCATTGATAGCTTATACTTAACATAAAGTTAGAGCTATCATTGATAGCTTACACTTAACACAAAGTTAGAGCTATCATTGATAGCTTATACTTAACATAAAGTTAGAGCTATCATTGATAGCTCACACTTAACATAAAGCTAGAGCTATCATTGATAGTTTACACTTATGGTAGAGCTATTATTGATAGCTTACACTTAACATAAAGTTAGAGCTATTATTGATAGCTTACACTTAACATAAAGTTAGAGCTATTATTGATAGCTTACACTTAACATAAAGTTAGAGCTATCATTGATAGTTTACACTTAACATAAAGCTAGAGCTATCATTGATAGCTTACACTTAACATACAGTTAGAGCTATCATTGATAGCTTACACTTAACACAAAGTTAGAGCTATCATTGATAGTTTACACTTATAGTAGAGCTTTTATTGATAGCTTACACTTAACATAAAGTTAGAGCTATCATTGATAGCTTACACCTAACATACAGTTAGAGCTATCATTGATAGCTTATACTTAACATAAAGTTAGAGCTATCATTGATAGCTAACACTTAACATAAAGTTAGAGCTATCATTGATAGGTTACACTTAACATACAGTTAGAGCTATCATTGATAGCTTATACTTAACATAAAGTTAGAGCTATCATTGATAGCCTACACTTAACATACAGTTAGAGCTATCATTGATAGCTTACACTTAACACAAAGTTAGAGCTATCATTGATAGTTTACACTTAATGGTAGAGCTATCATTGATAGTTTACACTTAATGCAAAGTGCTGGCAAGAAAAGCAATGGTCTACTACACTACACTACCCTACACTAGGAGACACTAGGAGACACTAGGAGACACTGGACACTAGGAGACACTAGGATACAAACCTTAGAAATAATACATATCAACCAAAGGACAAAGATCTTGAAGTTTGCTTATGCCCCTACATATACAATATTAATGAATGCTGAGAATATCCAACGGATGTCTTTTTTGTTACGTCTCAACTCAATTTTTCAAATATTGGTGTACATGACCCTGTGTACCAATGTCAAGGCTTCATGTAAAAGCTTCCTTAGATACCGTCAATATAAACCTAGACTCTTTTATAGAAATGTGGGAAGAAAAGTTATTTACTTATGACATTTAGGTAAAATATCTTGGAAGACAAGAGAGAATTTCTTTATCATTGAATTTCCATACTAAAAAAATATTCTAATTTTTAACTGGATGGAGAGTTCAATTCCTTTCTTATGTGTGATCCGTTCTTAATCTAAGAGGACAAGTATGGCGCAATTCTGCTGACACAGCTGTTCCATATTGTGGTATAATTATAATTAAATCAACTACAAACAGCTATACCGCTACTAGTACATGTTTTCCATTAACAACAGAGTAAATACTCCATTGAAGCACACCAGAAGCTTTAAACATTAAAAAGTGAACTGCTTTCCTATTGAACAAGTCAGGATATTGGAAAATGTATTGATTGATTGGTGTGTTTGCCTGTCCAGTGAAGCATTAAGTTAATGTCCTTAGTCTGTCAGACCTCCCAATACACACCTTAGGCTTGTTCTGTCTCTATACCATTAATGAATGCACTCCCCAGGTAGGTTTATATATAACTTTAATAAATACCATGATTTTAACGTTAATAAAATATTGTAATGATTGAGAAAGGTCTAAAAAATAGTTGATGAGAAAAGTGTACTGGTGTGGTTCTATTGCTGAATGGACCAGAAACATCACGACTGATTGGTCGTGTTTGTCGTGTTACTAACGACAACCAGACACGCGTGATCATCACAGTCTGATGCCTTGACAGTAGGAATTTGAACTAAGAAATAAAACCAATTTCTGATTATCTAAATCTATCTAATATTTTATGAAAAACATCACCGGTTTACATTTAAAAAGGAAGTGGTACCATGTTTCTCTCAGACTGGTCTACAATCATTTCAAACTCCCCCTCGATCTCACCACCATCACCATATTCCAACCCCCTTATTCTGGATTATGACCTGTAACTTTTTTCTTTCAAAGTTTTTCTTTATCTCAACACCTTTCATTTGCCATGGTATACAGAGATATGCAACTCAAAGATTTCATATATATTATATACTTTCATGCAGGGGAACAGACAGATTTTTTAATTTTTTATAAAGGTACTTTTTTTACAGGACTTGTAACTTACCATGAGTACTGGCAGACATTGGGCGTCTCCTCTGTGGCACCCCAGGGGGTTTGATGTCACTGAGCATCCCTGTCCCTGGCAACAGAAGCCCAGAGGGCTGCAGTCCATGGCTGACTTTTGTATAGGAATCCCGCAGAGACTGGATCTGATTGAAATAGTCCCGTGTGACCTGCGGTCGGCGGTCACTAAAGCTTGTCTGCACAAGTTCATGGAGTTCTTTGTATTTTTGATTCAGTCGTTCCTCAATAAACACATCAGGATTGATCTCCATTGATCTGAACTTCCTAAGTGGGGATCGATTTAACAGTTTAGTCTTACGACTTTGCTGGTTCGTTTTCCTTTGCCTATGACCTTGTTCACTCATTGTGTCATGAGGCTTTGAACTGTTTTTAAGGTTCAAGTGTGTATGAACACCATGCACATATGAATGTGGAGAGGATGACTTTGATCTTGATTTTGATCTAGATTTAGAACGCGAACGAGATCTTGATCTTGAATGGGACCTTGACCTTGAACTAGAATACGACCTTCTTCTGGAACTCCGTGGTGTTCCACGCTTAGGAGACCTTGATCTTGACCTTGACTTTGATCCACTTGACCAAAAACTTGATGAGGATGAACAAGAACCTGACCTTGATCGTGACCTTGACTTTCCATTTTTAACATGACCCGACGGTACAGAAATTGACCCCTGACCAGTCGGAGGCTTTTTAGCATACAATATGCGGTCATGTTGATCCTTCGTTCTGGATCGGGACTGACGTTCGTTCTCTGCCTCTTTCCCTGCCTTGGTCTTGCCTTTCTTTGTGTAACTCCCGTTCATTTTTTCGTAGAAGTGGTTGCCACCATGTTCCTTTATAAGACTATCTAACAGTGCCTCCCTTTCCTCAGCTCCTTCCTCACTGCTGTTGTCCTGTACCAACTTCTCCAATAATTTCAACGACCTTTTTTTCGGTTGTTTCCGTGACATTATACTCATTGGTCAACCATATTGCTGTGGCTCACACCTGTTTAACAAAAGAAAAAGATAAATAATGCTATTAGAAAGTCAAATATCATGGCCAAATTCAAGAGGGAAAAATAAAAACTCGCCTCTTCACGTCTGCATTTTACGCTCTTTATTTGTTCATTTATGTGTATATATTAAGTGATTGTAAGCCTTTGATTTGTTTCACAATTATAACTAAAACTATTATCCATATGTTGTAAAGCGCTTTAGAGTAATTTTACAGATTAAATTAGAAAAACTCCTTTTATTAAATAAAAATATTCCTCCTTGTCTGTAAGTGTTATAAAGCCATGCACTTGTCATGGTTATTTCTGACTACAGTATAAAATATCCTGACATCCCCTGATGACCCTCGGAAGAGGTGAAAGTGTAAGGGAGCTGCTCAGAATCCCTTTTTCTTTTCTTCATATTTACAATCGTACTAGGACTTTTGTATTTTTCAAAATTTTATCTCGTATTTATAATTAATGCAAGCAGAGTTTTAAATTCCTTGGCATTAGTCCAGTTTATTTGACTTCAACATTTGAATTCATGAGTATGTTAATTATTTAGTCAGGAGCTTAAAACATCACATGAAAGAAAACAAAAGAAAGGCTACCTATTACAATCTCAGCGGTTTATTTTGTATACCTGGTTGGCAAGGTTGCATCTGTGACATTGTCATATGAATGTGTTACACTGTGGGAGCACAGTCGAGTCAGGTACTGAAGTATTGTATGTACAGAACCATCAACAGCTTTTTAAGAAAGAAAAAATCTTTATATAGTGACATCCCCATGTAAAAGGAAAGTCAATACACAGCATTTGTCTATTACAATGAGAGTGACGTCGACCACCTCTCTGTCAGCACAAGCTAATGGCAGCTTTAACACAAGTGGTTCAATGGCTCCATCAACTTTGATGGTTAACACTAACTCTTTTATTCCGATCAGTCTCAGAACTGATATTTACTGGCTCATAAAAACATAGCCAGAGTTTCCTCTGGCCCTGACACCAGACTTAGACACCAGACATCTATCTGTCAAAATACCTTAGTCTTGTGTCGGGGCAAGAGGAAACTCGGGCTAATAAAAGAACAATTATCAATATTAACTACAATTAGAATATTCTTCAAATTACTTAAAAGCTATCTAGTAAAAAGTTGTACATTCATGTCCTAATACGTTGATATTGTATGGGAACATTATCTAAATGGGGTACCTCACTGCTTTTTTCCTTCATTGATACAATTATATTGTCAACACAAGCACTGCTCCACGTGAATTAACACTACTTTACCTCGGGTAAATTCCCTACTGGACAGTAATTAAAATTCATCAAACATAACAATTTCAAAAAAAAAATGGTCATTAACTACATGATCATGAGTATAGGTACATGCATATAGACGTCATGTGTTTACAACAACTAGGTTGACAAAATGCGGAATAAATGGCTGGCTATCGATAAGAACGCACCAATAGCTGATAAGGGTAACTGTAGACTGACATGCAGATATTTACCTGAATTCTACAACAAAGGCATCCGCTCTTTGTTCTCCGTAGAGAGGCCGATACCAAAGAAAATTAATTGATGACCTGTGACAATCACACTCAATCTGTTTGCCTGCTTTGTTTATGGCCCATTTTGAATTCATACAATAAACTCCACAGCAGGAATTTTGTTTTAGTTGGTGTAACGGTAAATGACTGTTTAACACAACACCCCAAGATTCATTTTGTCGGAATTTAAACGGAAACTGATCCTACCTGGTACACCGTTTCATATATTTACATATGGCTTATATTGGACATGCTTAAACCAGTTTTAAGTACATTTCAAAATCCGTACAAATTACTTTAATCGTCCTTATTTGAATAACATATTTGTAAAGTCTAACTTTTTCAGGTCAAGGAGTGTTTCAAAAACTATTTTGAAGTGGTACACAATTTGTTCCAGTAGGAGTATAAATCTTTTAATTCTGACTCAATATCAAACCTTTGTTTTCCAAATTCATTTACAATAGATAATTTCATTTTATGATGCTAATGATAAATGCCCTTAACTGCTCATGAAAAATGTTTCTGTGCTACATCACTATTGTACAGGTAACCATGAAATGCATCTCGATAAAAATTACAAAAAACCCCACAAAAAACAAACACTAGGTGAAAATGAATGATGCTGGAAAATTGATTCTGCTGAATTTCAGCACTTTTGAAAAACAAATTTTAAAGGAAGTCTATTGGTAGAGTCAAATACATTTTACAAATTTGCTAAAACGTACTTTTGTTTTTTTCTATATACATTAGATATTATATGGCTGGTGGCAGAGGTTTTGATATGCAATAGATTTTAGGTGTTGATTGGAACGATTACCTGAACTCACAATCACCTTGATGACTCAAGCTTGATTCCATCAGAAATACAGTGATGATAGAATACAATTAAAGATACACATTCCATTTGGGACACTCATATGGAAATATACTCAGTGACCTTTACCAAAACATGTCACAATTAGATGCTGATATTACAATCCTTCCACTGAATTTGAGGATGTTGCCATTGGCATTTTCTTTGCTGTTTTGTATTTGTTAAAGTTATTAATTAAAGGGCCAATGTAAGCAACTGACACCACCTCATGAACATTAAAGATTTATTGCACAAACTTGCCATTAAGTTTTTTGCATGATGCTTTATATTTGAGATATACCTTATGACATAAGTTTTTGTTTATGTCTGGAAATTTTGCTATATCTATACCTCTAATGTTTCTTTGCATTGTCTTTGTCAAATTTTACAAAATTTTTGGTAAAAGTTGAGAGAAAAAGAGTCATTTATCAGTATTATGCAGGAAAGGATATTCCTCCCTTGGGTGTAGAATTTGGTGTTGAAACTAAGCACATTAAAATCTCAGTTCTGACAAAATTCTACACCCTATGGTAGAACTTCCCTGTTCCACTTACAATGTACTAACTTACATATGATAGATTCTATTAGTTATGGAGTAGGAGCGGAAAATGCAAGGCCAGATCAGTATTTGAACCCAGGACCCTCCAAACTCTAGACGGATGCTCTAGCTACCAACTAAGCAACTAGTCGCCGGGAAATCGTGAAATCATTGATCAGTCAATTTCGCTCCTTAAAAATGACTTTGGTTACCTAATTAATTAATAGTACAGGGATTTCACAAACATATGTCTGCTCTTATTTATTTATTTTGCAAATTTTATTCATTTTTTAAAATCAACTCTATATTTGAATTTTGGAAATGATCCACCATGTGAAAGCTTGATTTACTCAAACAGTCCACTTCAATGAACTATATTTATTTGAGACCCACCCTTAAATCAATAAACTATATTTATAGATATTTGTATAACACCTTTTTTGAGTGATTTACATATGAATGTTAAAATTTAAATAAATATCATAAGTCATGTAAAGTCCATTTAGGGGTAGCAGTCTGGACACATTTGTTCATGAATTATGTCATAACATAGTGTCAGGTGTACACCTGGATTCTCAATATCTGTATTAGTTGCCATCTACACAACTAAAGTATAAACCCCACAGGTAAATCTTAAGTTAACCATTTGAGCAGCAAATTGATCATGAGACACTTGTCAATTTCTACAACAGAAATTTATGTAAATGACAAAAATGATATTTCGTGTCTGTGTAGCGTTTACCTGGAATAGATATTTATCAACTTGTCCCATTTATTATTTACCTGTTCACCTGAGAGCTCAATGTTACCATAGGTGTATATGGCATGGTAGAAGGCTTTACTATTCCTAATCTGTAATTCTTTACAAAGCCATTACCTCCAATGCTAAAGTCCTATTGATATATATACCTACACATATACATGTGTTTGATCAGACGGACTGGTCAGTAAGAATGTTCTTTAAAAGTCTGGTATCTAGCAGCTTAACTTCGGGGTTTGGCATATTAATTTTCCATAACAAAAGTTCCTGATTAGAGAAGTGTTTTGATTAAAAACACCAGAAACAAAAGAACTGAATGTATTTTAGGTGTTATGCAGATTTTTGATTTTTTAAATGCTATTTAGCAAATCTAATTTTATTAAAGTATACAAGTAAGCTAACAAGTCTTTGTGTAGAATTTCAACTGTTCTGATCCTAAAGTTTGATCCCATTACCCTCGAAGATAAATCTTAAATATCACTGATATTATAACCAATTACTCCATCAGGGAGATATGTGGAATAGAATGTTAAAAGGTAAGAAGATAATTCTAACATGGTGACAACTGACTTCCAACCGTGAGTAATAGGAAGAGGAAAGAAATATTATGATGACCTCTACAGAAAACTATAAATTACCAGCTACTCCATGATATTATCAGATCATTTTTTGTGTGCATTATACTGATGCAAATTACAAGACAAAATTTTAACTTAGCCAATTACTCAATATATCAGCAGGTTTAAAATGCAATCCAGAAAGTATAGAAAACAGAAAGACAGCAGGACCATAACACGACAATAAACAGTAGGTCTATAACCGATAATGAGTCAGCAGGTCTAGAACACAATAATGAGTGCAAAAAATATTTACTTCAAATTAAATATCACATGAATCGAATTTGAAATTAAATTTGCGTGTATGCTATTTTGTATATTAAGTCCTTCACTCTGTGATTCCAAAATGGTCCATGCCATCTGTTTATGACTTGAAAAATTATTAATCTCATTTTAAAATGTCATATAATAAAACAATTGTGGACTTCAGTCTCAGTCTATCTCTGATTTACGGACCTGGTCTGAACAATATTCACAGAGGCCAAAGGTCCACAATACAGTAAGTCAGCAGGTCCATAACACAATACAATAAGTCAGCAGGTCCATGACACTATACAATAAGTCAGCAGGTCCATAACACAACAATAAGCTAGCAGGTCCACAATTTAATAAGTCAGCAGGTCCATAATACAACAAGTAAGCAGGTCCACAATACAATAAGTCAGCAGGTCCATAACACAACAATAAGTCAGCAGGTCCATAACACAACAATAAGTCAGCAGGTTAACAATACAATAAGTCAGCAGGTCCATAACACAACAATAAGTCAACATGCCATAACACAACAATAAGTCAGCTGGTCCACAATACAATAAGTTAGCATATCCATAACACAACAATAAGTTAGCAGGTCCACAATATAGTAAGTCAGCAGGTTCATAACACAACAATAAGTCAGCAGGTTCATAACACAATACAATAAGTCAGCAGGTCCATAACACAACAATAAGTCAGCAGATCCATAACACAATACAGAAAGTCAGCAGGTCCAAAACAACAATAAGTCAGCAGATCCATAACACAACAAAAAAACAAGAGGTCAATAACACAATACAGTAAGCCAGCAGGTCCATAACATAACAATAAGTCAACAGGTTCATAACACAATAGAATAAGTTAGCATATCCATAACCCAACAATAAGTTAGGAGGTCCACAATATAGTAAGTCAGCAGGTACACAATACAGTAAGCCAGCAGGTCCATAACATAACAATAAGTCAACATGCCATAACACAACAACAAGTCAGCTGGTCCACAATACAATAAGTCAGCGGGTCCATAACACAATCCAGGAAGTCAGCAGGTCCAAAACACAACAATAAGTAAGCAGGTCCATAACACACTACAATAAGTCAGCAGCTCCATAACAATACAATAAGTCAGCAGCTCCATAACAATACAATAAGTCAGCAGGTCTACAATACAGTAAGTCGGCAGGTCCATAACAACAATAAGTCAGCAGGTTAACAATACAATAAGTCAGCGGGTCCATAACACAATCCAGGAAGTCAGCAGGTCCACAACACAACAATAAATCAGCAGGTCCATAATACAATACAATAAGTCAGCGGGTCCATAAAAACAATAAGTCAGGAGGTTCATAACACAATACAAAAAGACAGCAGGTCCATAACAAAACAATAAGTCAGCAGGTGCACAATACAGTAAGTCAGCAGGTCCATAACATAACAATAAGTCAACAGGTTCATAACACAACAATAAGTCAGCAGGTCCACAATACAGTAAGTCAGCAGGTCCATAACACAATTAGAAAGGGTGAGTTACATGGATATTGGTAAAATGGATGAGCTACATGGATATAAAATACCATGTTACAGTAACCCCCCCCCCCTTTTTTTTGAGGCAGACACCTGTGGCTAGATTGATGGTATCATCTTCATTGGAAAAAGCTGTGTATTGCAGAATGGCAAGAAAAGATGAATATAAGAACCACAATCTGCAACATATACTTTGTAGTATGCAAAATGAAAAACAGGGAATTCACCTAACTCAAAAACAGTATATAACATGTAGTTAGTATATAGATATAATTGGTATTTCAATTTATAGGGTAGATTTGCGGAGTAGTATAGGTATAATACAGTATAAACAGGTAGTGTATAGAGTATATAACAGTATAAACAGGTATGGTATAGTATATATACACATATTGTTCACAGCAAATTAAAGAAGAAATCTAAGTATATCTATAGTATAGGTACATATGTAGTGTATGTGACAGAGTATATATACAGGTAGATTATTAATAGTACAGATTAGGTTAAAGATTATTTGTATAGAGGAAATGAATTACTAGGAAGTATTTAGAACACAATACTTAACATATATAGTTAAGTATATAAACATATATAGTTATGAACAAAGTAGTTTTAGATAGCATACAGAGTATATATGTCAGAATAAAAGGTATATATACATGAAGCATCAAAAGTGTGGTATTATAGTTCTGACTTCTGTCAAATTTCGTTTTGACAAGAAATTATATTCATATTAGATCAAATGAAAAAGAACAGAAATTAGAATTCGTGCTAAAGTAATTGATAACTTACTATTACTGTCTTCCTTACGATGTTTTGTCACAGAAAGACATCTGTCCTAAATCCATGCATATTCCTACATAATATAGCGAGCCAGCATGCCGACAGCACAGTGTTTACATCCACATTGTGGTGGGGTCACCAGGTCAACCTATGAACTAGACTCACTCCAGACGGACTCCGCATTGTTATATCATGCATACATTTATTTAAAATTAAATCCTTACAATAATTACAATCTGCATATACATTAAGTAATGACACAAGTAGCAAGAATGATAATTTAGGCAAAATAACTACCTGTTAAGCAGAATAAATGCATATGTTGATAGAGTAGGAGGGAGTATATTTGATAAATAGATCGGCATGGTTCCTTACGAGAATGCACGAGACTTCGCGGGTCCTATGGCAACATTATACATTCTGCAAATATGGCCGACTAAGCGGTAGATAATAATTCTAGGTAAGCTAAGTGTGTGGGTGTCGTTTTTTCTCGATTTTACAGATAAAATGAGTTTGTGTATGATTAAATCAAAACGTCTTCTTGTCAAATAATTGCAAGCAATGAAATGACAAATGAAAGACACAGCAGGTGCTCGCTCTCATTAATTAGTCATTACATTGTTGTGATTGGGACAGGTGCCCGTCCAAATTTAACACCCGCGAAAATAAATATAATTCCACACCACAGAGAGTCGTTAACATGTTGATTATGACCACGAGAAGACTATACGCGATATACCCTTATATAATAATGTAATTGTATTCTTATATTTATGGTTAGAATTATTGTAATAGGAAGGAAGAAGTATACCCTATCAATTAGCGAAAATGAGCATGCATTCGTTTGCTGGGACTGGAACCCGCCGCCACAGATTTTCAAGTTGGGTGCTCTACTGTTGATTTAAATGGATTTTTTTATTGGAAAAGCTAGCAAGACGATTTTGACACTGCACAACGCACATCTTATACTACCTCCTCCCCCCCCCCCNCACACTACCTTGAACAATGGGAGGTTGAAGGCAACAATCTGTAATAGGGAGAAATTAGTGAAAACAATTTATGCATTCACTGCATGGGGGTTGAACCCGTGACCCGAGACTTAACATCTTTTCGGCACAAGTTACTGCTGAATTAAAAGGGAAATTATCTCTACTTTAAACTAGTAAGGTTGCTTTGACACTATGTACAATGCATATCCCTTACATGATCTCCAAACTCTGGGCCTCTCTTATATATATATGTAGCAGAACTTGACTGGTACGATTGCCAATGACCAGGCAGCTTAATCAAAGGTTAGAGTGTCTGTCTAGATTTAGGTGGTCCCAGATTCAAATCTTTTACAAAAACTGAACTATGTGAGTACTTTTCCTAAACCTGGAGAGTTCAAGCACAGTATATTTGACTGTATAAGAACCTCTGGATTATAGTATCGATAATATATGGGTCCTGTTTTCAATTTCTTTGCTTGATTTCAGAAAGATTACGGATGCCTGGCAGTATGTCAACTGCCAACATGCCGACGGTAGAAGAACGTGATTTTCTCGAGAACTCTTTTTTGGTCAAACACAGTGGCTTCACACCGCGGCCGATACAGAGGTTGGCACAGAGAAAGAAGCCAAGAACAATGCTAAATATAGAATGCAATCACTTCCTCCGTACGAAAACTGAGTCATTCACACATGGACATCCCATGCTAGGTTACAAGTTGTGGCTGGAAGCAGGAAAACATGAAGCCCCCTACCCGAGCCGGCCAGATGACAATTATAACAGTAATGTCTGGCGTAACTTTCGAAGGCAATATGGATTTAGTGCTACAGCAGATGGACGGAAAATCTCTGATGTTATCGCCTCTATGTATCCTCTAAATATACCTCCACCATCACAAGTTGGTGACCACTCTTTTGACAAATTTATCAGAGAGAGTTCATTGTTTAACAATGAAAAAATGAAGTCATTAGCTATGGAGAGAACAAAGAATGATGTGGTAGAATTTAAACGCCTTCGAGTGAAAAGTGATGCAAGGAATCCCCCACTAGATGAATCTGGTAAGTATGATATATTCCTCATAGTATATACCATAGAATAGCATTGACTTCATGGCAATATTGACACATACCACAACTACATGGCATATTGACATATATACCACAACTACATGGCATATTGACAAAGATACCACAACTACATGGCATATTGACATAGATACCGCAACTACATGGCCATATTGACATATATACTACAACTACATGGCATGTCTGGAAATATTGACATATATACCACAACTACATAGCAATATGACATATATACCACAACTACATGACAATATTGATATATACCATAACTACATGGCATATGGACATATATACCACAACTAGATGGCATATTGACATATATACCACAACCTGATGGCAATATTGACATATATACCACAACTATATGGCAATACATAAATCAGGTCAACATTGATACAACATGAAAGTAATGGTAACATTGAAATATAAACCACATGACAACATGTATTGGACATATACACTAGGACATCATTGACATACCCTTTCACAGTATTGCCATACCTGGTGGTGTTGATGCACAAGTCAGTACAGCATTGACCGATACCACAGGACAACAGCTGAACTTTAATTTATCTCAAAATATCATTTACATATACCTCAGGATAGCCTCGACTATAGCGATCCCACTTCCATTCACATATACCTCAGGATAGCCTCGACTTTAGCGATCCCATTTCCATTCACATATACCTCAGGATAGCCTCGACTTTAGCGATCCCACTTCCATTCACACAACACTACAATCATGCTGTACAAAGGTGAAATCAACATTTTTAAACAAAATAAAATTTGTTGCTTTTTCAGGACAAATTATACCTCCAGAGAATTTCAAGAAATATGAGCACCGTTTTGTTCCTCCGCCTCTGCCTCCCCCGACACCCCCTCCAGCCAATCAGAAGACAGACTCACTTGGACAGCGCTACGTCCCCAAGTCTGAACCACACCTATGGAAGCTGTCTTACAAACTGTCCAATCCACAATATGAACATGTTCGACAGGAGATTCGTAAACGTCAAAAGATGATGAAGGATGAACCGCCACAGTCTCCTCAACCACACATCCCAAAGAACTTTCCATCTCCTGTCAACCGCAAAACGTAATGAGCACAGATGCCATTTGCTTATTATGGTGGAATTTCTTGTTGTCAAGGCCAAAAGTCAACCTTGCTTGGCGATCTCCAAATCTCATGATGATATTATTATTGGGGTAATATTCAGATTCTAAGCATTAGGTAGATAAAGTGTGATGATTGCCAAAGTAATTGTTATTGATGCTAAACACAAAATGTATATCTATAAAGTCAAAATATTTGGTGTCTGCCAAAATTTCAACATTTTCTTTTTAGCTAAGTCTATCCTCTTGGTATAAGCCAAATTAATTTCATTTTTTGTTATAATTATACAAACATGTGCTCACATATAACACTGGCATTTTCCACACAAATTACGAAACGTTCAGAAGCGACATTCTCTGTGGAGTCCTACTGTTTTCACGAGGGTATTATATCAACACAATTGAGTTCTGTAAATGAAAATACCTGTGGAAAGGATTTTTTTGGTTATTTTGCAATAATAGAATAGATGAGGATCATACATCACAATAATATAGAGAGTGTCTTATCAATCTGCTAGTCATGAGTCAAGTGCATTGTTTCTAAATTTGACTCATTAAAGTTTTGAAAATTCATGGAACTATTCACTACTTTTCAGAAGTTTTAGAACAAGTCTATGTGAAACTGTATGATAAAGTTATAAATGTTTATTCATATATATTTGTTCAATGAGAATATTTACCAACATGGGTGGTACCCAAAAGAAAATATTTACCTGTATAAGTAGTCACTTGCCTTAAAAGTATTAAAAGAGTCGAGCACTTGAAGAATCTATTTTTTGTACTTAATGCAAAAAAAAAATATCGACTAAATGTGTGACATATGAATTTCTATTTTTTAATAAAAAAAAATGTCATTTCAACAAATATTGATTAACTCTTTCAGTACCACTTTTAAATGTCTTTTGGCATCAACAAAATACGATCTCTGATCATACGGAAGAAAGTGTGTTTTAATGATTTTCATAGTTTATGCCAAAAAAGAAACATGAAGTACAGAGTTATTCTTATTCCAAATATTATTTTTTATAATCATATATCTTTTTTGAGTGTAACTCAAATGTATTCATCACTTTATCATAGATCCGATAAAATGAAAAAATACTATATAAAATGTCATATGTTGTGTATTAGGCATAGGACCACGTTTTGTCCTAGAGCATTACAAAAAGGTTATTTATTTTAACAATTTTATCAAAATTGTAGCATCTCCATCTATGTAATTTATATCTAGTCTAATCTTATTATTATAATGTAGCTAACATGAGATACTCAAGTTTGTATAAGGGCCCAGGCTTGGTCAAATGACATCTGTATATTTCACTAGAGATATTTTAAAAATTACATGTAGTACATTTATTTCTAAACTTGCATGCGAGGATGTTCAAATGAAAGCCTGTTACACCCTAAACATGAAAACATTCCAATATTTTATTAGATATTTAGAAAAGAAAATTCTGCACATTTGAGTATTGTGGCCAGGAAGTTTGTGATTTAGATTTAGTAAGATAATTTACTGAGGAAAAGTATATGTGACAACAATTTTAAGATAATTTTATAAACAAAAGTGAACGTGATATTATTGATGTAAAAGTTAAATTTGTGGTAATCAAATCATTAATACAACAGACAAGTTTTGTTGATGGAGTCGGTATTTTCAAGCTTTTTTGAAAAGTGTTTTGTCTTTAATAAAAAGAATACTGTGATCGAAACATGTAATTTTCATATATGCAGTTCATTTTCTGAAAAACAATCCTGGAGAATTGTTTTTGATATTCATAAATCCAGTTCTATTTAAGATTAATGAAAAATTGAATGAAGCTGAGAGTCCAGATTAACAAGCTACCATTTGATATAGAATGAAACTCTCATTAGAAATGATTTATAATAAAGGGGAAATTACTCTTCATACAGTTTTTTGTCAGTGATAATATATAAAATGCATGTTAATACTGTTTAACTGTCTTTATTTTATTGGTATATATACTGTTTTCTAATATCATACTTTATTTTTATACAACTTTGACCTCATCTTGTAATCTTAAACATGTATACCCGGGGGGTATAGCCCTGACAGCTTCTGAATCTGTATCAACAATAACCAAAACTATAACTATACAGAAATCCAGTTAACTTCATATTGATTTTTAATAGTATTTTAATATGGTTTTTGATTAATTGCAGAATTATATTACTCAAAATGTTTATAATTGAACCATTGATAAAAATGTCAGCTGGTAAAATACTAGCCGCTTCCTACTGACTCGGCTAGAGAGAATTTCTCTTTAGCTCATTCGGTAGAGCGTAAAACTTAAGTAAGCCAAAGTTCATCACTCCTGGCATAAGCATAGACAAACTACTTACCTCTGATACAAAAATACTGATTATAGTTTTAAGAGAATTAAAATACTTCACAAAATCCAAATTAAAATGTAACAGTATACTTTGGAAAGTTGGATCAGAAACCATCCCGGTATGATACGAATGATTACTTTGACATCGATCAGTCTCATTTCTGATATAATTATTGTGTACAAACTAATCCTTGATGTTTAATTTCCCTGTCGTCTTAAAAACATCTTTGTTGTAATCTTGTGTGTTGTAAATACCAACTAAAGAGCAAATCATCTACCTTTCTAACAGTGTTTAATTCCACGTCAATCAGGAATTGTAATTTATTTTACTGAGCATCTTTAAGGTTTGTAAATCTTTGGACCATGATAAAGAGATGATTGTTAGGGGTCTAAGATCAAAGTAGGCTAATATTCTAATAAAAGTAAAACATTTTTATCGTAATATGTAGAAAAAGAAGTGAAATCATATCAATAGATCAAATTACTCAGTTGTATGTAAAACACCCCTGTCCTCATCACTGCCAGTTAGGGTGTTTTATATATTAAAGTTTTATATTGTGTATTTCATGAGGTAGTGTCTTAAATATGTATAAAACACACAAAAAAGGTTGTGTTTTACTGATTATAAGCCAAGGGAACCTAGCCAATAGAAAAATTCCTAAATTCAGCAGAATGTTGAAAATATAATTGGAAGCCTGATCACCATTTTTTTAAATGAGAGTTTGGTTGATTATTTCTAAGCTGGATACTATAAGCTTTTTTGAGAGGAGAAGAGGAAAAATGAAATGATCCATCCATCATAGCTACCAATTCAGGCTATGATTAGTGTCAGGTGTTGGATTGAGGGTATTATAGAGTTGTTGTGTGAAAAGAAGGACAATGTGCTGTCAGATATTGGATCGTGGGAGATAGTTGTCACACAACAGTGAAACATACTACATCAAGTGGTGGATTTTGTTGTTTTCAGATGTGAATGGAATATGAATATATTGTAGATTGAGAACTGCTCATGTTTGTTTTTTGAAACCTATAAAATTTTAAATAGATTCTAGTTTTTGTTAAAGTTCTAATATTATGTTATCTGATAAAAGTGTGCAATTATTTATTCATGTTTCCTTAAGTGTAAACATTATCATTCTATTGTGTTTTGTGCTGAGGAAATCTGATTGTTTGGTGGCTAATTCAGCATCCAAACAAACCAGAACCTTTTTTGTTAACATGTATCTTCCTAATGATTTTGTTTTTATTTATAAACAGCTTCCTTGTAAACTTAAATCCTAAAATATTTTATGTTTCCCGTCTCCGAATGAGATAGAGATAAAGATTTGAGTTACATCAGCATTTTAACAATATGGTTGTGACAGGTATCTATTGATAAATCCATAGAAATAGTGCTTAATTGTTATTATCCAAATACAATTTAGACTTTGTTATCTTATCTTTAACCTTACTTTCAACTTTTAAATGGTTAAGTGAATTTGCAGTGAAAATCTTCATCTAAGATTAACCTGCCTATTGTGACCAGCCTCCAGTACATACATCAGTTCCTTATACACTGGTGCTGTTTACATGGACTTAAGGTGACTGGTCACTATAGACAAGTTGTTGATGAAATAGACTTAGGTAGATTGATGACCTGTATTTGAAGTGTAAATGGACATAATAACACCTGTGTATAGTGGCCAGTGTCTAGTTTTTATCATTACAGGCTGCTGAAGACTGATATTACCTGTGTATAGTGGCCAGTATCTAGTTTTTATCATTACAGGCTGCTAAAGACAGGTATTACCTGTGTTTAGAGGCCAGTGTCTAGTTTTTATCATTACAGGCTGCTGAAGACAGGTTTTACCTGTGTTTAGTGGCCAGTGTCTAGTTTTTATCATTACAGGCTGCTGAAGACAGGTGTTACTTGTGTTTAGTGGCCAGTGTCTAGTTTTCATCATTTCCGCCCACTATGGACAGGTGTTTTGATTTTCACTGGTTGATAGCCATAGTATTAGGGATTGTATTTTTAATTTAAGAAAAGATAGAGATTTTCAGTATTTGGAGCATTTCTGTGATATCCCTTACACTGGATTATGTTCTGATTGTATGTTCATACCTTATTTATCATTAGCTCCAGAGGATATAGGATTATTATCCACATACTATCATATAGAATTGTTAAGTATTTAGGTATTTTTTGTCTTTCACAAAAGTTTTCCCCTAATAAAATCTATTTGACTGTTTTTATGCTTAGACTGAATTTATTTTACAAAACTTTCTTTCAATATTTCAAAAATATTTAATGGTTCCTTAATGAATACCATAAATACATTACAAATATGGCAGAATACCGATATTTTTCATGAGTGCAAAGCACAAGTTAAAATATTGGTATATTCTGCCGTTCGAGTGAAATATTCATGGTATTCAATGGGAAACCAGAACATTTTCTGTATATATATATATGGTATTACATTTTAAAACAAGTACTAATTGTACTTTGGGACCATTACAGAAGTCCCCAAAACTATCCCCATAGTCGCAAAAATACACCTACTGGGTACATACCAAATTTGGACAACTCATGTGACATGATGTTAAACACTCATATTTTCAACCAATCCAAAGCCCCCATGTGGTTGGTTTGGTAACAAGACCTATGTGGTTGAATTCGCAGTACCCTAATACATGTACCCCTATACACCAATTTTCATCATAATCAGACAATATCTGAATTTCGATTTATCAGAAGCCTCTGTGTGGTTGCTATGGCAACGAAACATATGCGGCTGAATTTGCAGTCCCTTAATACCCCTATTATATCTAAATTTCTACCAATCAAAAGCCTCGACCAATCCCAAGCCTCCATGTGGCTGGTATGGCAATGAAACCAATGTGGTTGAATTCGCAGTCCCCTAATACACCAATTTTCATCAAAACAAGAGGCCCAGAGGGCCTGTATTGCAAATTCAGACCAAATTTGGTAACTAGAACACAAGACATTTTAACATCTCTTAAATGCTTAAGGTATTGTTGTTTGAAATTTGAAGTTGTAATTTTAAAGCTTTTAACCCATGTTGACTTTTGACCCCAACTAGCACTTAAAATTGACCTTTGACCTCATTACTGTAATTAAGAAAACGATTAACACTACTGGTCTTCATAACATACACAAGTATAATGACTCTAGACCAAATGCTTCTTAGGATATCGTCGTTTGAAGATTATAACATTTTTGACTCCTGTGACCTTGAAAGTAAGGGAAGGTCATTTTAAAGAGGAAACTTTATAGCACTCCATCCCAGGTACCTACTGGCCAAATATCATGACCCTAGGTCCTCCAGTTCTTCAGAGGAAGTTGTTTAAAAGAAGTTGACAGACGGACGCCAGACGCCGCAGTACTGCATAAGCTCACATGGGCCTTTGGGCCAGGTGAGCTAATCAGACAATATCTAAATTTCGACCAATCGGAAGCCTCTGTGTGGTCGCTAACTAAAATCTGCAGCTTTGAAGGAAGTGAATAGAAAGTACTGTTCTGAACGGTCAATTCCAAATGTTGTATACTATTAATTTTGATATTTCTCACAGTGTGAAAGATACCACTTTTATCGAATTGATAGAATTCAATATTTCATTGGAAGGAATGTAATATATATTTTATAGGTTTCTGTGATTGTAATCCAGTCCTTCAACTATAAATGCCATAACCTTGTATCTGTAACTTGGTAGATTTCAGCAATTAGTAAGATAAGGAAAGGACTACTTGATTTTCCCCTGCAAAAATACATTTAGAAGTAAATCTGTGTATTCAAAACAAGAATTTGATCATAATGCATATATATGCCTTGCAAAACCATATTTCAAATGATTATCTTTTCAACTGTATAATCAGATTTCATTTTCATTTTTTTTGTTTATAAATTATGCCAGTCATCAAGACCTAACTGAAACCTTAACAACAATTTCACATTCCCAGAGATGCTCCCCCTAAGCCTTTGCACAAACCTCTATTAAAACTGACAACATCAAATATTAAAGATTACTATTTATACATTGATGTGAATATTCTATTTTTTATTTTTTAAAGGGAGATAATAATAACATAAATCATAGCTTTAAGGTGTATGATACATATGTGCAACATATAGCCTTAAGCTAAACTTACCAATTATTTAAATCCTGCAGTATTCATTTTCCATGAAAACACCAAACATTATAGTATGGGTAATAAGGGGTGTATACTGCTTTATTCTTAATCACAACAATAACACTATACCATGACCATTCAAGGTTTTTATTTTTTATAATAATGAATAGATTTAGCATCATCACTCGACAATAAAAGTGTCTTTGTTTATACATAATAACTTATTAGGACTCGCACAACAATTAAATGTACATCAACTTTGTTCACATTAATATTTTATAAATTTAGCACTATGTTGAACACATACCTATATGTTTTTATATAAACAAACTTTGCAGATCTTTACTGTTACAGTATCACTTGATATTCAAACACAGAAATAAGAAGTATACTGTTTCAGCTAATGCATAGAGAAAAGCCACATATTTATCTCGGGCCAGTGTTGGGAGGAAATTATTAACTCTCAGTCCCCAGTTTAAATTTTCAATAAAGCCTGATATTGGAGGTCAAAATCTCATCCCTCAGACTGAAATCATCTGCATCTTTTAATCCTTGTATGATTATCAATATACTTAAAATACCTTAGTCAATAGATTATATTTCCCAAGTTATCCAGAGACTTGGATAGTAAAAGTATGGGATTTGATATTCTGAAGTAAAAATTCTTAAATCAAACCTGTTGGCAATGTCATTAAACAGTACACTTCATTAAGAATGGAATATGTTCATTCAATTGATTTTTCCAAAATGGCCAAAGATTTTGGTCTGACAATGTAAATGTATAAAAGGTGGACTTTTCTACGATCCAAAACTTTACAAAACAGCCATAGTACATTGTAATATTTACAATATCAGGTTAACCTACATTTTGTGTCTTCACTATTAAAGCTTTGATTGGAATGTATTAACAAGTGAAAGAATTGGGACCGGTAGGTCTTTGTATATCATCTTTACCTGGATTATTTATAATCTCCAGATTTTATTGATGATAAACCTGTACTGAGGATTTTGAAGCCCAGATTTAAACAAATGTTATAGATGTGCGTCGTGATATTCAGATAATCACACATTGCATTATGTTTCATCACTGCTAATACACTTCATAATTTGATATTTTCAATGTGAGGCCACAATATTTGCATTATGACATCACACTTAATCAAATTTCTCCCAACAAAATAATGCATTTGGTACAGGGAAAATCTATTTTTTCTTCAATATATAGGATTAAAATAGATACCCAACTTGTAAGAATAGGTTATCATACATGATTTAGTGTACAATCCAGTAATACAAGCTCACTTGGCTCATTGTTTTACCTGAGAATGACCTCACTCTGTTAGTACTATGTAAAGTAAGAATGCAGTATAGTACAGCCTGTCTTGAGATCCTTTTTGAATAAGAGGAGGGTCTCTTATAACAGTTTTATTTGGTTTCTTTGTCTTGCAAAACAGGTTGTCTCTTGCTACAGGTCTGAAGGCTCGTGTTGACTAAAAGCTAGGGCTGTCAGTTCTAAAGTAATACAAATATTCACATATTAACAGAAGTAATTTTATCACAGTTTTTAAGCATGACAGACTGGTCCACATTTCCCTATCATACAGTACAATTCACAGTGGAGTTTACAGAAACCTGTACATAAAATATGGCTTCAAATGTTTCAATATTACATAATTTGGAAATATTTGGGTGACATTATGACACAACGATACACTAAACATCTACAATCTGTGTCAACATTTTAACATACAAAACAGCTGTAACTGTCCATCACTATGTGAGGATGATACAGGGTCCTTTAGAACTGCGTGCGCCTGTCAAGTTTTGTGAAAACCTGTGTTTTTCCCCACTTTGTTGGTTACATAATATGTTAAGATACTGGACACCCAGTCTGGCTATGTCATTCACAATCAGAAGCCACAGGTCATTGTTGGCCACCATTATGATGAGCCTCCTTTCTGTTCCCTATATGTCCATGATATCAAAGGGCTGCCCAATGTTTGTTTTATTGCAGTTTGCCACACGTCATTTCTTCACGGATGTGTAAATAATTATGGCCACCACAGCTGCTACCACGACCAGGATCACCACTACGATACACATTTTCTTCCGAGACTTTTTCTGTAACCGAAATAAAAAGAAGATTGATTAGCTATATTCATTAGAATTTTTCCAATGATCAGAAAATTTGGTTGCTTAATATCTGTACATTACAACAGGTAAACCCACAATTGGTAATAAGTCCTAATTACTCCTTTATGTAAGTAATGGTTTAATATTAGGAATTTGAAAATAATTTAAAAGTGCATAACTCCTAACAATTACTTTGCTTCAAGCTGAAAGTGAGAGTTAAGGAGTACCATCAAATAAAATAAAAGTGCACACTAGCATAATAATCTAATAAATACCACACATCATGAATGTAAATAAGGTTTTGTTTGTAAGCTAGGAGAGGTTTACAGTCTGACGTCATCTCAAAGGTTGCGAGTAGGACTCCTATTGTATATATTGAAAAGTATTCTTATAATCATAACAGGTCACTCTCCTTGTATGGCACTGTGGTGGTTTTATGTTGTTCACTCTCAGTTTTAAGGATGCATATCGAAAGTTTTCAATAAACAATAAGTTTTTGATATAACACATGAAAAGTTTAGTTGCCGAATAAGCAAGTGATTTAAGATATTACAAATATGATAAGACACTAAATCATAAAAATTATTATTGAAATTGAAATTATTAATTTTTGGTTATCACAACTTGTGACCTTTAATAAACTTCTTATTTAAAGAGAAACTTAAGTGTACTTCATGAAGCGACCAGAACATACCTAGTAATCTGCAGCCTCCTAATTTACCTGTACATACCTGTTACATTCAGCCACCCCTAAGTGACTTAAACATGTACATACCTTGTATTCTGCAGCCTTTCCCAAGTGTCTTACATATACTTGGTAAACTGCAGCCTTCCCTAAGTGGCTTACATATTCCTGGTAAACTGCAGTCTTCCCTAAGTGTCTTACACATACCTGGTAAACTGTAGCATACCTTGTATTCTGCAGCCTTGCCTAAGTGTCTTACACATACCTGGTAAACTGTAGCATACCTTGTATTCTGCAGCCTCCCCTAAGTGACTTATATATACTTGGTAAACTACAGCCTTCCCTAAGTGGCTTACATATACATGGTAAACTGCAGCCTCCCCTAAGTGTCTTACATATACCTGGTATTCTGCAGCCTTCGCTAAGTGTCTTACATATAATTGGTAAACTGCAGCCTTCTCTAAGTGTCTTACACATACCTGGTAAACTGCAGTCTTCCCTAAGTGTCTTACATATGCTTGGTAAACTGCAGTCTTCCCTAAGTGTCCTACATATTCCTGGTAAACTGCAGCATCCCTTGTATTCTGCAGCCTCCCCTAAGTGACTTAAGCATATACATACCTTGTATTCTGCAGCCTCCCCTAAGTGACTTATATATACTTGCTAAACTGCAGCCTTCCCTAATTGTCCTGCATATACCTGGTAAACCTAGTAATCTGCAGCCTACTAATTTACCTGTACATCCCTGTTACATTCAGCAACCCCTAAGTGACTTATACATGTACATACCTTGAATTCTGCAGCCTTCCCCAAGTGTCTTACATATGCTTGGTAAACTGCAGTCTTCCCTAAGTGTCCTTCATATACCTGGTAAACTACAGCCTTCCCTAAGTGGCTTACATATCCCTGGTATTCTGCAGCCTTTCCCAAGTGTCTTACATATCCCTGGTATTCTGCAGCCTTCCCTAAGTGTCTTACATATACTTGGTAAACTGCAGTCTTCCCTAAGTGTCCTACATATACCTGGTAAACTGCAACCTTCCCTAAGTGGCTTACATATACCTGGTAAACTGCAGCGTTCCCTAAGTGACTTACATATACTTGGTATTCTGCAGCCTTCCTTAAGTGGCTTACATATACCTGGTATTCTGCATCCTTTCCTAAGTGACCTGTACATACCTGTTACATTCAGCCATCCCTAAGTGACTTAAATATAATAACTGGTAAACTGCAGCCTTTCCTAAGTGACTTATATATACTTGGAAAACTGCAGCCTTCCCTAAGGGTCTTACATATACTTGGTAACCTGCAGCCTTCCCTAAGAAGTGTCTTACATATACTTGGCAAACTGCAGTCTTCCCTAAGTGTCGTACATATACCTGGTAAATTGCAGCCTTCCCTAAGTAATCTGCAGCCTCCTAATTTACCTGTACATACCTGTTACATTCAACCACCCCTAAGTGACTTAAACATGTACAGAGCTTGTATTCTGCAGCCTTCGCTAAGTGTCTTACATATACTTGGCAAACTGCAGTCTTCCCTAAGTGTCTTACTAATCCCGGGTAACCTGCAGCTTCCCTAATTGTCCTACAGATACCTGGTAAACTGCCGCCTTTCCTAAGTGACCTATACATACCTGTTACATTCAACCACCCCTAAGTGACTTAAATATGTACATACCTTGTATTATATATACTTGGTAAACTGCAGTCTTCCCTAAGTGTCTTACTAATCCCGGGTAACCTGCAGCTTCCCTAATTGTCCTGCATATACCTGGTAAACTGCAGATTACCTAATTGTCCTACATATACCTGGTAATCTGGCGCCTTCCCTAAGTGTCTCTTACACATACCTGGTAAAGTGCAGCCTTCCCTAAGTGACTTATATATACTTGGTAAACTGCAGTCTTCCCTAAGTGTCGTACATATACTTGGTATTCTGCAGCCTTTCCTAACTGACCTGTACATACCTGTTACATTCAACCACCCCTAAGTGACTTAAACATGTACAGAGCTTGTATTCTGCAGCCTTCACTAAGTGTCTTACATATCCTTGGTAAACTGCAGCCTTCTCTAAGTGTCTTACACATACTTGGTAAACTGCAGTCTTCCCTAAGTGTCGTACATATACCTGGTAAACGGCAGCCTTCCCTAAGTGTCTTGCATATACTTGGTAAACTGCAGTCTTCCCTAAGTGTCGTACATATACTTGGTATTCTGCAGCCTTCCCTAATTGTCTTACATATACCTGGTAGACTGCAGCCTTTCCTAAGTGACCTGTGGATACCTGTTACATTCAGCCACCCCTAAGTGACTTAAATATGTACATACCTTGTATTCTGCAGCCTTCCCTAATTGTCCTACAGATACCTGGTAAACTGCCGCCTTCCCTAAGTGTCTGACATATACTTGGTAAACTGCAGCCTTTCCTAAGTGACCTATACATACCTGTTACATTCAACCACCCCTAAGTGACTTAAATATAATAACTGGTAAACTGCAGCCTTCCCTAAGGGTCTTACATATACTTGGCAAACTGCAGTCTTCCCTAAGTGTCTTACTAATCCCGGGTAACCTGCAGCTTCCCTAATTGTCCTACAGATACCTGGTAAACTGCCGCCTTTCCTAAGTGACCTTTACATACCTGTTACATTCAACCACCCCTAAGTGACTTAAATATGTACATACCTTGTATTCTGCAGCCTTCCTTAAGTGGCTTACATATACCTGGTAAAATGCAACCTTCCCTAAGTGGCTTACAGATACCTGGTAAACTGCAATCTTCCCTAGGTGTCTTACATATACCTCTGCAGCCTTCCCTAAGGGTCTTACATATACTTGGTATTCTGCAGCCTTTCCTAAGTGACTTATATATACTTGGAAAACTGCAGCCTTCCCTAATTGTCCTACAGATACCTGGTAAACTGCAATCTTCCCTAGGTGTCTTACATATACCTTGTAAACTGCAGCCTTCCCTAATTGTCTTACATATACCTGGTAGACTGCAGCCTTTCCTAAGTGACCTGTACTTCCCTAAGTGTCTTACTAATCCCGGGTAACCTGCAGCTTCCCTAATTGTCCTGCATATACCTGGTAAACTACAGCCTCCCTTAAGTGTCTTACATATCCCTGGTAACCTGCAGCTTCCCTAATTGTCCTGCATATACCTGGTAAACTACAGCCTCCCTTAAGTGTCTTACATATACTTGGTAACCTGCAGCCTTCCCTAAGAAGTGTCTTACATATACTTGGCAAACTGCAGTCTTCCCTAAGTGTCGTACATATACCTGGCAACCTGCAGCCTCCCTTAAGTGTCTTACATATCCTTGGTAAACTGCAGCCTTTCCTAAGTGCCCTGTACATACCTGTTACATTCAGCCTCCCCTAAGTGACTTAAATATGTACATACCTTGTATTCTCCAGCCTTCCCTAAGTGTCCTACATATCCCTGGTAAACTGCAACCTTCCCTAAGTGGCTTACAGATACCTGGTAAACTGCAGATTACCTAATTGTCCTACATATACCCGGTAAACTGCAGCCTTCCCGAAGTGTCTTACATATACCTTGTAAACTGCAGCCTTCCCGAAGTGTCTTACATATACTTGGTATTCTGCAGCCTTTCCCAAGTGTCTTACATATACTTGGTATTCTGCAGCCTTTCCCAAGTGTCTTACATATACCTGGTATTCTGCAGCCTTCCTTAAGTGGCTTACATATACCTGGTAAATTGCAGCCTTCCCTAAGTGTCTTACATATACCTGGTAAACTGCAGCCTCCCTTAAGTGTCTTACATATACCTGGTAAACTGCAGCCTTTCCTAAGTGACCTGTACATACCTGTTACATTTAGCCCCCCCTAAGTGACTTAAACAAGTACATACCTTGTATTCTGCAGCCTTCCCTTAGTGTCTTACATATACTTGGTAAACTGCAGTCTTCCCTAAGTGTCTTACATATATCTGGTAAACTGCAGCATTTCCTAAGTGACCTATACATACCTGTTACATTTAGCCCCCCCTAAGTGACTTAAACAAGTACATACCTTGTATTATATATACTTGGTAAACTGCAGTCTTCCCTAAGTGTCCTCCATCTACCTGGTAAACTGCTGCCTTCCCTAAGTGACTTATATATACCTGGTAAACTGCAGCCTTCCCTAAGTGACTTATATATACCTGGTAAACTGCAGCCTTCCTTTAGTGTCTTACATATACCTGGTAAACTTCAGCCTTTCCTAATTTACCTGTACATACCTGTTACATTTAGCCACCCCTAAGTGACTTAAACATGTACATACCTTGTATTCTGCAGCCTTCCCTAAGTGTCTTACATATACTTGGTAAACTGCAGCCTTCCCTAAGTGTCCTACATATACCTGGTAAACTGCAGCCTTCCCTAAGTGACTTACATATACTTGGTAAACTGCAGCCTTCCCTAAGTGGCTTACATATACCTGGTAAACTGCAGCCTTCCCTAAGTGTCTTACATATACCTGGTAAACTGCAGCCTTCCCTAAGTGGCTTACATATACCTGGTATTCTGCAGCCTTCCTTAAGTGGCTTACATATACCTGGTAAACTGCAGCCTTTCCTAAGTGACCTGTACATACCTGTTACATTCAGCCTTTCCTATACCTGTTACATTCGGCCTTCCCTAAGTGACTTATACACACCTGGTATTCTGCAGCCTTCCCTAAGTGTCCGGTACCTTGTTCTACATTGCCATATGCCCGTTCTACATTAGCTTCAATGGAATCTGTAAAAAACAAAATAAGAAAAAAAGTACAAATATTATGAGATTTTGTTGAGCACTGGAATGTTCCAATTTTGGCCTCACTGAATGATAAACTTGTTTAAGTATATTGTAGTCATGCTAATGTGTTAAATGGTAATGAAGTAATAATTAGTCAAAATACTTTGACAAAAGATTTCTATTTTCCCTTGTCCCGCCACATCTTGACCAACTTAAATCATGAAATTATTTAATTTAAAATCTTTTTTTGGTCCCTTTTAGTTTCTAGTAGTTGTATCTTTGCCAAATTATGACATCTTATTGCAGAAGACAGATTGAACTGGAGAAAACAGTGATCAGGGCCCAATGTTTCAATGTCCAGAAAGCTATCCTCAACTTGATATTCTAAATACTGTCTATTTCAGCTTCTCATGGAACAGTTTTTGACAATTACTCCACAAACTCTTTGCCATTTCAGACAAACTCTTGTAACTCTAATACAGATTAGAAAATAAAATATTTTTTACAATTATAACTACGGTACATTCCCAAAATGATTTATGTGTGAAACATCCATTTTTATTCTTTAAAGCATTGAAAAAATGTCTTAGAGCAAAACATATCAATAAATACATGTGTAACTATTACTTTTCAAAGTAAAAGAAATTATGTTGAGCTGAGTCAGAAATTAGTCTAGACAGTAAGTGAACATACCCTAAAAATCTATGTAATTTGCGAGGTACTTTTTGAGGCTGAAAATCCCCAAAAAAGCTTCTACTCAAATATTTAAAAAATGTTCAAGTTCCGAAAATCAATCTCTGAAAACACGATCGTTTTCAGACAGGTTTTCCATTACTTACCTACTGCCTCTCCTTGTTCATGGATCATCACGTTTAAATCTTTGAAAATCTCATTCACATCTAATACATCAGACTGCACAAAAAAAAAAAAAAAAAGTCCACATATCAATGCTGTAAATCGATGCATTCTTATGTACCAATGCATAATTAATTTTGCAATTTGCTTCAAAGGGATTACTTTCAAGGATTTCAATTCTCAAACAATTAACAATAGATACAATAGCTATTGTTTAAATTGGATTGACCAAATGTTCTTATGATGTTGCATTGTCATTTCATAAGAATTAACACAAAAATATGTTACTTGTTATATCAAAGGACAGTTACTATGGTATAAATTCATAGCTATCATACCCATTACAACATTTTTGCAACATTTATATTTATCCCACATCAAAAGTTTGGTGACATCCATATTAGGCTATAAGCACAAAGATATTTTTCTTGCAAAACTCAATTTGACCCATCAATTTTAGCGGTGGTGGAGGAAACCCTGAGAAAAACCACCGACCTGCTGTCAGTACCAGTACATTTATAAGTACATTTACTGTACCAAATTTATTCTTTATTTTAAACACTTCCTAACCTCCAATTGTCTGATTCTTTCTTCTCGTTCTCCAATCAGTGCCAAGTCATCCTCGATGACTTGTCCCTGAGCTTGGAGTTCTTCCCTCCTCCTTTCCTGCTCCACGAAGGCCGTCTTATCATCACCATCCTGTCAACATCACACAAACATCTCACAGTCTAGGTGTTCCAAACATTGTTAGCAGGGTTCGGAACACTGACTGGTCAGCAACGGCCTGCCATGTGCCTGATCTACCCAACATGGTTTATTTGTAGTTACAGTATTCTTGACCTTGGCCTTAATAACTTTTTAAACCCCTACTGCACATCTTAATATCAAAGTCTATCACCATTTCAAAAATATTAATCTTTTGGGTGAAAAGATAAGGATGGTACATCCCCAACCCCCATCCCAACCCCGATATACCAATTTTTAGTGGTCTATTTTTAAGAAACAGTGACCTAGAACTTAAATTTTTTAAACCCCAATTACGCATTAACATATCAAAGTGTAATACCATGTAAAATTTCAAAATTATTAGTCTTTTTGACTCTGAGATAATCTCCTGAAACGAAAGTGTGGATGGACAAATAGACAGACACAGTGATTACTACAGGGCACCCGCATCTAATTATTTCAATGCAGATAAGAATATTGAAGAGACCAACTTACGTCCCATCCACCTGTTAACAAGTCTTGTGGCTTGGGAGTGGATAACTTCACAGATGTCTTCACTTTTTCTGCAGCATTCTACCAAAACAAAACATTGATTTAGGTGTAAGCAGACATACATGTTTGATTGATTACATTATCTGATTTTAATATGTCCTCCTAGAAATGAGACAGATTTAACAGACAGTGGTTACAGAAATAATTCCTTTCTGAAAGATGAAATTCAGAGATAACACTCGTACCCATTCAACATACTTTCTAATGAAGACAATGGAGCTTATTAACCAAATTAATGAAAATGGTCCTGGCAGTCTATGGTTTTGGGTGAAAGGGAGGCTGCCTTACCTGTAGAAGAAAAGGGGAAAATTACCCCAATTATCTCTCTATCCTTATATGAAGATCTAGAAGAAACAGTCACTTGTAAGTTCTTAAGTCTCACGAGAGTTAAGTATGAAACAGTCTGATAGGCTCTGTAGCAATAGGAGTAAGAGAGAAAGCAGCCCTCTAGTCTTCAGTGCAAGGGAGATAATCACCCAACCTTACCTTTTGTAGGGTGGTGAATCGCCGCACAGCATCTTCAAAGTCTGTCTGCAATCTGTCTATCTTAAACTTTTGTTGCTGAAACCAAAACAATAGAGTGTTAATGTACAAAAAAAATATCAATCAATAAATGTACCAGATATTCATGAAATACTGTAAATTCATTTGAATCATTCATGTCAGTTGAGTTTTCCACTGCTAAGGGACTGGGAACAAGTAACAAAACATTGAAGTCAGTACATGATTAGCCAGGGTCTGCTCAGAAAAATCGCTAAGGAGAGCTGATAGTATATGACTGGATAAGGTCAGCTCCAAATAGGAACAGACCTGTTGTCTGAGACACATCCATGCTTTTCTTACAAGTAGTGTTGCTTTTTAACTGTATCCAGTCTTATATTGTACTGTGATGTTGTGTTAGTCGACAGGCAGTGCTACTGCCATCAGTAAATCTAATCATACTGTAAATAAAACCATTTAGTTCAGTACCACACTATATTATGTTGTGTTGATACCAAAGACTAGAATCCAGAGTAAATTGGAGGTGATACCAAAGACTAGAATCCAGAGTAAGTTGGAGGTGATACCAAAGACTAGAATCCAGAGTGAGTTGGAGGGGTGCCTCTATCAAGATACATTAATGCATAGAGAAAAAAAAAGATTTAAGATCATTTTGATGTTACATTTGTATTACAAGGATTTTTTTACATTTTACCTTTAATTAATTGAAACACATTATATTACACTCATCCAGTTATTTTGATAATAGTATGAAAGCTACATCCTTCAATTAGTTATGTGGAAACCATTTTCTTATTATAACATGTCTGATAGTGAATCTCCCTCCTGGCACCATTGATGACCAAACTTATCTAGAACATGGAGTAACCCCCTGCTTTTCCACACTCCAGAATAAACAGAGTGATAAATATTCAATGGACAGTACTTATAAGGGTAGAGCCTGAATTTACCCGCTCTAGATGTCTCAATGAGTGATACATATAGGATGTCTAAATGAGTGATACATACATAACTGACAGTACTTAGAAGGGTGGAGCCTGAATTTACCCGCTCTAGATGTCTAAATGAGTGATACATACACAACTGACAGTACTTAGAAGGGTGAAGGCTGAATTTACCCGCTCTAGATGTCTAAATGAGTGATACATATATAACTAACAGTACTTAGAAGGGTGAAGTCTGAATTTACCCGCTCTAGATGTCTCAATGAGTGATACATATATAACTGACACTACTTAGAAGGGTGAAGCCTGAATTTACCCGCTCTGGATGTCTAAATGAGTGATACATACATAACTGACAGTACTTAGAAGGGTGAAGACTGAATTTACCTGCTCTGGATGTCTCAATGAGTGATAAATATATAACTGACAGTACTTAGAAGGGTGAAGACTGAATTTACCCGCTCTGGATGTCTCAATGAGTGATACATATATAACTGACAGTACTTAGAAGGGTGAAGCCTGAATTTACCCACTCTAGATGTCTAAATGAGCGATACATATATAATTGACAGTACTTAGAAGGGTGAAGCCTGAATTTACCCGCTCTAGATGTGTAAATGAGTGATACATATATAACTGACAGTCCTTAGAAGGGTGAAGCCTGAATTTACACGCTCTAGATGTCTCAATGAGGGATACATATATAACTGACAGAACTTAGAAGGGTGGAGCCTGAATTTACTCAGTCTAGATGTCTCAATGAGTTATACATATATAACTGACAGAACTTAGAAGGGTGGAGCCTGAATTTACCCACTCTAGATGTCTCAATGAGTGATTCATATATAACTGACAGTACGTAGAAGGGTGAAGCCTGAACTTACCCGCTCTAGATGTCTCAATGAGGGATACATATATAACTGACAGTACTTAGAAGTGTGAAGCCTGAATTTACCCACTCTAGGTGTCTCATTGAGGCAAGTGTCTTCATGAGGCTGGTTGTGTCTTGTACAATCTTCGTTGTCTTCTGAGATGTGTCATGTCTGAAACACAAATGTTGAGGTAAGACAGAGTAATTTCATTCAAATCCTATTTCACTCTTTTAACTATCATGTTCAAGACAATATCCAAGTACTTAGAAGGGTGGAGCTTGAATTTACCCACTCTAGATGTCTCAATGAGTGATTCATATATAACTGACAGTACGTAGAAGGGTGAAGCCTGAATATACCCGCTCTAGGTGTCTCATTGAGGCAAGTGTCTTCATGAGGCTGGTTGTGTCTTGTACAATCTTCTTTTTCTTCTGAGATGTGGCATGTCTGAAACACAAATGTTTGGGTAAGACAGAGTAATTTCATTCAAATCCTATTTCACTCTTTTAACTATCATGTTCAAGACAATATCCAAGTACTTAGAAGGGTGGAGCCTGAATTTACCCGCTCTGGATGTTTCAATGAGTGATACATATATAACTAACAGTACTTAGAAGGGTGAAGCCTTAATTTACCCGCTCTAGATGTGTAAATGAGTGATACATATATACCTGACAGTACTTAGAAGGGTGAATCCTGAATTTACCCACTCTAGATGTCTAAATGAGTTATACATATATAACTGACAGAACTTAGAAGGGTGGAGCCTGAATTTACCCGCTCTAGATGTGTAAATGAGTGATACATATATAACTGACAGAACTTAGAAGGGTGGAGCCTGAATTTACCCGCTCTAGATGTCTAAATGAGAGATACATATATAACTGACAGTCCTTAGAAGGGTGAAGCCTGAACTTACCCGCTCTAGATGTCTCAATGAGGGATACATATATAACTGACAGTACTTAGAAGTGTGAAGCCTGAATTTACCCGCTCTAGGTGTCTCATTGAGGCAAGTGTCTTCATGAGGCTGGTTGTGTCTTGTACAATCTTCTTTTTCTTCTGAGATGTGGCATGTCTGAAACACAAATGTTGAGGTAAGACAGAGTAATTTCATTCAAATCCTATTTCACTCTTTTAACTATCATGTTCAAGACAATATCCAAGTACTTAGAAGGGTGGAGCCTGAATTTACCCACTCTAGGTGTCTCATTGAGGCAAGTGTCTTCATGAGTCTGTTTGTGTCTTGTACAATCTTCTTTTTCTTCTGAGATGTGGCATGTCTGAAACACAAATGTTTGGGTAAGACAGAGTAATTTCATTCAAATCCTATTTCACTCTTTTAACTATCATGTTCAAGACAATATCCAAGTACTTAGAAGGGTGGAGCTTGAATTTACCCACTCTAGATGTCTCAATGAGGGATACATATATAACTGACAGTACTTAGAAGGATGAAACCTGAATTTACCCGCTCTATATGTCTAAATGAGTGATACATATATAACTGACAGTACTTAGAAGGGAGAAGCCTGAATTTATCCCCTCTAGGGGTCTAAATGAGTGATACATATATAACTAACAGTACTTAGAAGGGTGATGCCTGAATTTACCCGCTCTGGATGTCTAAATGAGTTATACATATATAACTGACAGAACTTAGAAGGGTGGAGCCTGAATTTACTCACTCTAGATGTCTCAATGAGGGATACATATATAACTGACAGAACTTAGAAGGGTGGAGCCTGAATTTACTCAGTCTAGATGTCTCAATGAGTGATCCATATATAACTGACAGTACTTAGAAGGGTGAAGCCTGAATTTACCCGCTCTAGGTGTCTCATTGAGGCAAGTGTCTTCATGAGTCTGGTTGTGTCTTGTACAATCTTCTTTGTCTTCTGAGATGTGTCATGTCTGAAACACAAATGTTGAGGTAAGACAGAGTAATTTCATTCAAATCCTATTTCACTCTTTTAACTATCATGTTCAAGACAATATCCAAACTGGTAATTCAGTTATATTGCATAAGACTGATAACAGAGGAAGAACATATGTTAGGTTACCCACCGTACTGGACAATAGTAAAATGCTGAGTTCCCTTGACCACATGATGCTCCAGACCAACTAAGGTAACAATCTCTTCATTGGTATTAGGCCAAACAAAAAAAATATTTGGTGTTTCCGGTAACCCTACATACCCTTATTTTTTTGTGCCTATCCTAAAATTTATGAGGCATTTTTTAAAAGAAGCACTGTTACAGTCAAGATCAATCTCGTATATAAACCAAATACAATTATTTGTTAAAATAAAATTTGTTACCAACCTACCTCTACCTACCTACCATGAATGTTTCCAACATGTTACAGGAAACACGTATATTTTTTTGTCTGGCCTTCAGATTTTCAACATTTACCAATAACTCTCCTATCAGACCTTGCTCCTCTTTCCTCAAGGGGCAACACCCTCAATTTATACAACATTGAGCCCCCTACTACACCCATCAAATTGCTCCAGACTGAATTAAGTTAAATCCACTCATTCATTGGGGAATAGCTATTGTAGCATTTTACAGGAACAGTTAACATATGGACAACAATGGCTAGTAGGGGAAGAATCAAAATCTTATGACTTGCATTCTGTCTCTCAGCTGAACACTGTCTCGATCTGTTCCAATGATTTTCATGGCTCTCTCCAGGGAATTTGCTATACGAACAGACAATGCCAGCTTATGATCTTGTTAAAATGTACAACGTGATGTAATTGCAACAATCTATTCTAAGCTTCTTGTTTACTCTTCAGTGAACAATTCACTTGTATGCTGCCATGTCCTAGGAACAAATATGTTATTTTCTACTATAAAGAAAAAGGTTCGTATCAAAAGATATATACAAGTAGTGAGTTGGTCAAATAGGGATATGGACAGCTCAAATATCTTCTTTTTTTATATCAGGGCATAGACATATTCCCAATTCTAATAACCAAAGTCTTTCATTTTGTTCTTTAGGAAATTCTGGAGTACTGTGACATACAAAGTGATTGAGGAATTAGCTGTATAATACTGTATACCAGAAAATTTTGACACAGTTTATTTTTCGCCCTCCGTAATGAGGGCGAATTTACCATTACAGCATACATAATTTGTAAACAATACAATATACATAGTAATTAAATGTGAAGGACAAGTTTAATATTAGGCAACAAGAATCCCAGAGGGATCTTGGCGCCCACCATTGTACCATCTTCATTAGTTCTATGTCACTTTGATATTTTCTCTTCTTTTCTCTTATCTGTTTGATCAAGTCATGTAAACAGTAAATGCACCATTTCACATATTTACTAGTACAGTTCTTAAATGTAAGAGAAATAGATCGGATCATTACAATATCAGAAAGATCTCATATAAAGTACTTCCTGTGGCCATCTTGTTTTTATGATCACTCTCCAAAGTAAGCATGCACAACTTCAGATCAAGGGGAACCTACATATCAAATTTGAAAAAAAGATTCCTTCTAACTTCATGAGAAATAGTGATAACAAACATCCACTGTCAAAATCCAAGATGACGGCCATTTTGGTTATCTGATCAGTCTCAAAAGTAAACATGCACAACCACATTTTACCGTCGAAGGGTGAAATTTTGACTTCGCGAAAATTTTCAAGTATATACTATTTGTATCAAACTGTTCCCTAGTACATGTAGAACCTTTTTGCTACATGTACATAAGTATGAAGCCTCAACCGTTACCTCCGCTGTTGATGTTGGCGATGTTGCCACTGACTTGGTCACAGGTGTCTGAATAGCGAGACATATCTGAAATGCACCAAATGATTTATTACAACAACAAAAAAAAAATTGCACATGATTTACGGAAGCTTTCAATGTTAACTCATATTATAAGCATACCTCAAATAGTGTATCATTTGTAAAGACATTTAAATTTTGCATTGATAAGAGTTCATATAAATTATAATTTACTTTTTAAACAAAAACAGAGTTTAAATATAAATGTTTTATTTCTTTTCCCTAACAGAAACATCAAATAAGCTGAATTTACTGAGGCACATGTATGTTAAAGATGTAAATTCTGAAGATCCACCCAAAACCTGCACTTCTGTGCTTTTTGGACCATCCAAGTAGCTTGATCAATCATATCTATATTTTAACAAACTTGTAATTCAAGCTCAATGCTCTCTAGTGACCTCAATTTATTATCATTATCATTATTATTAAATGGTTTAATGTTCACATGCTATAATGTTGACATATATGTAACCTGGGGGGGAAAAACCTGGTTCAAACTTGATGAAGAGCAGGATGCCAACAACTGGATTTTAATGAGAACATAGTAAACAACTTTTGTCAAGGAGACTAGCTAGGGAACAAAGACCTGATTTCATGACATCAGAAAATATCTGGTAGCATTGAAAACTCTACACAAAATATTTCCACTACATTTTGTTTAACTGTGGTAAATTTATATTCAGTATGTGATACAGACTAAATGCCTGTATCATATGTACTAAGATGACTCATGTACCATATCACATTTCACCTGATTGACATGCAATACAAGCAACAGATTCATACACTGACAGATAGAGAATGTAAATCTCTGTGGAGATGCTGACTGATAACAACTTTAAATGTTAGGTTCTATAATTGTCAGTTACAGCATGTACTATACAGTAATAGGATTGTAAGATATATGGCATAGTCATCTCCATGTTATCCGAGGAGTAAACAGATTGTATAGAGTAAACTACACATCTTTTTTATCCACAGGAGTGGGCTCCACATATATATACTATGCTAACTTGTCTCTGTGTCAATGACATGTCTGAACCACCAGTCAAAAACTTACTATTCCTACCTCCATCAAATTATAATACCCTGAAGTGACGTTAAACCCAATAACATCCTCCACTAAAGGAAGTGTAGTTGTTACTAATGTACAGACTCATAGTGATATATATATATCGCTTTACTAAAATATCAGTTATTATATTATATATATATTATATTTTTCAGCTTCTATGAAACCTTGACCAATTCGACCCATTAACAATAACTATCAGAACTTTTTTATTACCCGATTTATGTTATATATCATTAAACAATCTTGACCTGTCACTTTATTTACTGTAGATATTTATTTCGCTTTGCAGATTTGTTTTATTACTGCAATAGTTTAGTTAAACCATAAAGTGTGGGCTTGTGGTTTGTGACAAGTTTCATTTTCCCATAAACCATGTCTATTTCCCGAGGCAGTCAGAGGAAACAGGCCTGGATGAAGGGAAATAGAAACTTTTTCCATAAACCAGATATTTGAAACACTTTCATAACAAAACAAACTACACAGACATTTTACAAAACAATATTTCAAGTTGCAAGTTTTGATAACCTGTTGATAGCCATATGTTTCCTTTCAGTATTGTTTGCAATGATGAATCTCAATTGATCTGATCATGACTAGTCAAGATAGAATACTTGTCCCGATGTTATTTTCGAACACACAACAAACTGACATGAGGGAATATCACTTGTTCCTTTAAAATGAAGTCTGGTAAAATTGATTAATATGTAGATCAATATATCCCTAGGACATAGCAACTATCTATTACACAGCATTTATTACCAAATATATTAAACTTGTAAATAAGGATAAATATGTAGTGATATAATATTCCCCTATACTTGGTGTACCCACTTGGTGCATCACTATAAACTCCGTCGGTGGGATCGTCCTTGTACACAGTAGAACCATAGCTGGGGAAGTCATTGGAAGCCATTGTTAAAATCTAATGTGTCAGCTCTCTGCAATATAAACAATTTGTTAAGCAAAGTTATTCTGGCCTTTGCAATTTAACACATTACAGTAATAACATTAAATGATGTTATCATGGCTGTAACTGTGAAAATATCAAGGGAAGAAAGTTTTCTTGACCTTCCACTGTCCAAATAAACTTGCTCCTACATAATTGAATGCTGGTCTTATACATGTACTATATAACTACTTGCATTAAATGACACAGGTACATCATGTAAACCACTATTGGCTGGTTATATTTCCATAGTATTCTGGTGATACATTACTATAGGCCTGATATTGTCCAGGTGAATATAATCAATGCTGGCGTTATGCATTTCCCAGATCAACTTCCATTGATAGAGTTAGTATTTTAGTAATCCCAATAATCATTTTAAGCAAAGAAATTGAAAGGGGCCCAGCTAATTTTCAGGAATCCCATTCAAGCTATACTGGACATTATTTAATCTGAAAAGGACTCCACTTATGAAAATATCCAGTACAAATCAAGTTTCTAAAATCACAAAGTCGAAATACTAAAAGCCACCCCTCTATATTATGCTGGAATCATAAGTGAATTAAGTTAAATGGCTATACCTATTATCCCCAATACAATTTTTTTCTGTGACAAATGACTTCAAACAGCACAAAAAAAATGTTTGCATTGAGAGAAAAAAACCATGAAATTTCATGTACTATGTGTTTACAGTCATACAGTCATGAAAATGGGTGCTTGGAGAAAATAGATTCACTGTTGGCAACCAGTAATATTATCATCACCTGTAAAGTACTTGCAGCTTCCATCCAGCCACTGGCCTCACTCAATATTGCTTAATATTGCTTAACTTACTGGATTAGCCATACATCTATCTTCTCTAACTTAATAATATTACTGTATTTTGTAAAGAGCCTGAACTCAGATCCCCAACCTTGACACTATCTATATATATTTTTCAGGCTATAGAATGCTTGGAAGAAAAAAACAGTATTGCTGAACTATTAAGTGAGTCCAGGGCCCTTATTGCATCCCTGAAAAGCTAGATTGCCAGTATGACAACATGTTCCCCATATCTTATCCTCCATGATGTCTCATCCCGGGACTTTGCCAGAGGAATCTGTGGGTTCTCCCTGTTTACCAATGCACCTCCAATTACCAATGTAAACTACAGGGGTGCCACCAAATTATAATGTTGGCAGGCACCCATATCCAGCCACTGTCAGACCATGCTGACGTTGCTGCACTAGTGAGCAGGTCCAAGCGTCATACATACTGCACCACTGGATATGCTAGCTTGCAAGGCAGTATTTTCCCTTCTTATTACTTGTGTAACAGGAAAGCTACAGAATAGTGTGCTAGCTTCCACTGGGGATCGAACCCTCGATATCCAGGTTCCTAGTCGGATGCTTTACCACTGAGCTAAAGGGAAATTCCCCTAGCTCGAAGCTAGAAGGCAACCTTAATCCTATGTACAATTGAACCCTGCCACACTACTCCCCCCTTTTTAAATGTGTTTGCCCTCGAACACCACAACCCAGGTTCTAACTCCCTGTCACTATAGAGAGGGCCATGGACACCATTTGTAACAGGAAAGAAAATAGTGTGCTTCCACCGGGGATCGAACCCTCGATATCCAGGTTCCTGGTCGGACGCTCTACCACTGAGCTAAAGGGAAATGCCCCCAGCTCGAAGCTAGAAGGCGACCTTAATCCTATGTACAATTGAACCCTGCCACACTTGTTACATGGCTTATAGTTATATTAAGGGTTCTCCGGTCCAGACAAGGATGTAATATAACTTATAATATATCAATAAGTATATATTTTTAAAAGATAATTCAGAATTCTTAATTATTCCACATCACTTACCACGCTAATACCAATCACCATCAGTGACCATAGAGTATGAGAGATAAATTGCTGTCAGAATGCAGATGCAAGTCACAGAATCTATGCGATTTATAAGATTTAGATGAGTCAGCTCTCCTAAAGCAAATTTTTATCATAAACGTTTTCACTCGGCTTGCATACAATTGTTTTATCAATACTTGAAAAATTGGATATGGTGTTATTACAATTAATCAGCACTGACAAATAAATGAATGCCATCGCCACATTACCAACTGAAACGGTTACGTTGTATAAAGTGCCCCACATGTATCTGTCTGAAGCATCTGTAACATCTAGGTACATTATTATTTTCAAAATCGGATAGTTGTATCTTTTCTTAGACGAAGAAAATACTACCTAGTTTAGTCTGTGATCCATCAGCTGACCAATCAAGATGAAGTATCTCCCACACTCATCAAACTGCTTCTGTTTTCTCATGTGACCGGAAGTTTCGCAAGAGTGACTGCTCTTGACCTTGCGTAAGAATATCTTTCGTCATTTATAAATCTTCTAATTTTTAAGAGGAAACTCATTCATTTTTAATATCGTTTAATTCCAAACAACTTGTGTATAATGTGAAACAGAATAATCCATAAGTCAGTGTGTTTGATGTTGCATTATTGTGGTCATAAAATGAACTATTTGAATTAAAATGCTTACGCCGACGGTAAACCGACGAAGCGCGATCACGTCATTAGCATGTGACATCTGCCAAGTCAAACAGAAAGTTGACTGAATTTCTTCCTCGTAAGTATATTTTTTGACAGTTATCACCAGTTCTTGAAAAATTGAAGTGAAATCTAAAAAAAAACATGTTTGTATTACCTGCTTTGATATGGAATTACTTGGCAGCGCACATCACCTGTCATCACAATCGCACAGGCAGACAGGGTGTACCGTGTTGTTGACATATACATAGTGTAGGTTATATGTTAGTCAGCTAATTTTAAAACTGACCATAATCGCAGCATAAACAGGCGACCGATCAGAATGTATGGTCAGTTTTAGCGGACTAGTTATACATGTAGGTGTACTCATATTAAACATGAGACATTTTCCAACCAATGTCAACATGCTCACATGATCATACCGTGATTTGATTGATCTTCAGCTTGATGAAGGTGGTCAATATTTTGTAGATGTAGAACATGGCCCTGTGCACCTACGGTTATCAAAAAAAGGGCATCAAATTGATACCCTTCAAATTAATTAAACATTAACAACTTTTGTTATGCTAAATTCCCCACAATGAAAGTCTTGTGGAATATGATATATTGATATCAGCATCTCGGCCATCTCGGGCATCGGTGTAATTGCCAAACTGTTGCTTGTCCAAATACTTTCCATGCATGGATGGTTTATTAATCTCTGCCACTGCATCAACAGAATGGTTATCAATTATTTTGGAATTAATAGGATGAAGTTGTCTAAAACCTGAAGCATTCAGCTCTTCATGCTATAACGATTTTAAAAAACAAAAATTCTTATTTTTTTAGCCTCAAATCAATGGAAGTCTGCATAGGTGTGCTTCATTATTAAATACACATTTATCATAATCACAATTCATAATGCCACTACATAGTGTATAAAAACATATCAAAATCAGCTGACAGTAAGAATGAGACCAAAGCTATGAATTGATAATCTTGACGTTGTTATAATAACATTAGCAATAACTGGCTGTTGGGCGTGTTGGCTATATCACTTAAATCTTAATGAACTGCAATTTAATCAAAATTTGAAGAAGACTTTATTCTGAAACATAAAACCTAAATAAGAATTTAATTAATATTAATTCAGTTTACAGTTATAGTTGTATATATTCGACAGGATTGACTTTCAAAACAAATTTCATGTACAATATTCGTTGTTTAATTTGCTTGCAATCCTGTTCAAAATTGTAGGACTACAGCCCTGAACAGAATGCTTTTAAATGCTTTATTATGACAAGAAAAATTATTAACAACACTCTTGTCATGTCACTTGAATTGTACCAAGATGGATTTTAAAACAAAGAACACTACTGAAAAAATAAGTTTGATTTTGTCTCTTTGTTATATGTACATGTTCATAGAATGAACAATGATATGTAAATAAGTCTCGTTTTATTAACAGTTTATCTGTAAAAATGAGTGAAAAAACTGGGCCTCAGACCTATCAGACTATTCCACAACCCGGGGAGGCTGCTCCATCATATCCCAGTGAACCACCCCCAAAGTATGAGGCAGGACCTCAAAGTGGCTACCAACAGGCACCACAGCCACAAGGGTATCCACCCCAGGGATCATATCCCCAGGCTCCGGGATACAATGCACAAGGTAAGAGAATAGGCACTATAGTCACAGGGGTACCCATCCCAGGGATCATATCTCCAGACTCCGGGATACAATGCACAAGGTAAGAGAACAGGCACCACAACAACTAGATAATTCACCCCAGGGATCATATCCCCAGGCTCAGGGATACAATGCACAATGTAAGAGAATAGTCACCATAGTCACAGGGGTACCCATCCCAGGGATCATATCTCCAGACCCCGGGATACAAAGCACAAGGTAAGAGAACAGGCACCACAACAACTAGATAATTCATCCCAGGGATCATATCTCCAGGCTCAAGATTACAAACCACAAGGTAAAACTAAGAACAGACACCACAACAACTAGATAATTCACCCCAGGGATCATATCTTCAGACTCGGGGATACAACCCACAAGGTAAGAGAACAGGCACCACAACAACTATATAATTCATCCCAGGGATCATATCTCCAGGCCCAGGGATACAACCCACAAGGTAAGAGAACAGGCACCACAACAACTAGATAGTTCACCCCAGGGATCATATCTCCAGGCTCAGGGATACAACCCACAAGGTAAGAGAACAGGCACCACAACAACTAGATCATTCATCCCAGGGATCATACATATCTCCAGGCTCAGGGATACAACGCACAAGGTAAAAGAACAGGCACCACAGTTACTAGATAATCCACCCAAGGGGTTAATGTTATATTCCCATACTTTGGGGTAAACACAGTACAATGTAAAATATTGAATCTTGATGAAGGATATCAGGACTTTCTTTAGATAATAGGACAATGTTATTGGGGGAAGCTCTTGTATTGTTAGCTCACCTGGCACGAAGTGCCAAGTGAGCTTATGCCGTGGCGCGGCGTCCGTCGTCCGTCCGCCCGTCCGTCCTCGTCCGTCAACTTTTCCTTTAAACAACTTCTTCTGAAGAACGGGCAGGTCTAGAGTCATGATATTTGGCTGAAAGCTTCGTTGGTAGGAGCCCTACAAAGTTTGAGAACGAAAATGACCTTGACCTGTTTTCAAGGTCACAGGGGTCAAATATGTCAAAAACTTCAAACGACTTCTTCTGAAGAACTAAAAGGTATAGAATCTTCATATTTGGCTGATGGCTTCCTTGGATGGAGCCCAACAAAGTTTGAGAATGAAAATTACCTTGACCTTCTTTCAAGGTCACAGGGGTCAAATGTGTCAAACACTTCAAACGACTTCTTCTGAAGAACTGAAAGGTATATAATCTTTATATTTGGCTGGTGGCTTCCTGGGATAGAGCCCAACAAAGTTTGAGAATGAAAACTAGTTTGACCTACTTTCAAGGTCACAGGGGTCATATATGTCAAAAGCTTCAAATGACTTCTTCTGAAGAACTGAAAGGTATAGAATCTTTATTTTTGATTGATGGCTTCCTTGGATAGAGCCCGACAAAGTTTGAGAATGAAAATGACCTTGACCTTCTTTCAAGGTCACAGGAGTCAAATGTGTCAGACACTTCAAACGACTTCTTCTGAAGAACTGAAAGGTATATAATCTCTATATTTGGCTTGTAGCTTCCTAGGAAAGAGCCGAACAAAGTTTGAGAATGAAAATGACCTTGACCTTCTTTTAAGGTCACATGAGGCAGATATGTCAAACACTTTAAACGACTTCTTCTGAAGAACTGGTAGTTATAAAATCTTAATATTTGGCAGGTGGCTTCCTGGGAAAGAGCCAAACAAAGTTTGCGAATGAAAATGACCTTGACCTACTTTCAAGGTCACAGCGTTCAAATATGTCAAACAGTTCAAACAGCTTCTTCTGAAGAATTAAAAGGCATAAAATTATAATATTTGGCTGGTGACTTCCCGGGATAGAGCTCACCAAAGTTTGCAAATGAAAATGACCTCAACCTACTTTAGAGGTCACAGAGGTCAACAACATTTTAATGGATTTGTTCTTGAGAACTAAAAGGAATGGATTCATAAGATTTGGCTGGTAGCTTTTTGGAATAGAGCTAACCAATTTGAGAAGGAAAATGACATTGACCTACTTACAAGATCACAGGGGAAAATATGTCAAGCAACTTCTGAAGAAGAATCAAAAAGCATAGAATCTTATAATAATATTTTGCTGGTAGTTTCAACAGATGGAGCCAACAAAGTTTGCAAGGGAAATATTTATAGTGCAATATAATATTTAATGAGAATATTTTGCAATGACTGCTTAAATATTCAGGTGAGCGATACAGGCCCTCTTGGGCCTCTTGTTAGAGTTATTTTCTGTATTCAAAACGTTATAGTTTCTATTTATGCATTGGGTACAAGAGTGCACTGAGAGAAATAGACATTGTTATTAGAGTTAGTCCACCGTAGCATGAAGCACTTTTTAGATATATGATACAGCTCTGTTTTTGCGACATCAATTGTTGTGCTGTGTCAACCAAGTGAAAGTTACTAGCTTAAAGGTGTTGCTAGGTATACTATATGATGTTCTTATCTTATTAGTCCCCTACCGGGGGGACTATAAGTTTCCTCTCTGTCCGTCTGTGTACGTACGTACGTACAACACCAATCTTTGTCAGCGCTCTAGCGGCTTCATTCCTTGAAGGACTTTGATCAAACTTCACACAAATACAAAAGACCATAATATCGCGGACATGTTTGAGTTTCAGGGTTGTTGCGTCAAGGTCACTGTTACTATTTTAAGAAAATCCTTGTCAGCGCTCTAGCAGCTTTATTCCTTGAGGGATTAGGATCAAACTTCACACAATTACAAAGGACCATAATATCTCGGACAAGTTCAAGTTTCAGGGTTGTTGGGTCAAGGTCACTGTTACTAGTTTTAGAAAATTCATTGTCAGCGCTTTAGCAGCTTCATTCCTTTAGGGATTTTGATTGTACTTCACACAATAACAAAAGACCATAATATTGCGGACATTAAGTTTGAGTTTCAGGGTTGTTGGGTCAAGGTCACTGTCACTATTTTTAGAAAATCCTTGTCAGCGCTCTAGCGGCTTCATTCCTTGAGGGATTAGGATCAAACTTCACACAACTACAAAGTAGAAGCTAGCGGGGGCTGGTAGGGGACATGTATTGCTTTAGAAATACTCAGTATGCTTGTTATGCATGTGTCTATGTAAATGTTTCCTACAATATACGTCAATGCCAGTTGATACAGATATGAGATCTGATTTGAGGCATCTAAAAGCTGATTTAGACTAAATTCCTTTATTGCAGTGTTGTTGGTAGTAGATTTACTTTGAACTTTTTGTCATTACTTTACAGGACAGCCTGTATATATGGCACAGACAACTTTAGTGGTACAGCCTCAGATTGGATTTGGACCTAATCCTACGCCGATGCAATGTCAGCATTGCCATGCCAACATCAGCACAGCCCTGGAATATGAAGCAGGTGCTCTAACCTGGTTATCAGCTGGTGTTCTCTGTATATTTGGGTAAGTAGATATGTCTTGGATAAAATTATTCTAACCATACTACATTGTACATTGTATGTGATATTGTATTTGGTATTAATTGAATATATTAGTTTTTGTTCTTCTTGGTTCGGAAGATGATGGGACATTTTCATATCCAGATGTTGTACAGTAATTTCTCTTTCAAAAAAGTCATAAGGATTGGTGAATAAAAATAAATAAATGTGGCATATTGTTGTTTTAATGTGTATCCTTTTCTGCTTTAGATGCTGGCTGGGATGCTGTTTGATTCCATTTTGCATCAATGATCTGTCTGATGTCCAGCACAAGTGCCCCAACTGTAACAAGCTGGTGGGCGTGTATCGAAAGCTGTCTTAAGCCTGCAAACAATCTGGACCAGCAGTGTCTTTGTTATCAAAGTGATTTGGCTGTGGATAGAGTCTTATCAGTAACTATCCAAGGAATATTGTCATGTATATACATTTACCATAATTCAGTGATGACACATTGTGGAGAGTGTCCTTTTAGCTGAACTTAAGAATGATGACACATTACAAATACTGATTAATTATGTTTATAAAAGCTTTTGAAATGTGTAAATCAGTAAAAATTATTAAAAAAAATCCAAATTATTGTTTAGGCACAATACATAAAAATGACATTTAAAATCAATAATATAGGTGGGGTGTTTTTTGAAGCAAAAATGGTGCAATAGAATAAAAATATAAAGGAATGTGCTGGCTACAATATTCAATACCCATTCACATAAATATATTGTTATATGTATATATAAACTTCACTAGAATTTAACCTGAACCTTCTATTGGCTGTCAGTTGGGTTTTTTTCCCATTTCTCTTATGAAAGGTGTTTCCTCAATAACATTGTCGATTAAACAGCTATGTTTGTGCTAGGTTTAGCAGAGTGGCATCAATTATTGTGAAAGCTGAACCATTGAGACAGTAAAAAAAATCATCCATTGAAACTGAGTTCCTGAAATATTGTGGGATATCAATTTTTGCACAAATCTACAACTAATAAATTAGAAGTGCCATGTCGGTTGTACTTGTATACTACTTTCTGGCACCAAAAAATATATAGAACTTCATTATTTCTGAGATTGTGATAGTTAAAATTTCCTTGTCGAGCGGAGCGAGTTGAATTTTTTTTCTGAAGATGTAATACTTTTAAACTATTTCAAGCACTACCATGCGTAGAAAGCAAGTAATACTTTTAAACTATTTCAAGCACTACCATGCGTAGAAAGCAAGAATTTTTCGGACCTTAATTCCATTGTCAAACAGATCGAGTGAGGCATACAATAGTTTTCTGAGTTTGCTGTATTATATTTTTTAATTGGTATAATCATGAAACCACAGGTGAAAATACAAATTTATCTATCATGAAATGGACTCTACCTTTTGTCTTGTTGTAGTGTCTTGTCCTCCTTTCGTATAGGAGCTGTCCAGGGATCCTGGAGAGTGATTGGTATATCATATATGGATTAAAAAGTCATAAAAAACACTATTTGGGTTGGTCCATTAAAATTCACGATATGTATCCAATAAAACAGGAACAATGTCCCTCACCACATGCACATGTACACGGTACTCCGGAGTCTGGAGATTTTAAAAGTTATTTACATTAGTATAAGATTAGTTATTTACATTAGTATAAGATTTCTAAAAACTGGATCGTGGGCTGCTTGAATTGCTACACTACTTGCAGTGGCATAATGTCTTAAAAATGCTTAGACAGTTAAAAGCTAAAAGCTAGATATAGTCACTAAAAGCATTTAGAGAGCACTAAAGAGCACTACAAGCGGGTATTAAAACACAGCAAGCGGTATGGTAAAAGCCCTGAAGCAAGTCCACTAGAAGCGTGCGGTTAAGAATGTTATAAGTTAAAAAGACAGTTTGACGTAACACTGTACACTTTAAAAACAAATATAACTCATAGCTTGTTGTTCCTTCCCCTCCCCCTGTAATTTGGATTACAGACCGGATGATTTAACTTTCCACTTTATAGGGACTCACAGTTCGTGGTGCCTACACACAGCCGCGAGCTGATAGTATTTCAGCCCGTTTGAGGTGGATGGAGTAGCAGAGGTTGCGCGAAAGTCTCTCCAACTCTGTTGTGTTCCTACGGTTGAGGGTTACGTGCCCTTGCAGTGTTTTTGATGTTGGGTCCAGAAGAAGCTGTAAAAGTAGGTTGTTTGCCTTGATGGTTTCAGTAGTGCCCCTTCCACCAATTCTCTCTAGTAGGTCCTCAATTTTTTGCATGTGTCCGATTCTTGTAGACTCCAGCATTTGACATCGGAGTAGGAAATGGCTAATGTCCTCTTCCTCTTGCATACACAACAAGCAAGTCGTATCAACACTGTTTTTGTTGAATTTTGCCGCTCTGCATTGGAGGTTGTACGTGCTGGTGGCAAGTCGAGCTTTAATTTCAGCTGCCTTGACGTCTCTTGGTGACGTTCCGGTACTGGCCCAGATGTTGTGTGCCTTATACAGAGGTTGGTCTTGTATTTGGAGGTAGCGCAGGGAGGATTTTTTTTCCAGATTTTCCTCACAAGTTTTTTTCCAGAGATCGTTGGTTGCTGATTTTAGCATCCGTTTCCATGTTGGTTTTTTAGGAGGATCTTCGAGAATGGACCACGCTGTTGGGAGGCTGTACTTGCCGAGGAGTTGCGCCGCCCTTGAGGCGAAGCATGAGCTGTCTTGGCTGTTCATCAAGAGTGATCTGCGAAAGAAGGCATATTCGACAGCTTCTGCGTTTCTAGCAATGTTGACGAAGAAAGTCATGATGTTCTTCTCCAGGGTTATGCTGATTGGTTCAGCGCCAATTAGCGTGTATACAGCTGTGCTGGCTGTTGCCGTTGGTAATCCCTGGAGTTGCTTCAGTATCTTCCTGTGTGCCTTTTCGATGTTTTCCCTCTCTGTAATTGTTAATGTCATTACTTTTAGCCCATACGTTAGACGTGGGACAGCGTATGCTCTCCAGAGCTTGTGCGTGGCAGTTGGAGACATGCCATTTTTTGCGTATAGCCACGCTCCTAGCAGTGCATAGATGGTATTCCTTGCACATTTGATCCGTTCATTGGTATTCGCTTTGTTGGTTTTTGAGCGGATTATGCCCAGATGTTTTGCTTCCACTGATGGTGTGATTGTGGATTCCCCAAAGTTGACAGCTGACTCGCAGCTTTTGCTGTTTCCATATATAATCAGCTCCGATTTTGCAGCATTGATGGTGACTCGATCAAGCTCAGTATGGTGGTCTATGAGCTCCAGAATTGCTTCCATTTCATGGTGGTTATTTGCCAGAAGGGCGATGTCGTCTGCACAAGTCGGGCATGCGATGTTGATGTCACCGATGTGGGATCCCATGTCTGTGTTGGTAATACTGTCGAGGATGGTGTTGTTGTATACTTTATAGAGTGTTGTCGAAAGTTTGGCGCCCTGTTTGGTTCCTTGCTTAAGATGTACGTTGTTTGAGGTATTGTTTTCCCATTTTACTTTGATGTTGGAGTTCTTGTACATGTTCCGTAGGAGTATCCATAGTGGTCCTTTTACTCCTGCATGGTATAGTTTGTTGAATAAAATTTCGTGGTTTACGGTGTCAAAGGCTTTTTGGGCGTCCAACGTCACAAGAAACAACTCCTTTTGGTTTTCCTTTGCGTCTATAATAGCTTCCGAAATCATGAGTGCAGCTCCTAGGTGGGAGACACCAGCTGTGAATCCTCTTTGGAGTGGATTTTGCTTTTGGTTCAGTATTTCCTTTGAAATAACACTTTATCTATATCGAATTCCAACAGATGGTATAGTCCTCTCTCAGCAGACGGGTGATCACCACACCGTGACATTAGAACAATAAGATTAGGTAGAGTCAGTCCGGTGAGCCTTGACCACTGACCTGACTGGAGACCCTACTAATATATAGACAATAAAGGATTAATCCCCTATTATTAAGAGTATAGGTAGTGGACTCCTTGTTTGGGCAACACTCTGAGGCATATATAAATATTCAAACTGCTGGCAAGGGGAAGCCATAGAAAATCATAGTTCAAGGGATAGGATAGTTGATATTATAAGTAAATCCCATATGATATAGGGGAAAATCTTCAAAAACTCTGGTCCAGATTATTTTTGGACACAGAAAAAAGGGTGTTGCCCGAGCAACTAGGGCAACACCCCTGGGTCCACCACTGCAGATTCACTTAAATATGACAAACTTTGTTTACTTAAATGGTGTTTTTGATACCTAGTAAGTTAGTTTTGTGTTTCAATTAATGCAGTTGTAGTTTTTTGCCTTTTTCATGGAGCTTTTTGAAGTTTTCCCCAGTAATATTGGAAAGGTCAGGGATCATATGCCCTTGGAAGGAGATGTTTTGTGAAAAATGTTGATACTGTATAATGTAATATAATTTTTATTTCCACATACAAAAACCTTTAAAAATTTAAGTCAGAGAAATACTATTTATTTTTGGAGATATCACACAGCACTTACTGGGACTCTACATTGAGTGAATTGTTTCAAGCACAAAAGCAGAAATGAGGTATTTGCTTTAATTTAGTACTTACTGGCAACAATAATTGAAATCATGTTATTATCCATTGATCTTGAAAAGTACAAGTTCTTTTAATGTTCTATTCGATGTTAGATGAAAACATTTCTGAATTTTAAATGCTCAATGTGCTAAATGAATAGTGGTTTTATTTAAAAAAGTGTTCTTATGACTGTTAGTGCTTATTTTCAGACCTGACTATCATAATTATCTTGTTTAATGTTAAAATTGACGAGATGAAATTTATGTTACGAAATATTACATGTAATAGATGAATGTTTGTTCAGCTAAAGATGTAAGTTTTACAATAGGGTCATGGTATTTTTGTCTCGTTTAAGATAACCATAATACTTTATATACATCTTTTTGTGAATTTTCCTGAAAATAATCAAAGATTCACTTTTAAATATGCACAGTCTGTTCCAAGTTCTGTAAGAAAGGAATCTAATACAATTTTATCATTAAAAATACCTAGAAAGTGACTGCATCCTATTAAATCCTACTAAATAACCAGAAGGTATATTGATATGAATGACTGGGATCTCTTTTTTTTCGGGATAACCAGGGACTAGAAACCAGAAATATATACTAGCAATGGTTTACACTCCATTACATGTGTACCAAGATTAAATTCATGTCAATTATGGAGTCAATTCCTAATTCAAGATTATACTTGATAGTTAAATGTAATTATGTGAAGGTAACAGGCAACGAATACCTAAAAGTGTATGCAAGATTGTTTGTCCATGACCAAAATTATTGATGTTGTTGTTTCCCACTTCAAATTCATGTATACACTCCTGCTTACTTTTGATTTGAAAACTAGTTGTGATGATTTGTTGTGTAAATTTCTATTTGAAAAATAGTTGTGATGACAAAGTTATTCAAAAAGAATGTCAATTTTATCAAAAGCATTTAAAGTTGCTGTGCTGCTAGCTTTCGCTCTTCTCTCTCAACAGGATAAATCTTGTCATTTCTTTCCTTTCATCACAAAAGTTATCAACTTTTTCGTGTTAATACCACACTCAGGAAGGGAAACATGTCAAAGATATGAAATCAAAAAGGGTTTAATCATGTTTTCTTATGTACTGTAAAGAATTCAATATTTTACATAATGTTAACCATGCACAGACAGTACGAAGTAATGGCGATGTCTATGCTAAACATGGTCGACCAAGCAGGTAGACAGAATCGGCCAGTTAAAGGGGGAAAAGTTGGAAGCCGATCAACAGCATAATGATGTGAAAATGTGAAAGTGTACATCACTGAGGTTCTAGACCTATGGAATACACTCAAGGAGAAAAAAGGGTCTGTCTACCACTAAGAGCGGCACTTGACAGTTGAGAAGTGAATCAGCTTAGAGTAACACTCCGCACGTTTATTGTGTAAACATCACATTTGATACAGTCAAAGATATAGTCGCTATTTGTTGGATTTTGCTATTGTCACATCTTTTGAATTCGCGCATGCATAATAATGTAAAAATGGTCTCCAATCTGTTTCTGATGAGATAAGTAGCAGTTGCTTTGCACACTTCTACAATATAGATATATAAAATATTGGATTTTAAAATCTTTTCATTCCAAAATAGTTGTAATATTTATGAAGTTTTACCGACTTCAATTTTAACCTTAATTTTTCTGACAAATTGTGGCACGGTAACTTTAAATTTATTTAAAACAAATCGTTAAGGTATAATTTTGTTTACATAAAAATTATTCTTTGGACTGCTTAATTGTAAAATGTATTTCATGGGTACTTAAAAGCCAGGAAAATCTTGTTGATTGTTTTTTCCCTTTATCAATTTACAGAAACATACACATGTTATTTATCTTGTTAATATTTAATTGTGG